CTCTGCAAGATGTCCATGTTTAACATTTAAATCTCTGGTTCATCTGAAACCAACCTTGAAGGTTAGAAGTTCACCGCCCGGGCTGGTTTGGCTCAGCGGTTAGAGCACTGGCTCTCGGACCCAAGGGCCGCAGGTTTGATCCTGGTCAAGGGCATGTACCTGGGTTGCAGGTTTGATTCCCGTCCCCAATATCACATCGACGTTGGTTTTTAAAAATGTTTTTATTGATTTTAGAGAGAGAGGGAGGAGAGAGAAACATCAACATGAGAGAGAAACATCGATCGGCTGCCTCCTGCACACCCCACACTGGGGCTCAAGTCCACAACCTGGGCATATGCCCTGCCCGGGAACCAAACGGGACCTCTCGGTCCATGGACGATGCTCCATCCACTGAGCCACACTGGCCGGCACACTGATTTTTTTTCTCTTTCTCCCCCTCCCCTCTCTCTAAAAATCAATGGAAAAATATCCTTGGGTGAGAATTAAAGACAAAAAAAAAAAAAAGAAAGAAAAGAAAAGAAGAGCCCTGGCCAGTTTGGCTCAGCCGTTAGAGCGTCGGCCCGCGAACCAGAGAGTCAAAGGTTCGATTCCGGTCAAGGGCACGTACCTCGGTTGTGGTTTGTCCCTGGCTCTGGTCAGGGTCGTGTGGGAGGCAACCAGTTGATGTGTCTCTCTCATGTCGATGTTTCTCTCTCCCTCCCCCTCTCTCCCTCTCTCCCTCCCTCACACTGTGTATGAAGATAAATGGAAAAATATCTTCAGGTGATGATTGAAAAAAAAAAAAGAGGCCGGTCTGTCTTTCCCGGCCTGCTATACCCACTGAGCACTGACCAGGGCAGGGGGGTGGGGGAGGGCCGCCCAGAAGGCACACCTGTCAGCTACCAAGTCCCTCTAGTCTGTGCTGTGTGCTGGCCCCACCCTGCTGGTCCCCTGCGGCCGGAGCCCTGGTCCCCTGCGGGCGGACTTCTGTACCTGGCCCACATTTTCTTGAAAACGAACAGAGTGAGGCTGTCCCTTCAAGAAAAGCAACTAACCGTATTTATGGTCCATGATAAAACTCAAGCTTTCATGCAAAAATCAGGATTTGGAAAAATCTGGCATCTGCCACCATGAGCATGACAGCTTCCCGTGGCAAAGCCTGTTGGCCGAGGTGGGTGGTGATACTAACGGGTGATTCCGACACCGGCTCGCAGGCCACGTCAACACCGAAGACCCGCGTAAGCTGGTGACCAAGTGCCGGCCTGTGGCTACAGCAGGCGTGAAGGGCCGCACGGTGTGAGCTGGCCGGGGGTCCTACGAGACCTGGAGCGACACTCCCCGCCGCGGTCTTCCACGCCGCAGCTGCCGGTAAGGAGCCGCCCCACCGAGTGGGCGCAGCGATGCGCGAACGTGAAAACATTCCAAGCCCACGGCAGCGCGAGGCTGGCCCTCCTGCGGAAACTCATCCTCAGGGCCAGACCGCACGCAGCCGGAATGCGGGGGCCGCCGCCAGCCCGCTGACCCTTAGCCCCACGTGGGAAACGATGCCACTCTTCTTGTGGAAACTTATTTTGGAAAAATATCGTTCACGCCATGGTCATTGAGGTGAACAGGTAACAGGTTTATTGTTATTTTGAGATGAGTTTAAGTATTTTTTAAAATCTGAGGTCTGATTTTTAATAAGGGAGTCTAGCCAGGCCAGTGTGGCTCAACCACATGCACCAAGAGGTTGCCAGTTCGATTCCCCATCAGGGCCCGTGCCCAGGTTGTGGGCCTGATCTCCAGTGGGGGGCATGCAGGGGGCGGCCAATCGATGTTCTCTCTCACTGATGTTTCTCTCTCCCTCTCCCTTCTTCTCTCTCTCTAAAGCGAATAAAGAAAAAAGAAAAAATAAGGGAGTCTAACAGGCATTACGGTGGTCAAAGCCCACCGGGACCCGATGTCCCCGGCACACTCAGTGACTCCGGAGATGCACCGCGCAGGACGGCTGCCCTCTGGCCGAGGAGCCGAGCGCGCGCTTCCCCCGCTTCCCCGGCGGCGTCCATGTCGCACTGCGCGATGGCGTGCCAGCCCCAGCTCCCCGGCGGCGTCCATGTCGCACTGCGCGATGGCGTGCCAGCCCCAGCTCCCCGGCGGCGTCCATGTCGCACTGCGCGATGGCGTGCCAGCCCCAGCTCCCCGGCGAAGTCCATGTCGCACTGCACGATGGCGTGCCAGCCCCAGCTCCCCGGCAGCGTCCATGTCGCACTGCGCGATGGCGTGCCAGCCCCAGCTCCCCGGCGGCGTCCATGTCGCACTGCGCGATGGCGTGCCAGCCCCAGCTCCCCGGCGGCGTCCATGTCGCACTGCGCGATGGCGTGCCAGCCCCAGCTCCCCGGCGGCGTCCATGTCGCACTGCGCGATGGCGTGCCAGCCCCAGCTCCCTGGCGGCGTCTCGGTTTCCATCTCGACGTCCTGCCCGCTCCGAGGCCACCGGCAGCTGCACACCAGCCTCCCGAGGGATGTCCGTGCTCAGTTTCAAGTTCACTTCCTCATCGCGTCCTGGGGCCTGAGTGCGTCTTCCCCAAACCTTTTGCCGAACACATTTTTCACATGAATTTAAAAATAATTTCACCGCAAAAACCCCGGCGTTTTTGAGAGTCTGGTTGGAATGACATTCATGAAATGGTATTTTTATTAATACTCTTCAAGAGTATGCTAAGTTTTTCACATGCTCAGGTGCTCTCGACTGTTCCATACAACTGAACAGGGTTTTATTTTTTTTTTTATCCTCACCCAAGGACATTTTCTCTCATTTTTTTTTCAGATAAAGTGGGAGGGAGGGAGGGAGAGAGAGAAAGAAACGTCAACGTGAAAGGGACACATCAAGTGGTTGCCACCCTCACGACCCAACCAGGGCTGGGGACAGACTGCAACCGAGGTACACGCCCTTAGCGGGAACTGAACCCGGGTCTCTCTGGACCGCAGGTCGACGCTCTAACCGCTGAGCCAAACTGGCCAGGGCTAAACAGGATTCTTTACAGGGTCCTGGACCTTCCTGGCTCACTCACGCGACCATCCACAGTCTGTGATCACAACTGTGGTCGGAGTATTTCCCAGTCTCGTGTTTAACAGGTGTAAGGTGGTGTGAAGAGCTGGTTTTCTGGTTCTACAAAAATATTATCTGAAAATAAAGCTGATTTTCATTCCCCTGCCCACCCCGCACCGGCCCGCGTCCTGTCTGGTGCATCCGCTGCGGGTGTTCAGCACGAGACCGTGTGGGAGGGGGCACGTCTGTCTGGCTCTGCAGTCTGTTTCCAAGTTCACGTGTTGTTCTGCGGAACTCTGTCCACTTTAGCATTTACTGAGAGAGACATATTCTCTTTCTTGACGGGCCAATAACTTCAGAAGAAATCAGGAAGTTGGTAGAGACACGGTTTATGAAGGGCGCGAGCCCGGTGGTCCCACGGCTGAGCTCCCGTGACCCAGGTGACTGCTCACCTCCCCGAGGATGCAGAGGGCGCGGGGGGCAGACCCACGGCCTCTGAACACAGATGAGAAAATGCTGAGTAGCCCTAACAGCCACTACTGTGGCTCTGGGGGCACAAGATGTTTAGGGTGGAAGTCGTTACACAACGCAGACCCCGTGTCACCTCCGGGGCAGCTTCAGGGCCTGGCCACCCCGATGGGCCACACACGGGCCAGGTCGGTCCAGCAGAGCTGTGTTGGTCACAGAGTAAGTTCTTGGGGGCATCCTGTCGGAGAGGCGGACGGGCCCCTGAGCTGGAGATCCCCGGGAAAGCCCCCCGAAGTCAGCTCTTCCGCACGGCTCGTCTCTGAGCTCCACGCCTCTGAGGGCGGTGCTGGAGCCCGAGGGCACGTCTCTTCCCGACTGTGGGTTCAGCGACATCACATGGCAGCTGAAACGGGCCTTGGTGGGAATAGCCACAGTGGACGGGCACGTTCCCGCCTCAGGCCCCGCCACCACCGTGGGCTGGTAACTGCTCACCAGACACACCCCTGCCTTCAGCCCCAAAGCAAAAGGGCTGGTGTCCGTGGCACGTGGCGCCCAGCTCCGCCACTGTCCTCTGCACCACGAGGTGACCTCCGCCTGGCAGACCTCAGGCCACTGGAGCGTCAGGTGAGCTGGCTGGTGGCTGTGCACCGATGACCGCGATGGCCTCCTGGCAGGCCTTCTCTTCCTCGCACCCCAGCACGGCCACAGGGGGCTTCTCTGGACCAGGACGCAAATGGTGCCACCAGCCACTGGCCCGCCCACCCTGTCGCCACAGAACCCGTGGCAGGGGCAGCAATGTGCTAGTCCCAGGGCAGAAGGGGACACTCCTGTGCCCAGCGTCCTTTGCAAACAGTGACCAACAGCCCAAGGAGCGAGGAGCTTCTAGAAAGGCCTTCCCATGGCCAAGGGGCAGAGCAGTGAGGCCAGCCCCTCCCCCGCCCGCCCTGCCCCTCCGCCCGGCCCAGAAGAGCGAAAGGGAGGGGCGACATTACCTTTATTAGCGTTACCAGGGAGGAGGCGGCACAACACCGAGGTCCAGGGACAGGAAGAAAAAGGCGCTGGAAGGTGGCCCCTACTCTGAGTGCCAGAGGCTGCTTTAGGGCCGACGGGGGGCGCTGTGAGGGAGCCAACTATCCCCTTACAGGAGAGACTGCACCGGGAGCAAACCCACAGACCTGCGCGTGTCTGCTTTTGTTGGGGGTACGGGTGTTCCCTCGGGGCCTGAGAAGGTGGGCGCTGCTCCCAGGCAGGGAGGAGACGTCACACACTTGGTGTCGAGTGCGGTTTCAAGTGTCGCCCATGACGACTACGGCAGAGAGCGGACTCCAGCACGTCCTTACTGAGGAATCACCCGAGTCACCCCGCCTCCGCCGGAGAAAGGGTTTAATGCCGCAGGAGGGGCCTGCGAGGCCCTCGAAAGGCCCCGGGGAGGGAAGTCCGGCCCGGGGCAGCCGGGCAGGTGGGGCTGTCCCCGCGGAGCGGGAGCGGGAGCGGGAGCGGACCGGGCTGGGCCGGAGGCCGGCGCCCTAGACGCTGGACTTGGCGATGATCTTCTCCAGCAGGCTCATCATGCGCTCCTGCAGCTGCAGGCCCTGGAGCTGCAGGAGGCGCTGCTGGTCCAGCACGCGGCGCACCTCGCGGCAGGTCTCCTCCATGGCGCGGCTCAGCCGCCGCTGCTCCTCCAGCATGGCCTCCAGCAGCCGCAGCTTCTTCTTCTGGAAGTGGCCGCTCTGCACCTTGCGTTTCTTCACGGGCCGCTCCTCCGACCTGGGAGGACAGCGCGGCGCGTGAGCAGCTGCCCGCGGAGCCCAGGCACAGGGGCCCCGCCCGGCCCTCCCCGGGACCCCCCAGGACCAGGGGGAAACGGGGGCCCCAGGGAGCTCGGCCCCCCGCTCGACGCCCACCGTCCGGGCAGTGAAAGGGCTACGGGGCCGCGGCACTGCTGTCCACGGGGACCCAGTGACCCCATCACAGGACATCCAGGTCTCCTCGGCCTGGGAGGGTGGGGCAGGCAGGGGCACAGGCTCCGTGGGAGGCTCAGGGTGCAGAGGCCACTCCCAGGGAGAGAGGAGGACGTTTGGGCAGGGGGTGCTGGGCAGTGTGGCTCCCTCGCAAAGCCAGAGACTACCAGTCCTGGCTGGCCTTGGGCAGGTGGAGAAACTGAGGCCCCGGAGAAAGGCCCGGGTCCTGGGCCCTGTGCGTTCCCAGCCACCCTGAGGGTAGGGAGGCAGGACGGCGGGCACCAGGATGGGAGCCCTGGCGGGTGGAGGAGAAGGCAGCCCAAGCCCGTGGCTCTCCCTGGGGCTCTCTGCTGTGGGGTGGGCGGCCCCCACTGGCGGGCAGGGCTGCTCAATCCCCCCAGACCCCAGCACCTTGCCCATCTCCATGCTTCTGAGTGAGCAGAAGTGAGCCAGCCAACCTCACGGCTAGAGAGCAGAGTTCCGGTGCCCGCACCCGGCCCAGGAGCAGCACCGGGCAGCAGTGAGTCTGGGGCTGGGTCAGTCCACAGGAACGACGGGCCGGGACTCTCAGGCTGCCCTGCAAACTGGGTCTGGCTGTCGGCACAGGCCTTTTCATCCGGGTCTCTGCTGAGAAATCCCCTCCAGGAGGGGACACTGGACACATCGAACAGCAGCCCTGACACCGGGGGTGTCAGAATTGAAGGGACCCCCACCCCAGAGATGCATCCCTCACCCCCACCCCTCTGACAGACTTGAAGACTGGGGCTTGGGGGAGAGGCAGGGCCACGGCTCAAATCCACACTTCCTGTCCTCTTTCTCAACTGGCCAACTCCTATTCACCCTTGAAAACCCACCCCAAATGTCCCCTCCTTTGGCTGCCCGGGCCCCCACACCACAGGGTGAGTCTCCTGCGTGCCTGTCTGTCTGTGGGCAGCTTGAGGCAGGGTCACGTGGTAGGAAGCACGTGGCAGATAGCAGGGGGGATGGGCACACTCACTGCAATGAGGTGACGAGGACATTCCAGACGCTCAGCTCGATACTCTCTCCCTGAGGTGAGAGGACCAGCTGGCCTGCCAGGGGCAAGGAGAAGGGGCACCCCAGGGTGGGGCCTGCCAGGGGGTGAGGGGGACCCCATAAGCAGAAACCGAGGGGCAGGCAGGGTGGGTACCTGGAGTTGGGGGGCACTTGCCTTTCTCCATGTACCTGAGTCTGTTCTCCCCTCTGACACCCCCAGCCATCCTCAGAGAAGCCGCTCACTTATCCCCATTGTACAGAGGGAGACTGAGGCCCAGAGAGGTCACGAACTTTCCACACAGCTAAGAAGTGACACAGCCAGGAGACAAGCCCATCTGTGGCCAGGATGGCCCACGCCGCGGTAACCACCTGCCTTTCTGCGGAGCCTCCCGCGGCCTCCGGTCCCTGGAGGCGCGCACACGCCCCTGCACCCCCTGCAACCAGCCAGGCGGCACCGCCCGACAGCGCCCCTGGCCGCTCAACGCCCCTCCTCTGGACAGCGGCTCCGCCGGCTGGCGGTGGGCCAAAGAAGGGGACACACACTACCTGAACTTAAGGGACAGTAAGCTGGAGGAGCTGCCGGAGCGATCGTCCTGGAAGCGGCCTTCGTAGGAGCACTGCTTATACGGTAAGTACAGAGGGGTGGACTTAGCCGACGGCGACAGGGACTCCTCGGTCTGGGACGTGGAGGGCCCCGGCTGCTGGCCGTCCGGCAGTTTGCCATCACAGGACTCGGGGACCTTGGCCAGAATCCTATCAATGGCTAGGTAATAGGGCCAGTCGGGCGGGACGGACTCGCTATCTGTCATGCATTTTAATTTCCTGAAACGAGACACACAAGAGCCAAGGGTGAGAAACAGACCTGCTCCCGCCCGGCCCGCCCGGCCCCTGGCACAGGCACCGTGGCTCCGGGACCCAGGGGCCTCGTGGCTCCAGCCCGGCCACTCTTGGGCAGAGAGGCCTCCCCAGAAAAATCAGCCGGGCTCCAGGGCCAAGGTGACGCTGGACTTAGAAAGAGTCAGACTCGAGACCTACACGGCCTTGGACGTTAAGAGCTGGAAACTCAGTCAGTGCCGTGCCCTGGGGCCAACTCCTCGCTCTCTCCTCGCTCTGCTACAGTGTCTAAACTCCATGATGAACAAGCACCGCTTCGAAACGAGTTAGCCAGCCGTGGTAGACATCGTGATGTAATAAGACATGTCACACACACGCGCGAGTAGAATGCTGTGATACACCAGCGTAAAATACCATAATACAACGAAGGTGTGTTTCTAAAGAGGCTGCATCAGGAAGTGAGAATCACAGGAGTTAAGAGCATAGGCGTCAGTGTCCAACTGACCTGAGTCTGTGTCTTGTGCCTACCACTTTGCTGTGTGACCTTGGGCAGGTTCATGAACCTCTCTGGGCCTCCGTTTTCATACCCGTAAAATGGGGATGATCGAAGGGAGCTCCTCACACGGCTGCAGGAAGGGTTTAATGACACAGTGCCCAGTGCCTGGCAAACAGCAAGCTGTGCAGGTACCACATTTGCTGACAGTGCCAGGAGGCAGCAGGGCTGGGCCTGACAGGGCCCCTACTCACACTGCATGATCTCTCTCATCCCCACTCAGACCTCAGGCCAAGGGTCTACACTGTCCGCTCTGCCCACCATGGGCCGAGCCCCCCACGGGCCCTGTATCCTGCCCTCCCCTACAGACAGGCCCTGGGCCTAGGCCATCCTCTGGAGGTGAGGGATGGGGAGATGGAGCCTCTGGAGAGCTGGACAACTCCTGCCAGGCCAGGAAAGAGGCCACAAGGCGGGTGGGTGGCAAACCCCAGTGCTTCCTGAGGTCCAGGGCTCCCCCAGGCCCAGCCTCAGCCTGCGCACCCTCCCCAGGTTCATGTCCCATGCTCCTCTGCTGTGGGGAGACCTTGGAGCTAGAGTGTCCATGCTGGATGGCTCCTGTCTCCCAATATGGGGCTCCCTACCAGGGGCTCCCTACTGGACACTGGAAATGGGCTGGCTATCTGAATAAGCCGCTCCCAGCCAACAGGCACAACCAGATGACGGGGCCTGCGGCTCGGGGCGAGCAGAGGCTGGCCACAAAGGACGTGGCCTTGGGGACAGCACCCACCAAGCAGAATATCCTCAGCAGAATGCCAGGGACAGAAGAGCATGGCTGCTTCACCTTCCCAGCCACAGGGTCCCCAGCACCCCCTGGAGGTTGTGCAGACACAGGGCGCAGGAGCGAAGGCCTGTGCCGAGGCCCACACCCAGCCTCACCCAGGCTCCCCTCCAGCCCCTCCACCCCTCCGGAGGTCCCAGTGCACTCAAGCCTGCCCACTCCTTGGAGGAAAAAGAAAAGGCCTGTCCCCAGCACGGGAGGCCCCCAATTCCAACAAACCATACTCCATGGAACCTAGCCACCTCAATATATAAAGAGCTACTGTGAAAAAATAAGTAAAGCCTCTGCTTCTGGGGAGGCTGGAGGGCAGCACAGCTAAAGAACTAGTCGGCCAATGTGTCGGCCTGTTAAGGATTGTGCAGCCCTGGGCCATTCTCTCCTGCTCTGGGCCTCAGTTTCTCCCTGGGTGAACAGGAGCTGTGAGGTGCTCTGGCATGTGACTCCTTCATGAACTGAAGGGCTGTGCAGGCACGCAGCCACGTGCCCGGCCCCAGGTGCCCGGAGTGCCCAGGTGCCCACCCTGCTGCACCCTCGTCTCCCGCAGCTGCCTTGGCTCACATCCTCTGCCTCCAGGAATGGAACAGAATCCCTCCCTTGGGACTCAGAAGGCTTTCAGGATAAATAATGAATAACCCAGCCAGACACCAATCAGAGCCTGAGCATGACTGAATCAGCCGGGAGGCTGGCAAGCAGCCCCTCCCCACCCGGTGCTGAGGGCCTGAAGACAGCTTAGCCCCGGTTGTGTTGCCAGCTGAAGCTGGAACTCGTCAGTTTCTCTGAGTGGCTCTGATGCCCTCTGGCCAAGCAGTGCGTTTCTGGTCCTGGCCTGGCTGGGGGCCGGGGCTGGGGGTCAGAAATGGGCCTTTAGACGGGGCCAGACTCGGGACCTGCTGCTCCAAGGGCCATGAAAAGTTACAATGCAACTAAAAACAGTCTTTTTGTTGTTAAGGGTCCAAGGAGCCTCTGCACACGTCCAGGCTCCAGAAGGGACGGGAGCTGCAGGCCAAGGGGGTTGTCTCCTCACCTACGGGGGGATGGGCCTCCCCAACAGAATGTGGCTCACAGCGCCCAAGGCAACCCTGCAGGGCCTGGTCTGCACCCAGCCTGGCCACACCTCTGCTCCATGTCCTGAGCGACCACTAGGAGGACAAGGAAGTGGCCAGGGCTGGGACCAGCTGGATTCCCAGGACAGCCCCTCACTTCCTGGGACATTGACAGGCTCTGGGGCTGGCCCAGGCCTGCCCAGGCCACCCACAGGACCCCATGCATTTGGTCTTGCTCTCCCCGACAGCCCCTAGCTCCTACTTGACCTTTACCCCAGCAAGACCCTGGTCCGCCTGTGACCTTTCACCCTGACTGTGACCTTCTCCATACTGTGCCCCTCTGAGACACGCCTGGGCTCCATGAACCTCAAGGTGCTAGGCTGCTGGGCCACACTGGGCTCCCTCCCTGGACAAGCCTGCTGCCTGGAGCCCGTCTGGGCCCTGACCCAGTAGCTCCTCCAGGGCTGCCAGGGCAGGGGCCACCGGGGATGGGTGGGGGCAGAGGTGGGGCCCCCTCCCGTGAGTGGGACCCTCCTGGGCACTCAGGATCTCCAGCCAGCCCTAACAGCCCCCCGACCTTGCAGTCAGTGTGGGGCTGTGCTCACAGTGGGCTCCGTGGACGCTGGAAGTGACTGAGCGGCAGGACCAGGCAGGACGCACAGGCCTAAAAGCTGAGCCATTCTCGCCTGGGGCCTCAGTTTCCCTGTCTGTTCAGCAGCATCCCAACACCCTGCTGCACAGAGTGGAGCCTGAGCTGGTGGTCTGTAGGCTCCTAGTTGGGGTGGGTGTGTGCAGGCCAAGGGGCAGCCACCTGCGGGGGTCTTGGGGCAGCGCTGAAGGTGCCCTTGGGGTAGCCCTGGCAGAGGCCCGGGAGAGCTGAGATCCTTCACAGCCTGGCCTGCGCCGGCCTCAGGTTCCCCACCTTCCCAGCGAGAGGCTGCACAAACGGCTTCTGTCCGCCTGTCTGGCCCCCTGGGGCTCGGCCCAGCGAGGACCCCACCTGCGCTCTGCCAGCAGCAGCCCCCGCAGCCGGGGCTGGGCCGGACGGGGGCCTGAGGCGGGCTCGCGGCCAGGCCGCGGCGGGGTGCACAGAGCGGCCTACCTGTACTGAAAGGTCATGTTGGTGATCTTGATCTTGATCTCCTCGCCCAGACGGCGCTCGCCGGTCATCTCCAGCAGCTTGCTGGCCATCTTCTCGTACACCTTGGCGTTGCGCTTGGTCTGCTTCAGCTCCTCGAAGAACTCCTCCCAGACGAGCATGAGGCCGCGCATCTCGGCGTCCGTCCAGTTCCGGGCCCGCCGGTGCTTCTCCGTCTGAGGAGACACTACGTAGCTGGGCACCTCGGCCGCGGCCATGCCGGAGGCACCTGTGGGGTTAAGGGAGTGGGCTCAGGGAGGCCCGGGGCCTGCACACCGTGGGTGGGAGCCCCACTCTGGGAAGGCAGCTCCACGCTCAAAATGGGGCCTACATCTGACAGGCAGGAATTTAGTTAAAAGCTTTTAAACGGGAAACGTCATTTTGATGTCACGTTTCCATAGCAACAGAGCAACTGCATAAGCTACAACAACAGAAACCTTTTAACTGAAAGCGCAGGAATCAGGGCCGGCCGTGACGGGCCATCAATACTGCGGCGGGCGGGCCAGGTCCAGAACTGGCAGCCCGGGCCCTGGCCCTGCCTCCGCCCCACCCGGCCACCAGGCCTCGACGGTCAAGGCCACAGAGAGCCAGGCCCCTACACTGGGCCAACCTAGCTCCGGGAGGTGGGGTCCAGGCAGAAGCCCCCCTCAGCCTGGCCCCAGATCACACAGGCCATGCAGGCCGGAGCCCAGAGAAAGCCTAAGATGGGGCGTGGGGACAGGACAGTACACGGAGACAGGCAGGCAGAGAGGACAGATGGAGGGTGGGCATGGCAGGTGGACACGAAGAGGGAAGGGACATAGGAGCAGACACCTCAGGGAGAGGCCAGGGCCCACGCACAGCATCTGGGCAACACGCTCACGCTCTGCGGTGGGGAATGTAAACATGTGACCACCAGGTTGGGCGAGAGCTGGCTCCGGCCCTGAGCACACCCAGCTCTGCCCTATGTGCCCATCTCCCTCTCTGCAGGGGCTGTGTGCCAGCCTGTGTGATCTGGGGTGGGCCGAGGAGCCGACAGTTCTCGAGGAAGACAGTAACTGGGAGCAGGTGGTGTGTGACCCTCCTGCGTCGGGCAGCCCCATTTCAGCCTTGACCACTCTGCGTCAGCACCCAGACCTGCCTCTTCCACCTGGCTGGGCGAGGTGCTCCTTGCACCCTCAGTACCCATGGAAACAATTTGCAAAAGGCTTGCAGAGAAAATAAATGAACAAGTATGAAGGGACCAACTTTCGGTAATCCCCCTTCCCAGTAATCACCTAGACTTTGCCTTTACATGTACTGGCAAACTCCTATGCATTCTTCAAAACCCTGTCTGACATCATCTCTCTGAAGTCTTCCTGCTCCACTGTGGTCCTTCTCCCCTTTCCCCTCCTGTGGAGTGGAGCTGCCTTGAGCCAGCCTGTTTGATTTTCTCCCTTCGAGCTGTGTGGCCCAGGTGAAGACTCCCAGAAGCCGCAGTAATGAGGACTGAGCACCGAGCGCTGGGCACCGTTCAACGCGCTGTATGCCTGCGCTTTCTGCTTTGACCCTCACAGCACTCTGGTGAGGGAGGCTGGCACTGCTGTTAATTCCCATTTTACAGATGAAAAGCCTGAAGCTGTAAAGGTGAGGTCACCCTGAGGGCAACCAGGCTCCCAGTGAAGGACAGTCACCCCGCCCCGCACCCATGATGCAGCCAATGCAAACTTCTGTGGCCTGGCCCAATGCTCCCCACCGTTTCCCAGGGTCTCTGGGGAGGCCCCTTGGACAAGTGCTGACCCTTGGACAGGTGGCCGCTGGCACTGGCTGGGGTCCTTGGCTGTGGGACCCCATCCTCCTTCAGTGGGCCTGGCTTAGGCCGTCCTCAGGTCCCGAAGGCCAGGGGGTATGGACACTGACCTCCAGCACCGGCTGGGTGGGGAGGGCAGCATGGGACAGACAGACTGTAATGGGGGGTGTTGACCAAAGGTGGGCTTAAGAGCCAGGCAGGGGATGGGGCCCTGCCGCAGTGGGGCTTAGGGACTGAGGTCCCCGCCAGGGCAGCCGTGGGACAGGAGACCGGAGCTGGGAAGCCTGTGGGGACAGCGGAGGGAAAGCACCACCTAAAGGCATCGACAAACGTTAGGAAAAAAAGCAGTCAGTGAGCACAAGCCCGTAGCACCTGCGGAACTGGCCCCGATGCCATGTGCAGCCCCAGCGCCTCCCCCAGGGTCCTGCCTGGCTCCCTTAGGTTCTGGCAGGGGCCTTAACTTGGGAGGGGCCCAGGATGGGGGAGCAGCTGGGCACCCCCCCTCCCACAGTCATAGCTGGAAGGGGTCCATGTGGGACGTCAGAGCAGGCTCCCGGCTCCCAGGCAAGGCCTGGCCCTCACGTCAGCTCCCAGCGGAGCCCCGACCTCCCTGGGCCTCCAGGTCACCCGGGGACATGCAGGCGCTGCCATCTCGCCCTGCAGCATCGCCCAGGAAGGCTCACAGCTGCCACACCCTCTGGGCCTGGGTGCCGGGCACAGAGCACTCGGAAGTGTTTGCAGAGGGAATGTGACTAGAAAGCCCACCTCCTCCAAGAAGCCCTGCCCCTCAGGCAAAGGATGTGACCTTCTCGAGCGGCCCTCGTGTTGGCTCTCAAGGCACCTGAGGACATTCCCTCACAGGGTGCCGAGGCCACACGGGCTGCCTCCCACGCCTCAGCACACGGGTGGGGCCAGAGGCCGGCAGAGCACAGCCTGTGCGTCAGGGGAGGGCAGACGCTGGTGCTGGCCAGCTGGGCTGGCGGGGACTGTCAGGACAAGCCACCCCAGGGTCCCCGGCCTGGGTTAACCAGGACTGCGGTCCCAATGCCTCCTGGGGCAGTGGCTGGCCCATGGGGTGCAGAGCCTTGCTCGGGGTCCTGGTACCCAGGTGACCCCAGGGGAGGCACCTCTACCTGTGCCCTGCAGCTGGCATGTCCGGGGAGTCAGAGGAAAGAATGGACTCCAACTACCTCTTTGCAGCTTTCAGCAGACACCAGAAGCCCCCAGAAAGGGGTCCCCTGGAGTCCAGAAGCAGAGTCCTCACGTTGGGCCCCCAAGGTCAGGAAGGAGCCAGGGGGGGCGATGTGTCCTCAGCTGGGGAGGGACTCCGTACCTTGGCACAGCTGCATGGCCCGCTGGGACCCTCAGTGTCTGTGGCAGGGGAGGCGGAGGGCAGGGAGCTAGGCGTCCGGCTGCACCTGCGGGGAGAAGGGGCAGTCAGGCCAACGCAGGGCCCAGGGGGTCTGCGCTCAGGTGAGGCCTTGTCTCCTTCCAGGTGCTCAGTCCAGGCTGTGCCACTCTCAACACCTGGCACCCGACACTGGCCCATGGCAGGGAGTAGGTGGCCTGGGCCTCCAGGCAGCAGGGAGTTGGGCCCATCGTGGTGGGCAGGGAGGTCCAGCCTGGACAAAGGTAGGAAAACACATGGGATGTGGGGGATGTGACCAGGCTGGGGCGTGGCAGGGCAGGGCAGAGCTGTGGAGGGACATAGCGCAGCCCAGGACCACGGGTGCCGACAGCCAATGAGGCGAAGGGCCTAGGGGCCCAGCTTGCTAGCTGACACCACCACCTTTTCCCCTGAATATGCCTGGAGCCCGGATCCTCAACCTTTGACCTTCTTCCTTGGTGGGCAGGCCCCAACCCTAGCTTGATAGCTCCACTGGGCCCACCCACACCCCAAGCACCTCCTGGGCCAGGGCAAGTGCAGGCCTGGCCAGTGGCTCCTCCCATCCTGCTCCCCACATGGGCTGAAGGCCTGGAAACCCCAGGGCCCCTAGAGGGCATGGTTGTGACAGGGTAAGGCCACCTGGGTGGCCCCTGGATGTCCTGCTTTGGAGGATGGTAGACAAGCAATCCAACCAGACAGGAGCCGGCCTGCTGAGGCCAGGAAAACTGGGAACCGCAGGAAACACTCGTGGTTCCGTCTTGGTGACTCTACAAAGCGGTCAAGCTCTGTACTCCTTGGTCCTGACAACACACCTCGCTCGTGGGTGCCACCGCCAGGCTGCAGAGGAGCGAGGGGCAGGCCAGGCCCTAACACATTCACCCCGCAAACCCAGAAGAGCTCGAGGACCTCGGTCAGCGCAGGGGTGTCCTCTGAGAAAACAGGTGCAGCCTCTGCCACGTGGCCGGGCAGTGGCTTGCAAAGCCCACTGCAGCAAAGCCCACTCACACCAGGCCCTCCTCCACTGCTCCCAGGAGATCTGGGGCCCTTTCCTTCCGGAAGTAAGAGGGGCGCTCAGGTGTGCCAGCCAGGGTCCGGCTGCCCGGGTGCGGGAGAGGGTAGAGTTCACATAGCTCTTAAGGGTGAGGCCATGAGGCCATGGAGCTACATCACAGGAGACAAATTTGGGAGGTGAAGTTACCTCCGTAAGTATTTTGAGCATCTGAGGTGAGAACTGAGCCTGACGTAGCCACGTGGTCTGTCCACCTGGCCTCGGCAGCCAAATGCTGTCACCAGCCTGTCCAGAGGAAGTCCTGTGCCTTGGGAGGGCGGGGGCACGAAGCTGCCACAGAGCTTCTGGGAGCCGAGTGTGGGGTCCGGGCTCCGCCGTCCCTCCAGGCACCCACCACGGTGCTGGCTCAGGGCTACCCTGCCGAGGGACGAGGAGGGCACCTCCACACGGTACTGGAAGCCACGGGACTTCAGCAAACATTTCCCAGGTGCCTGCCCAGGCAGCCCACAGCCTGGAGCTTTTCTGTGCAGGTTGGTACATAAACATCTGTACCCAAGTACACCAGTGCCAACGGCCCAGGATCCCAGGGACGGGCCCACCAGAAGGAAGGCATGCCCTTCAGCTGAGCAGATTTCAGAGCAGCTTTTTCGGGGTGCAGGAGTTACCAGCTCCAATGGCCACGGCAGCATGGCCATGCACCGCAGCCCAGGAGCATGGGTCCCGACAGCCAATGAGGCGAAGGGACCAGCCAGGCCTGGGGGGCCTGAGAGCCAGGTCATGGCCCCACATGAGCGAGCAGCCCTGACACCAACCCCAACGCCCCTCTGCATCCTTGGCCAACGTGGAAGCAGATTCGGAGCCAACCACACGCAGTCCCGTGTAGCTGCATCATGTCCCGTAGGCAGCATGGCATCCGCAGCAAGCTTCTGCCAAGCAGGACCACCACACAGGGGGCTGGGGCCACATCCTTGCCCAACACAGATGTGGGGTCTCCCCTCCGAGGCGCCGGGCGCGTGCTGGTGCAGTGCGAGAGTCTAGGTTTTCCAGAAGCAAAGCAGGCCTCGCACGGTTCAGGGTTTAACTTTTCCTTTAATTCAGATATACAATGTTTGCAGCAGCTTCGAAAATGTAAATATACATCTCATGTCAGTCCTCCCCGCCCCTCCCGATGAGAACAGTCAGGTCTGGGTCAGGCTCCGGGATGTGCCCATCACAGCCCTGCTGGCCCCAGTGAGCTCAGACCCTCGACAGCCACAGCCGCAGCCCACTGAGCGCAGAGCCAACTACCTGCGGCAGGGCCGTGATGGCCAGGAGTCACCACAGTTTGCAATGGGGACTGTGATGCTGTCCAGGGCCAGATGCTTCTAGAAGCATTCAAAGGAGGAAGTTCCTTCCACTGCATTAAAACGTGACAGGCTGGTGGGAAGTGTGGCTCCGGAATCTTCCAGGCCACCTCCAGTTGTCCTGCCATCTACTCGGTCCCTCCCTGCTGAGCGCGTGCACAGGGAGCCTCCGGCCAGGCTGGAGGCTCTCAAGGCCCCGCCCCCCAGACAGGACCACTCCTCTCACACAGGCCGGCAGCCACGGCTGGGCCCTCAAAGCAGGAGGGACAGAAGCCCGCCTGAGGACGCGCTAGGGAGGACGCTCACGGCACCAAGGGGAGCTGGTTCCACGCCCCAGATCACGGGGCGCCAAGCTCACGGTGGAAGGCGGCCGAGCTGCCGCTGTGGTGCGGGGTGCGGCCCGCTGCCCAGCAGCCGCTCTCTCAGCTCCACAGGAGGAGCCACTGCCTGCGGCTGCGAACCCTCGAAATGAGCCGGCAGAGAGGGGTCTGTGTGGGCCTCCGGGAGCAGGCCCGGTGCTCCGTCCTGGTGTCCGCAGGGGTTCATCCCTCTCCGTCCTGGAAGGACACAGCTGGGCTACGTGAGCGGGGACAGCAGTGGAGGGCTGGGCAGTGGGAAGGACCACTGCACACGCGGTGGGGCCGGCGGTGGGAGGGCAGCTTCCCGAGAAGACGGGCGTTACCAGATAAGTCTACCCTGGTTCCGTTCAAACCTTTCCTGATGTTACCAGCAGGAAAACAAAGCAACCCCTACACAGACCTGGCAATCAAGTTAACGATATTCTCAATAAAGTTTACTGTGATTGGTGCCTGCTGTAGACTTTTGAGAACTTAAAAGTGTTTCTCCCTTTTGCAGAGTTGACAAGGGGGACTAATTTCTTAGTGGGATTTTAACAAGCAAGGACCCTCAACCCTCGCCGCAGTCACGCGGGCTCCGGGTGGCAGGTCTAGAAGTCAGCTTCCACAAGGAGCTGACGGGGCGGTTCCCAGAGGCCTTGCATATCTGCGTCTTGAGTTACAAAAAAAACTGCAGACGTCTGTGTAGACGCTGACCCGGGCACAGCGACTCCGCTCATGGACATGCATCCGTTCCAGAGCACACAGGCACGTCTGGGCCCGCACCTGCGGCCAGGGCTAGACTCCAAGCCCCTGCTAAGAAAGGGCTGTCCAGAGCACGCTGAACCACAGAAAGGCCAACTAAACTGCCGGTTGAGCCCAGAGGTATGAACCCTGCGGGGAATGGCCCAAATTCTACATTCACCACATTCTTTCTTACAAATGTAAACACCGAAACAGGAACAACACTGGCCACTGATCTCTGATACCGCTACCTCAGAGCCACAGAAATCATCACACACACACACACACACACACACACACACACACACACTCTGAGAACGCCCCGTGTTTACAAACACTCGAGCAAGCTTTGGAGGGGAAGAGCCAGAATAAGAAATGGGAGCCCAAGAGAACAAGGGAGAAAGGTGACCTTCTCACCTCTGGTTCAAACTTGGCAGCACCCCTAAAGGGCCTGCTTGGCTGCCTAACACACTCCAGTAAGGCCCACCTTGGCCAGGGCTCTGCTGGGGCTGCTGGGAAAAGCCAAGGGCCACACTGAGGAGGGGTCCACAGCCTCCCCTCACGTGCGTGAGCCACAGGCAAGCCTGCACCCCAGCTGTCCCCAAACCACTGGACATGTACATGGTGGTGAGATGTCAGGCCCTCAGGGTAACTAACCAAACATTCCTCCTCTTTTGTTGACACCCAAAAACAACTTCAAAATGATCTCCACTTATCATATGAATTATCTCAAACCCTGACTGCACTTGAATTCATGACCAAAAGGCCAGCAGACCTCTGGGTCTGGGGCGGACCAAGGAGGCAGAGTGCCCAGCCCTCTGGGAATGACAAAGCAGAGCCCCGTCCCCAAGCACTCTGAGCTCTCAGGCCAAGTTCAACCCCATTCTCCAGGTCACATCTGCATTGATATTTTCACTACTTGGGGCTTGAAAACAGAAGGCTGGTCCAGGGGCCTGGCATGGACGGGGTAGAGGTAACAGTCTGAGGGACCACAGACTGGCCAGTCACTGCTGCCCCATCTCATCCCTGCCCCTCTAGGTAAAGCCCGTCGCCAGGCACGGACCCGACTCTCCGGGGCTGAAAGGAGGCTGTGCGCGGGCTGAGCTGGAGAAGGCTCAGGAGGTGCTGGGGTCCTTCTCGAACAGTTGACAAGACAGCAAGCTTTGCCCTTGACCAAGAGGGGCGCAGACACACGCAGGTGTCACACCTGTGGGGCTGCCGGGCCAGGCTGTGTCTGGGCCCCACATGCAGGAGAGGTCCCATGGGGCTGTGGGGCACGGAGGCCGCCCCTCACTGGTGGTGCTGCAGCAAGAGGCGCCGCGGGCAGTGTGCTGAGGCTGAGTGGGCCCACTGTGAGCCCAGGGTAGGCCAGATGCAGAATCCAGACACATGTCTGCACTCGACGTTCACCACATTCCAGTTCCCGTGACTGCACGAGGATGGGGGGAAGAGGAGGGGGTGCGGTGTCTGTGCCATGGAATGTCACCGGCGTGTTAAGCAGGAACCAGGTGTCAGATGTTAGAAGTGGCTGGCAGTGACGTAGGGAGAGGGGCACGGGCTGTGGCGTGCAGCACAGACTTTACACGGGCATAGAAAGGTACCTTAAAATTAATCTCTTTACTGATAGAATTAAACTTTAAATCCTGAGAAGAAGGAAGAGAAAGGGAAGTAGGACGCTGGACCTCTTGCTCCCCGCCACCCACCGCACACACCTGCTGAGAGCAGGACACAACCTCCAGGCTCCCTGTGCCGCGCTGGAGCGTCCCCTTCTGCCGCTGAGACAGCAGAGGGTGCTATAGGCCAACCCGCAGAGCAGAGGACTGGTGTCCCAGATGCAAGAGCAGCTACAGCCTGGGCACGAGGACCGGGCTGGGCGTTAGGAGGAAGGTGCGCGTGGTTAACTGGCATCGACACTAGCTGCACGAAGGGCCAGCAGCACAGCTGCCCGAGCCCTCGGCGGGGCGCAGGCTCAGCCCCACCTCTAGCAGCGCTCCCTGCGCGCAGTCCCTGCAGAAGCACTTCCGCGGGGCAGACCCTCACTGCCTGGCGCTGCCCCAGGTGCTCAGCACGTGGCGACCTTGTGGACGGTTTGCAAACAAGCCAGCAGCCGCTGGTACGGGTTTCCTGGTGCTGCCACCACCTCAAACACGGACTGAAAGGCCCGGCGGTCCAGCTCCTCCTCTATCTGGTGTCTGTAAAAGTCCGTGGCCACCAGGCAGAAGAGGTTAACGTCCACTTGTTCCAGCTTGCCCATCCTGCTGATGACGTGGGGAAGGCTGCGGAGGAGTTAAGGAGCGAGGTGCAAGTGCACAGACGCCCGACCCAGGTCTGCAAATGGGCCCGAAGTTCCGGGAGCCAACCAGAGCAGGAAAGGCGGAGCTGGGCCACGCGGGCACAGCAGCTGCCTCCCACCTTGGCTCCCCCAGCTGAGTCCACCACAGCTCCCAGGATGCCACCTGTCTGGGCAGGGAAAGCAGCTCCGCCCAGCACAGGCAGGGTGGGGACAGGCAGAGCTGGCTGAGGAAGCAGGAGCCCCCAGGCAGGCACTCCCCTCAGCAGCACTTACCTGGCCCGGCTCCCCATGCGGCACTGGATGGCACTCCTGCGAACCCTGCTCCCGGAGTGAGCTCGGAGCCTGCAGCCCTACCCGGTCTCCCAGGCCCTGGGCGAGGCCTGCTGCCAGCCCGACAGTGGCTCCCAGCCGTCTAAGGAGCTCCTCCTTTTGGCAGCCAGCAGGCTTGGGGTGGGAACTGGATCTCTACTTAAGCCCTCACCCGAGGGGATGACAAGGGCACAGTGACAAAGGGTAATGAGAAGCAGCATCGGGACAGGCCCGCCGCAGACCCCAGAGGGCACAGGGAGGGGTCTGGGTCCACATGGATGCCCAACCGGACCCCAGGCCCGCCTCTCCTGATAGGTGTGGTCAGCACACTGTTTTCTGTTTCCTTGTCAGAGTTTCCCTCCCTTGGGGTTAAAGTAACTGTCATCTTGACCTCTGGGGTTTTGGCAGAGATTAGGTGGAGAAACTTCAGCACAGAACAGCAGCCTAGACATTGACAGGAGAGCTTCCCCGGCCCCGCCCAGGCCCCTGGGAAGGATACATTGCAGAGACCCATGGGCTGGTGGACGCACTGACGAAGAAGCAGGAGAGGCTCCACATGGCCATGGCAACCGGTGTCCTCTGCGTGAAGTTGGAGAGGGACAGCATGACCCAGTCACGGACCATGGATGACTGCCCCGTGCTGTGCAAGGTCTGGAACACCTGAGAGAGCCCCAGGAAGAGGAGACACAACCCTTTAACACGCTGACGGTGCTGGTTTCAAGGGGGAGGAATCAGGCTGCTGGCACCTCCATGGTCAGCATGTCCAGGTGGTGAGCGGCACCCAGGCCTCGAAGCCGGAAGGGCTGCCTCAGGGGCTTCCCAGACCTGGCCCTCACCTTGTACACCACAGTGGCCATGAACTGCGGGTAGGGCTGCTGGTTGGACAGAAACTCTCCAATGACTTTGTTCATGACATCTTGGGGTGGGAAGAAGTCGTCTAAAAACTGAGGAAGGATCCTCGCCACAACTCGGGCTTCACAGGGAAACCCTTTCCTGACCCTGGAAGGAAGAAACACCGTCAGAGCCCGCCCACCGCAGCCCCCAACCCTACTGGCACCCTCAGGAGCTTTCAGGTGGGTCACGAGGGGTGTGCCTAGAACAGTAACTGTGGACCTCACCAGTGACCTGCAGACAAGCGCTCAGGCTTGGGGCTCCCCTCCCACACGGGGCCAATGGTGCAGAAAGGGGTCTGAGGCCACGTGGGGTGCTGGGCAGGAATGGTCGGGCAGTGCGCTGAGCCGAGATCTAGACACGAGGAAAGCACTGTCCCTGGAACACCTGCCTCGTGCAAGCGCCCGTGGCCTCTCACGCCACTCTGGGGCCCTGGCAGCACTGTGGTCAGTAGGGACCTTTCTCCTCCCTAACCCGGACCCATGTGAGCTCCTGCTGGCTCCTCCCTGACAGACCCCACAACGTGTACGAGCAGTATCGTCCTGGACACCGGGAGACAGCCAGCAGGCCACCTCATGTGCAGACAGAAGAGTGGTATGCAACCGAGGCCCCGCCTCCGCCTAGGTGAGCCCCATCTGCCTGCCTGCAGATGCCAGCGGGGCCCAGGACCCACACCGGACACCACCTTCCACCAGCCAGTGTCCCCGCTGGAGTGCCCAGCTGGACACCTGCTGAGTCATGTCCCTTGCTGGCACTGGCAGGAAGGCAGGGCCAAGCAAGGTCCCCACTCAGCACTGCACATGGTGGGCGTAACGTGGGGTGGAACAGGAGCACAGCCGCACACGTGCATCTTCCACTTCCACGCGAAAACAGGCTGGACACACTCAGCTTTCCAAAACACCTCATCTGGCCAGAGCGGACACAGGGCAAGTCTGGCTCAGTGTGTTCCTGGGAAAATCCAGATGGCTTCCTGCTGACCGAGCTGACCAGTGACAGCCAAGCCAGAAGAACGGACCTCCCCAAGGCCACATACATCATGTCCCCTGGACTGAGGCCTGGGGCAAAACTTGCGTCCCTGTCCCATAGAAAAATTTGGACAAGGCACCGAACCCATCTTGCAGAGCCGGCAAGCTGAGCAGACCCTGGCCGCCAGCACGGTGGGGCAGGTGGGCTTCCTCCCGCCCTGGGAGACGATGGCTGTGCTTGCTGCTGCCTGACCCCCCGGCCTGCCCAGCCTCTCCTGGAAGCTGCTCCAGTGCAGTCTGCCCATGGCCTGCAGGCACCTGCCAGCCTGCTGGGGCCACAGGCTCCTCTCCACAAAGGCAGCAGGTTCTTTTTTTTTTTTTTTTTTTATCATCCTCACCCGAGGACATTTTTCCATTCTTTGTTCAGGTAGAGTGGGAGGGGGAGAGAGGAACAGAGAGAGAGAGAAACATTGACGTGAAAGGGACCCATCGAGTGGTCGCCACCCACATAACCAACCAGGGCCGGGGAACCGAACCCGGGTCTCTCCGGACCGCAGGCCGACGCTCTAACCGCTGAGCCAAACCGGCCCGGGCAGGCAGCAGGTTCTGACCGACGTTCTCACCACTGCTCAGGGCCCCACGCCCAGCCCTCCACACGTCTCTCGTTGACGTGCCCCTCCTGACACCCACACTGCTGTGTGCTGCCCCGCCTGTGGGAGAGGTGGACAGGCATGGGGATGGCCTTGGAGCCAGTCAAGTCCACACTCCTGGTGCCAGGGTCCAAGGACTGCCCTCTCCCACAGAGCCCTGAGTGAGGCACGTGCTTGGTCAAGATGAAAGTGGGAAGCAGCAGGCCTTGAGGACAGCAGATGTGCGTGAAGGCAGCTGCTCCGGCGGCAGCTCCAGGCAGCTCTGGGCTAAGGCGGGCTTCACTTCTTACCTGTCGAACAGAACAGACACACGCTCCATGGCCACGATCACGGACTCGCTGTCAGGGGCAGCAGGGCTGGGGTCGGAGGTTCTCCCAGGACTGGTTTTCTCCTTTCCTGAAGTGAGAGTCGTTCAGTGCTGTCACTGAACCTTCAAGACTAGACAGGCTTTAGAGACAGTACCCTGAGCTCAAATGAAGTTTAATGAGCCCTAGAGACGGTCTACGACCAGGTGAGGGAGCCCCTGAAAGCCCAGGGCCCAGACCAGCCAGCCACACAGGGCATGGCGGTCAGTCCACAGGCCTGTTCCCCAAGCGCCCGATGCCTGCACCGCAACACAGAGTGTAACTATGCTCTAGAGTATCGAGAACTGAAGGGACCTGAGCAAGCCCCCGGCCCCACTGCCCACCTGTGTACATGCAGGTGAGCATCAGGCCCAGGGCCGCCATGGCCCGGTGAGGGCTGTGCACATTCACTCTGTCCACACTGAGCTTGACCAGGGACTCAGCATCCAGCCGGGAAAGCTGCTCGGACAGCAGGAGGCGCTCCAGGCCCCGCAGGACGCAGTGGTAGATGGTGGATGGAGTGGACTCTTCACTTCCAGACAGCATCACCCCACACATCTGAACGAGATGATGACGTCCAGGTCAAAGCACTGTCTCAGGCTCCTGTCCCTCAGTGGGGACGCCGGCCAGGCCTGCTCACCTGTATGATGGACGCGGAGAAGTCCGTCCCCACGTCCAGAGGGTAGTTCTCGATCAGGTAGAAGGCAGTGGCGCACATCACCAGCACGTGCTGCTGGCTGTGAGCGCCCACACAGCTGCAACAGCACAGCCAGCTCAGCCACGCGAGCCTGGCCAAGGCTTCCTCTCTCCTCCCGCCAGCGTGCGTCTCAATGACCCCCCCCCCCCCCCGCCGTGAGAAGGCTGCCCGCCTGGGTGCCCACTGACCCTGTCTGTGACCAGGCCAGAGTCTAATGCACACTTGGTAAGTGTAGCCTCACTCTCCTCACAGCCCACTCTAGGACCCCCGCCTGCCAGCTCCCACTCACTGGGCTATGCCTTTGAGGTTGGAGAGGAGATAGTCGCTGATGACAGGGATGAGCTGCTTCGCAGTGTCGTCCAGGAGGTCACACTCCAGCACGTAGAGGATGCCGTGCAGGGCCCCGATCTTGCTGGGCAGGTGGCTGCTCCTGAGCGTGCTCTCCAACAACCGGCTGACCGGTTCGGCCACAGCCTTGTCCTAGAGCACAGGCAGCAGCAGAGGCTAGACCCATGACGAGACGGAAGCCACAAAGGCCCACCTCCAGGCCTGACTGCTGAGCTCCGGGAGGCCGCCCGTGGCTGGTGTCTGGGTGTCAGGAGCACTCCCAGCACCCTAACTGATAAGAGCGTTAGCCTGTGCCTCGCCTGTGTGAACAGCGTGGTCTGTGCTAACACCCCTCTCCTGAGCATCTGGAATTTAGGACGTGCCAAGCAGGGGGCCTGCGGGACCAGCCCCCGTAAAAGCCCTGGCTGAGGGACTTCCCTGGTGGACAGCACTCCAGGTGCACGTCCCGTGGGACTGTGAAAGAGGTGAGTCCTGTGAGCGCTCCCAGCGAAGACCCCAGGGTCTCAGGCCTGACTGCTGTCCATACAAACTGTTGTCAACTTCACCTAGCATCTTACACACAGAGTTAAGTAGGAACCGAGCGCTGTGCTCTTCACTGGAGAGAAGACGCCCCGGAACACATGGTGCAGCAACAGCGGAAGTTCAGATCAGCCTTCCCAGGGGAAGGCGACCCCTACTGTTGGATTCTCCGCAAGTTCCTCAAAAGCAGCAGGAGGCTGTATGACTGTGATGGTGCGATCCCCACAGGAACTCTGATCCTGCCTCCCGAGTGACTAAGAACTTCCTTCCCTCCTTCTGCTGGCGCCCACAGACTGCCAGACACCTCCAAGGAATTGCTCCCATCCATGCGCCTAGGGCCCCAGCTCTAAAGCACCACCAGGGCCAGCGAGGGAGGCAGACTCATCAAAAGAAAGAAGTCCGGAGGCTGCTGCCAGCCCGGTGCACAGCCCCCCTTCCCAAGGACGCCTGGAGGGCAAGCCCTGCGCACAGCAGCAGGGAGGAGTCCCCAGTGCTTCATCGGGCCTCAGGATCCTCTCCAAAAACAATGATCACTTATTTGATTTACTGACAACACTTGCCTAGGGGACTTAGGCCTGAGCACAAAAACACAATTACAATGAAAACAACCCAGCAGCTGAAAGTCCCCACAAAGACAAAGGACCTTTCAAGTGTAGCTGCTTTTACACCCTGCTCCCAACACCCAGGGGCGCAGGCTTTGAAGAGATGTGCACACAGAAGGAGCCAATGGACCATTGTTTCTGTTCCTGGACAGGGGCACCAGGGCAGGCCACCCAGGGTGGGGCATACCTGCTCTGGCACCTGGGGTTTGGACTCCAAGGAGCACAAGGGGAAGGATAGTCAGGTACTGACATGGGCTCACACCCACCTCTGCCTTGTCCGGTGTGACCTGGAGCAAGTTGGCTAATACCCTGGCCTCCGCCTCCAGGAGGCAGAGGTACATAGGGGGCCTCCCCTTGGGCAGATGGCTTGTGGCTGCTGCTGTGGCACATGCTTACTGAGGCTGTTAGGACAGATAGGACCGAGCATGGAGCACAGCATGTAGGGGAGACGGGCCAGGCCATGCCGCATGGCTCACCCAGTCTCTGTGCGCGGCACACGGCTGCTGCTTGGGCTGCAGTCTGCAGAGCTGACATGCTTTCACATGCTGACACCGGCCCACTTTCACGTGTCTGTGTGACGTCTGTTAGCAGACACTGTGTACGGGGGAGCTCACCCAGAGATGCAACGTATCTCTAGCAGCAAAGGCATCTGGGAAGTGTTGGACTCTGTCTCACCTCCTGTGGCTGTCTAACTCCCTAGAGCCTCAGGTTTGGCTGGCTGACTACCCAGAGAGCCAGAATGCTGCCCACAGATCAACATTAAGACCCAGGGAGGAGGTCAATGAATGGACAGAGTGTGATCTGTTGACTTAGGAATGCATTGATCTATCTGGTGGTCCAGTGACTACCCACGATACGCTTTTATTAACTCCTATGAAATAGAGACCCTGTCCTGGGAAGGGGTAGATTTCTTCCTAGCTGCGACCTGCTTTGCCCACGTTATGTAGTTTCTTGTATTAAAGCTCTTATGAATTGAATAAGGCTACACGTCAGTTCTTTGGAATCAATCCTAAATTTATATTTTTGGGGCTTTCGCCCAACACCGTGTGGTGACGATGGCACAGAAAATGGGTGTGGTGCCAGCGGAGTTCTGATCAACTAGGCAGGTGTGGGGAATGTCTGGCCCGCGGGCCATATGCAGAATCGATACCAGTTAACATCACATGCCTCATAAAATTGCTTGACCAAATATAGCAGGCTAATTTTTACGCTGATAATTTTGTGTGGCCCACAAATGATGTTATAACCAAATGGCAGAACCTTGGCAGGAACAAGGTTCCCCACCACTGACAGAGGCAGAATAAGGAGGAACTAAAAAGAAAGCCCTGTCTGCCCTTGCGGTAAAAGACTATCATGTGTCCGGCTGGTGTGGCTCACTAGTTGAGCATCGACCCTGCACCAAGAGGTCGCCAGTGCGATTCCCAGCCAGGACACATGACCAGGTTGTGGGCCTGATTGCCAGTGTGGGGCATGCAGGAGGCAGCCAATCAATGTTCTTTCTCATCAATGTTTCTATCTGTCTCTCCCTTTCACTTTCTCTCTCTCTAAAATCAATAAAGGCAAAAAAAAAGAGGCTATCACGCCCACACTTTGGAGTGGACAAACAGGGTGACTTCAAAGCAGTCCCCAGGGGGGAGGTCCTGCTGACAGAAAGCACAGGGTCTGCAGCACAGCAGAGGAGGGGTGGGGGAGCTGTGGGGGGTCTGTGGAGGAGTCAGTCCCCTTTCCACCACCTGCATACCCCAGCTTCTGGGCCATGGACCACCATGATGACCTAACGAAGGGGTACAGGAGCCCCATAGTAGGGCTCACCCACCACAGCACACTTCATGGCAACCTGTGGAGAAGCCCCAAAGTGAACTGAACCCTCCAACATCTCGTACTCGCTGTGGACATTCAGGATGGACTTTCCAAGGCTGATGCTGCACCCACAACATCTGGCCACCACACCGTGGCCCCTGTACCACCGTCACTTACCATTCCAAGGACGGCAGCTGCCTTACAGGTGGCAGGCACCAGGTACTGAAGGAGAATCTCATCTTCTGAAGGGTGCACCCTCCGCAGCTCAGTCAGCGTCTGATACATCATCTCAAACTGGTTGCGCTCAGTGAACAAGTCCGAGACCACGAGGAGCTGCAGACAGGACATTTGGACAGAAAGGAGGAGAGGTCCACTATCAGGAGAGTAACCAATGCAGTCCAAAATGTGCGTCCTCACGACCAAGGGACAACAGACTGCAGGAATTCACACGAGCCCTGACTGGGCAAGAAACTGGCCAGCACCTGGAGACCTAGAACATGGCGCAAACACAATGTGGAGCCGCACTGGTCAGCGATGCCATGCTGCTCGCGCCGCACACCAGGCCGCGCTGGGAGGCCGTTACGAGCTGCAGGGGAACGTGTCCCGCAGCTGTGACCACAGACAAGCCCTACATCTGTCTGTTTCGAAACAAACATCCCAGGCCCTTCCCAGGGCGGGTATGTGTGTGGGCGGGGGAGGGGGCTCCTAAAGTCCCGGGACAGAGAAACTGTCTAGGAAACAAATGCTTTGCCAACGATTCTTTTTGTATCCCCCAAGATGTTTAGCTCTCTGACGTTCAGTTCTTCACGTCACATCTAACGAGGAATATCAGGGACATGCAGGTCCCTGTTTTCTGGGGCAAGAGGGAAGGTGGGCTGGCCTTTCTCAGAGGCCACAGGCTAGCTGACCTGGACACCTGGGGGTTCAATGGGATGAAACTACTCCCACAGTGCCAGTCAGACTCATCTGCCTTTCCACTCCTGCTCTTCTGACTGCAGTGGTTTTCTAGACATCAATTGACAGAACAGGCGGAGTGCAGGGCAGATGGAGAGCCCAGCTATTCCCTAGAAGCTAGGCACTATAGGGCTTTGCAAAACATTAATAAGGCTCTTCTTACTAACTCAAACATTATTTTAAAATAGAAATTATCACCCTGCCCGGTTTGGCTCAGTGGTTAGGGTGTCAGCCTGCAGACCAGAGAGTCCCGGGTTTATACCTTGGTTGCAGTTTGTCCTCGGTCCTGGTTGGGGTCGTGTGGGTGGCAACCACTCAATGTGTCTCTCTCACATAGATGTTTCTCTCTCTCTTCCTTCCTCTCTCCCTCCCGCTCTATCTGAAGATAAATGCAAATATGTCCTCCGGTAAGGATAAAATAATAAAATAAAAATTATCACTATCATTATTTTGAAACATCAATAGTAACTTCTTTCTTAAAAATTTAAGACCTTTATTAATGGTGCCTAAAGTTTGATATTTTTAGAAAATATCAAGTTGTAAACTTTTATTAAGATTAAAAATGAACCCTGGCCGATGAGAGCGTTGGCCCTCAAACCAAAGAGTCGCAGGTTCGATTCCAGTCAAGTTGCAGTTTGGTGCCTGGTCCTGGTTGGGGTCATGCGGGAGGCAACCAATCGATGTGGTCTCCCATCGATGTTTCTCTCTCTCTCACCCTCTCCTCCTACTCTGTCTGAAAATAGATGGAAAAAATTCTTAAAAAAGAGATTCTTAAAAAGCTCAACTTGACCCGATGTGAAATCATTTAAAAACCTTTAAGGGTGTAGTGAGAAAAACCAGGCTTTAAAAACCTCACCTCTGTCAGTACTAAAGAGACATTTTTAGGTAGATGTAACGGAATCCATGTTGCATCGATAAGGCAGATGGTTGCACAGGCAGGAAGCGAGTGACCAAAGGCCTCGGTTCCAACCTGCTGCTCCTGTCCTCCTGCTGCAATTTATACCCATGTTCTCCGGACGGACGACTACCCAGATGTTGGTAGAGAGAGTAAGCCCACATTTAGTCAGTAACTGTTTTTAAACTTCTCAGATTTGTCCTGACCAGTGTAGCTCAGTTGATGGGAGCATTGTCCTATATATCAAAAGATCACAGGTTCAATCTCCGGTCAGGGTACAAGCGAGAGGTAACCGATTGATCCCCCCACTTCCTCTCTCTAAGCATGTCCTCAGGTGGGGATTTAAAAAACCAGAATTTTCAGATTTAATTTGCAATACTGTAAATACTAACAGACATACCCCACAGAACAAAAGCCCTCTGGGGTCCTAATTTGTAGGATGTAAAGGAATCCTGAGACCAAAAGTCTGAAAATGAGAACTCCAAACAGTGCTTCTCAAAGGGCCTGTGGGGCCAGGTCACAGGCTCCTGGGGAGATACTTATGGACGAGGAAGGTGGCCTTAGAATTCTGAGGGCAGCGTGACATTTCCACGACATGCCCACTGTACTTGAGTATCAGTCTGTCACAGCCTGGACATGTAGAAAGCTATTCACAGACTGGAGAAACATATTTATGGTCTGTGTCTCTGTGAGTTCCTTCATAGGTTCCCAGAGAGAATAAAGTGTGTGTGTGTGTGTGTGTGTGTGTGTGTACACACACACACGCACACACCTGTACGAGCAGTATGTGCATATGAAGGGACGGTATGTGTGTGTACGCATATATACCAGTACGAGCGCTGTGTGCACACGTATACAACTGTATGAGCACTGCACTTGAGGGGATGGCTAAGGCAGACTTACAGAGCGAACCACTTCGCTGATCAGGATGACGGGAGTCCTCCGGGCCGAACTCGAGGGCAGGATCCAGCGTCTGTACAGTTCAAGTAGGAACTGCGAACAGGAGTGGATGTCAACGCCAGCCCGGTGTTTCCTGCAGAACATTTGAGAGTCACGCCTCTGCACACAATGTGAGAGGTTCATCTAAGCTGCATCCCAAACCAATCAAATAACTAATACATTTCAAATTGCTTTAAATCAAAAGCAGGTGGAAACCTGGAGTTGACTGGAGATGTGGGTGGAGACGAAGGTGCGGGGACATCAGCCTCCTCCTCCTCCTCTTCGTCCCACTCCTCCTCTCTCAGGGGTGTGATGTTATTCCCCAGCCACACCGAGTGGATGGACACCTTCAACAGACACAGGGCACTTGGTCAACGCTACGGAGCCAGGCAAAAGGCTCCCTGGGGCTCGGGGTATTGGGTTGCAGATGTGGACTGGGGTCCTGGGAACTGAGTCACCCCGTCACCTAGCTGGGTCTGTTCAGACCGTGGGTTCTGGGTGGAAGACCCCACAAACTGGGCCCTTCGGAATGAGGGGAGTAGCTGAGGACGGGGAAGGAAAGAGCCTCGAGAAAGGGCACTGCAGCTCCTAGGGGGCATCTGAATGCAGTCCTGCAGAAAACAGACCACGATTACATTCGCAAACTGGTCCTGCCTTAGTGGTAGTCACTTGTGGTAAACCCAACTTTTCTGAATGACTTACTAAGAAAAGCACCCCTATAAAGGGGTGGTGTATGTATTCTGGAGATGGCAGGGTGGGGAGGATTTGGGAATCCTGGGGGGAGAACCCACGGGGGAGGGGGACAGGTGCAAATCCACATGCCAAAGTGACCCCACACCACCTCAAGCAGACCATACTCCCTCCTGACAGCCACCTGCGGCCTGGGGCTGCTCAGAGGCATCCGCACTCAGCACTCGCCACACTGCTGCAGCTGAGGGTCACGGGAACCCTGACAGCAACCTGAAGTCGAGGAGGAGAGCCCCTGTGCTGCCCACTCCCTGCCAGACCCCACTGGGTGCAGTGACGCTCTATCGGGAGCCCTGCATCCAGTGCTTGAGCAAGCTGTGTCTCAGGTGCTGAAGTAAAGACAAAGTTGGGCAAATGCCACTGGGCCCCAGAACAAGGCCCCACAGCCCCAGGCTCGTCATTCACAGCCTGGTCCTCGGACACTCCCAGCAAACAACACAGAGCACTCCCATCACTCTATGTTGGGGCTGGAAACTTCCCACAAAGGACAAAGAGCGGAGTTATCTGTGGGGTTGATCACAGAGGAAGGCCGTGCAGGACCGAACAGGACAACCAAGACACCAGTGTGGTCCTGGGGGCCAGTGGAGCCTGTGGCCCAGAGCTCATGAGGAAACTGTCCGAACTAATGTGTATCCAAGTACTGTTCTGACCAGTTTCTTCTAACACAAGAGCTAAGGGGACCTCCTGGCATAACTGCTGTCTGAGAAGGAACCAGCAGCATGTTGGGAGGAACATGGCAGCCCCAGCCAGCGCTCCCACACTCGGTGTCCTGGCCTCCCACCTCACCGCTCCTGGCCTCCCTTGTCAGGTGCACGATGTCCCCACTTTTCCAATCAAGGGCAGCCGGAAGTGACACACCCAGAAGGTTGAGGACATGGCACCCAGCCCGATGGGGCCGTGTGACCGCCTCCCTGGCCCTTCTATGTCTTTCTCCCCTGAATCTAACTCACACCATTTAACTACATTTACACATGTCTGTGTTAATACACCTAAAGTATTTTACACCCTTCTCAGAATAAATTACATAAATAAAACAAAAATAAACCCTTTCTTTTATTTAAAATGCATTTAACTTTGCTTCTGAACGTGTTAAATAGTTCAAACCCAAGGACAGAGGACAGGGCGTGTGACTGACCTGGCCAAGTTTGTAGCTCATGCTGCCCAGCTCCCGCTCAGGGTTGGTCTGCAGCAGAAGCTTGTCGTGGCTGATGAGGGCACCTGTGGGGCAACAGGACCATCAGACCCGCCCACAGGTGCACTGAGCCTGGCAGGAAGGCACAGCCGTGGAGCCTGAGGGACTGTGAAACTCTCCATCACTTCCTAACAGCTGAGCTGGCAGGGCCAGTGAGGTAGTGCGAAACCATCAGTCTCTCTCCCTGATGTACCAGCTTCTGTCTCCAAAGGAACCTGCTAGGGCTGAGCTGCACAAGCCTAAGAGTCAGTAGGTGTGGCCGAGGCAGCAGGCCTGCAGGGAAGCCTCTGGATGGCCCAGAGGACATGTACAATGGACAGCACCTCCCAGGACCCTGCCTCAGTGCCAGGCTGTCCAGCTACAATCACCAGGAGCAGATGCTGGCCGATGCCCCTACTCACCTTGTCTTCTCCACAAACCCTTTACCCTCTTTCATACCGTCTAGGCCGGGCTAAATGAGCCCACACTCCGTTTGGGGGAGGGGGGCATCACCCACACCCAGCTCTCCCCAGACTCAGAAGCACATGCTCCTCTGTGGCAGGGGTGTCATCACACCTCATCTCTCCTACTGGCCACAGCTCCTGAGGGACCCAAGCTCACACACAGCCAATGCAATGCCCAGGAAACGCCTGAGGGCATGAACACTGAACTGCCCTACAGAACCCTTTCCAAGTGAAGCTTTCAGGACGCTGAAATCTGCAGGCTCCAACAACTCCTAATAAACCAAGGGAATCACAAAAACTGTGGCCTAAAATACTGTTTGTCCAACAACAATAAAAAGTGTGCATTAAAGAAAAAACCCCAAATCCCCTTGCTTTAAGCTGCGCTGACAAACTGCACTGTCCACCCCAGGGCAGATGCGCGCCCTGTAGGCCCACCGCCCACCCTGTGAGATACTGAGCTGTTTCCTTCAGGCTTCGCTGCTCCAGACAGCTAAAGCCTCCCAGTCCCCAGGGGGACTCGTGTTTAAATGGATTAGGGCAGCACATTAGTCGACAGCCTCCAGACAAAAGCACGGTTTGGTCTGCCTGCCCAGGCGCTGCTGTCAGCACACTGGCTGCTGCCTTGCTGGCACACAGTACCTGTAGAAGCTGGAGACAGAGAAGGGACGGGGTCCCATGCTTGGTATAGGTGATGGGTGGCGATATTCTCTCTCTTCGAAACCATTGCTTGAATTTCCTGCTCTACAATCCCTCTGATCAGGCTCAATTTCCTCCCAAACCTAAAATTCAAGACAAAGGTAAAATATTTGGTTCCTTCAAAATCATAAACATAAAAGACGCCAGGACCCCATCCCCCAGCTTCGCCTAAAAAAAGAGGCACCCACAATTCCAAACGAGGCCTACAAAGGCAGTTCCTGTCTGTGTCTCCTGCACAGATGGTTAGCTTGCTAATTCTTTTTTTTTTTTTATCCTCACTCGAGGGTATTTTTTCCCATTGATTTCAGAGAGAGTGGAAGGGAGGAAGAGAGAGAGAGAAACATCGATGTGAGAGACATCAATTGGTCGCCTCCCAAACACATGCCCTGATCAGGGTCAGGGATCAAACCTGCAACCCAGGTCCGTGCCCTGACCAGGAGTCAAACCCTCCACCTTCCGCCAGCTGGTGCGGCTCCATAGCTGAGCATCAACCCTGCACCAAGCAGTCGCCAGTTCAATTCAGGGGACATGCCCAGGTTGTGGGCCCGATCTCCAGTTGGGGGCATGGAGGAGGTGACCAATCGATGTTCTCGCTCATCGATGTTTCTATCTCTCTCACTCTCCCTTCTTCTCTCTCTAAAAATCAATTAAGAAAAACAAAACAAAACCAAAAAAACCCTCAGCCCTTCTGTGCAAGGGTCGATGCCCTAAACACTGAGCACTCTGGCAGGGCAGCGTGGAATTCCTGCTCTGATAAGAGTCAGATGACCCCGTGTCACCTTATGTCTCGTTTTCACTGTATCACTGGGATTTGTACCTCCCACAGCGAGGCAACACACACAGTGTTTTTGTTTTTAATTTCAGCAACAAAGGAAAGGGCTCGGGTGAAGCTGCTGGTCACCCTGAGTGGGGTGGAGGGGCACCTCGCAGGTCCTACCACAGTGTGCCCTGGAGTCCTGGAAATGCAGGCAAACCTGGTGTCGAGAGCTTTCAGGGGCTTATTTCGAGGCTGCTGCTCCAAGCAGCTGACAGCTGGGTTGCCAGCCACAGGCACAGTCATTGCGCTCAGCACAAGAGAGGTGATGGCCTGTACAGCCAGGACATTGATCTGGGTCCTCTCGGTGTCTTCCTGGAAAAATAGCAAACACATGATCAAGTCACAAGCAGCCAGACATCAACCACCAGCTGTGCCCCCACCTGCGCACTGACCCGAAGTTCATGGCTCTCAGGGCACGTGACCTTATGGGAAGGAGCCCTGATTGCCACAGTGGGTCCTGTTTTGTCTGCCTACGCCCACCACAGCCCACACACACTGGTCACGTGAGACAAATCTGATGGGCAAATTCCACTGTTCAAGGCAAAGTCTCCCATAGGCACAAACCTCCAAACAGGAACTACTTAAATTTTAGGAAATGTGCACATGACAGCCTATTAGCCTCTACATGTGTGTTTGCAGACATGTTCCTGGCTCTGACGTCCATCCACTCTGCCTGTCCCTTCTGCAGGTCGTGCCACATTGCCTACCAGAACCAAGGACTTACGTCCCATGACTTTTAGTAACTCAGGCCCTGCCTTAGCTAATATAGGCTTTTGCTAATATTTTATCAATATAGTATACACTCCAAGAAGCCTGGTAAAATCTTTGCAAAATAGGCAGGACAAGAGAACACAGGTACCTGCGCACGGCCTTCGTAAGTGCCTTCCCATTCTGATTTAACCTAAACACTGGCAGTCAAAACTCAGAGCAGAACCCATTGACCCCTAGCGTCCAGGACACGGTGATTAAATGTGCTCCCACATGGCACTCTGGGCAGGACACCCAACCTAGGGAGATATGTTCCTGCTTTGGAACCTGTCTAGACACCATCCAGCTACTCTTTTTTGAAAAAAGGTAAGACAGCCCTGGCCAGTTTGGCTCAGCGGTTAGAGCGTCAGCCCATGGACCAGAGAGTCCCGGGTTCGGTTCCCGCTAAGGGCATGTACTTCGGTTGCAGTTTGTCCTCGGCCCTGGTTGGTGTCATCTGGGTGGCAACCAGTCGATGTGTCTCTCTCACGTTGATGTTTCTCTCTCTCTCTCTCTCTCTCTTTTCCCTTCTCTCCCTCCTGCTCTATCTGCAGATAAATGCAGAAATGTCCTCGGGTGAGAATAAAAAATAAACAAACAAATAAATAAAGGTAGGACAAAAATGAGCATGCAGCCCTCTGCCCACCACTAACGATTCATAAGCTGTCATGGCTGCCCGAGTGCCAACCAATGGACACATGGGCCTGCATGTGACCTTACCTCCGGTGGGCTCTCCTCCTGCTCTGTCACGAGGGGCTGAGTCACCAGGACACCAAGGAGGGTGGCCCACGTTTCCTCAAACTGGGTACGGCTGGTCCACCCTGTGAATGTAAATATTACATTCACACCTTTCGACATGACATGACAGTTGGGCTGGCAGCTCTCACAGGGACAGGCAGTGCCCAGGGCCACACATAGCAGCTCCCTCCACCTGAGCACAGGCCTGTGGTGCCGACACACTGGCAGCTCTGACCACAGCCAGGACACTGGTAAACACACGTCTGACTCCAGCTCAGACAGCCTGGTAGAGACAGACCCTCCTGACCCAACCCTGCCAAGCAGATGAGACCACGAAGAATGAGGTTAGAAAGTCAAGCTGTCAGACAGAGCTGCATGCGCTCTGCATAACCAAGACCTGGACCTGCCAGTGCGAGCGGCCAGGGTATGCTGGGTGAATTCTACCCCAATAAGGCTGTTAAATGAAAGTAAAGCATGGTGTCTCTGACCCTGTCCAGAACAGATCAAAAAGGAAACAATCTAGCTGGGGCATGCAAGCCCTCAGTGAGGGCGGGCCAGATAGGCCCTTGTGGGGTGCCCACCCCACAGGCTGCACTCCGTGGAGCTGGAGAGCTGCTTCTGAGGCTGTACTCCATGTTTGTACTCGCCACCTGCACTGGAGCGACAAGTAACAGGATCTCCTTGCTAAATTGGACTCAGAAAGACATGCAGACTGATTAAGATACGGGTTAGACACACACACACACAGATAAATGCAGGCAGACAAACATATATGGTTATATACACAGGGAAGGGGTGAGGACGGTTCACAGGGGAAGGAGCAAGGACGGTTCACACGGGGGAGAGGCGAGGACCGTTCACACAGGGAAGACAAAAGGATGTTTACATAGGAAAGACAAGTGGACAAGAGCAAAGGCAAATATCAGTATGGGACAGTAGAACTGTCTGGGGTCTGAGGTCCAACCAGCAATGCAAACCTAAGGACAGCTCAGTAAAAAGGAGAAACTGGTATCAGGCCAGGAGAGGTCAAGGTCTGCCTGGCAACAATCTCTAAGGAGAGGAAGAAAAACTAGTTCCGAGGCAGCTGGCCTCGGACTACACCTCAGATCTCATCTTGGAAGGCTAGGGTGATGCATCATTTCATGACTAAAAAGAAAAGCAGATGCAACAAGGTATCTACTGCCTTAACCTTTAGGGTCAAAGTAAGCATCACGTCTGCAGAAGCCTGAGATAGGAGGGACCACGGGGATGAAGAGAGGGCCTGTCAGGTGTCCGAGAGTGCCCGTGCCAGACCCTAAACACATTCCTGGAAATGGCCTAGCAGGACACTGCCCCTAAGGATCTGCCCATCACAAACCCCAGCCGATCATAACTGCAGCCCTAGAATAGGGACCAGAAATGGCCACTTCCACTGTGCCGCAGAAATCAGTAGAGTCCTGACAGGAAGTCTGCTAACCAAGCACGGTGTATGGGTGTGTTTCAGAGAATTTCCAACCTGCAGCGGTTCCACAGAGCAGGCGGGCCATTAGGAAGATGACAGCTGGGGTGGGGCTGGAAGGCCTGCCCCTACCAGCGCTCAGTGCTCTTGTCTAAAGACTACTTTTCCGCTGTTGTCTAAAGACTACTTTCCCAATTCACTCAGCTGACGGCTACAATCCAAGGCTCATCAAGTAACTGAGACTAATAGCATCTAGGCAAAAAGGTAGAGGATAACTGAACCTTTCCTGGGTTTGCAAATCTACCCAGGAAAGTAAGACTTGACAGTGGTGTTTAACGTGGGTCCACCCATACTCATCCAAACCCAGTAGAGGAAGCCACAATCAGGTGAAATAAATGAAATGAAATTGACCAAGATATCAAAGGGCGAGTTCAGAGTAATAACCATGAGGAAGCTCAACAGCATCAGTAAAGGTATAGAAGCGTTGAAAACCAAACAATTGAAAACGAAGAACAACACAGCACAAATAAAGTACACTTTGGAAGGAACAACCAGCAGAACAGAGGAGGCCAAGGACCAGATCAGTGAATCAGAAGACAGGGTAGAAAAAAATCGCCCAATGAGAGAACCAAAAGGAAAAAAATTTAAAAAACAGGAAGACAGCCTAAGAGAACTGTGTGTGACAATATAAAATGTAACAACATCTGCATCATAGGGGTTCCAGAAGAAGAAGAAAATGAGCAAGGGTTAGAGAATATATTTGAAGAAATAGTTGTACAAAACTTCCCTAACTTGGTAAAGGAAAAAGGCGTAAAGTACAGAAGCACAGAGACCCCAAGTAAGAAGAACCCAAACAGGCCCACACCAAGGCACATAATAATTAAAATGCCAAAAATTAAAGACAAAGAGATAATCCTAAAGGCAGCAAGAGATAAGCAACAGGATACCTACAAAGGAACCCCCATAAGGTTTTCAGCTGACTTCTCAACAGAAACACTACAGGCCAGAAGGGAATGGCATGAAATAAGCAAGATAATGAAAACCAAGGCTCTGAATCTAAGACTACTCTATCCAGCAAGGCTATCATTCAAAATCGAAGGTCAAATAAAGAGCTTCCAAGACAAAAAAAAAAAAAAAAAAAAGGCTAAGGGAATATATTTGCACCAAACCAGCACTGCAAGAAATGTTAAAAGGAGTGCTGTAATCAGTGGAAGAAATAAGAAAAAAATATATAACCACAATAAACAAAAATGGCAATAAATAAGTACATATCAATAATAATCTTAAATGTAAATGGATTAAATGCTCCGATCAAAAGATACAGAGTAGCTGATTGGATAAGAAAGCATGACTCACATATATGTTGTTTACAAGAGACCCACCTCACAACAAAAGACTCTCATAGGTTGAAAGTGAAGGGAAAAAATCTTCCAAGCAACTGAAAAGGAAAAAATTGCTGGGGTAGCAATACTCATATCCAATAAAATAGACTTCAAAAGGAAGGTCATAACTAGAGACAAAGGCCACTAAATAATATTGAAAAGATCTAAAAAACTGGAAGATAAAACCTTGGTAAATCACCCAACATAGGAGCACCAAAATATATTTAAAAACTTCTGGAGGACTTCAAAGGAGAAATCAAGAGCAATACAATCATAGCAGGGGACTTCAACATCCCACTGACATCAATGGATAGATCCTCTAGACAAAAAATTATCAAGGATACAGAGACTCTAAATGATGCATTAGATCAAATGGATTTAATTAGTATCTACAGAAAACTACACCCCAAAACCGTAGAATTCACATTCTTCTCAAGTGCACATGGGACATTCTCAAAGACAGACCACATGTTAGGACACAAACTGTCTCTACAAATTCAAGGAGACTGAAATCACATCAAGCCTCTTCTCAGATTACAATGGCATGAAACTAGAAATCAATTACAGCAAAAACAGGCAAAAACATTTAAACACATGGAGGCTAAATATCATGTTATTAAACAATGAGTTTGTTACCAAGGAGATCAAGGAAGAAATTAAAAACTTCCTGGAAACCAATGAAAATGAACACAACACCAACACAAAATCTATGGGACGCAGCGAAAGCAGTCCTGAGGAGGAAGTTCATAGCACTACAGGCCTGCCTCAGAAAACAAGAAAAATTTCTAATTGACTATTTAACCTCACAATTTATAGAACTAGAAAGCAAACAAAAAGAAAAACCCAGAGCAAGTGGAAGGGGAGAAATAGTAAAGATCAGAGCAGAAATAAACGACACAGAGACTTAAAAAGCAATTCAAAAGATCAATGAAACAAAGAGCTGGTTCTTTGAAAAGATAAACAAGATCGATGGACCCTTAGCTAGACTCACCAAGAAACAAAGAGAGAGGACCCCAAATACACAAAATCAGAAACGAAAGAAAAGTAACAACTGACACCACAGATACAAAGAATCGTCAACAAAAACAATGAACAATTATATGCCAACAAATTGGACAACCTAGGCGAAATGAACAAATTTCTAGAAACACACAGTCTCCCAAAACTGAATTGGGATGAGACAGAAAACTTGAACAGACCAGTAACAACTAAAAAAATTGAAGATGTAATCAAGAATCTCTCCGCAAACAAAAGCCCGAGCCCAGACAGCTTCACAGGGGAGTTTTAATGAACATTAGAAGAACTAACACCTATTCTCCTCAAACTACTTCAAAAAGAAGGGAGACTTCCAAACTCGTGTTATGAGGCCAGCCTAATTCTAATTCTAAAACTGGATAAATAGCCCTGGCCGGTTTGGCTCAGCTGTTAGAGCGTCGGCCTGCGGTCCAGAGAGACCCGGGTTCGGTTCCTGCTAAGGGCGCTTACCTCGGTTACAGTTTGTCCCCGGCCCTGGTCGGTTGTGCAGGTGGCAGCCACTCGATGTGTTCTTTTCACGTCGATGTTTCTCTCTCTCTCTCTGTTCCTCTCTCTCCCTCCCACTCTACCTGAACAAAAAAATGGAAAAATGTCCTCGGGTAAGGATAAAAAAAAAATAAAAAAAATAAAACTGGATAAATACACTACAAAGAAAGAAAACTACAGGCCAATATCCCTGATGAACATAGATGCCAAAATCCTTAACAATATATTAGCAAATCAGATCCAGCAATACATTAAAAAACATATTCACCATGACCAAGTGGGATTCATTTCAGGGATGCAAGGCTTGCACAATATTCACAAATCAATAAATGTGATACTCAACGATAAAAAACCATATGATCATATTAATAGACACTGAAAAGCATCAACAATACCCAGCACCCATTTCTGAAAAAACACTCAGTAATGTGGGAATAGAGAGATCATATCTCGACATGATAAAGGCCATATATGAAAAACCCACGGCCAATGTCATACTCAATGGGCTTAAAAACTAAAAGCATTTCCCGCCCTGGCCAGTTTGGCTCAGCGGTTAGAGCATCCGCCTGTGGTCCGGAGAGACCCGGGTTCGGTTCCCGCTAAGGGCACGTACCTTGGTTGCAGTTTGTCCCCGGCCCTGGTTGGTTGTGCGGGTGGCAGCCACTCGATGTGTCCCTTTCACGTCTATGTTTCCCTCTCTCTCCCTCCCACTCTATCTGTGCAAAAAATGAAAAAATGTCCTCGGGTGAGGATAAAAAAATAAAAAATAAAAGCATTTCCCTTAAGAACAGAAAAAAGGCAGAAATGCCCACTTTTGCCACTCTTATTTAACATAGTACTGGAAGTCTTTTTTTTTTAATCCTCACCCAAGGATATTTTCCCATTTATCTTCAGATTGAGTAGGAGGGAAGGAGAGATGGAGAGAGAAAGAGAAACATTGATGTGAAAGAGACACATAAACTGGTTGCCTCCTACACGACCCTGACCAGGGCTGGGGAAGAACTGCAACCGAGGTACATGCCCTTGGCCAGAATTGAACCTATGATTCATTGGTTCCCGGGCTGATGCTCTACTGCTAAGCCAAACTGGCCAGAGCAGTACTGGAAATCTTAGCCACAGCAATTAGACATGAAGAAAAAATAAAAGGGGTCCAAATTGGAAAGAAGGAAGTGAAACTGTCATTATTTGCAGATGACATGATATTGTACACAGAAAACCCTAAAGACTCCATCAAAAACCTACTAGATTTAATAAATGAATTTGGCAAGGTAGCGGGATACAAAATTAACATCAAGAAATCGATGGCATTCTTACATACCAACAATGAACTCACAGAAAGAGAAACTTAAAAAACAATCCCATTTACCATTGTGGCAAAAAAAGATACCTAGGAAGGAATAAACTTAACCAAAGAAGTAAAGGACCTATTTGCAGAAAACCAAAAAATAAAGAAAGATATAAAAAGTGGAAGCATATACCATGTTCAAGGATTGGAAGAATCAACATCTTAAAATGTCCATACTACCCAAAGCAATCTATAGATTCAATGCAATCCCAGGACTACATCAAACTAAAAAGCTTCTGCACAGCAAAAGAAACAACCATCAAAATGGAAAGGGAACCCACTATATGGGAGACCATAACTGCCAATGATACATTAGATAAAGGGTTAATTTCCAAAATATATAGAGTGCTCATACAACTCAACAAAAGGAAGACAAATAATCCAATTAAAATGGGCAGAGGACCTAAAGAGACACCTCTCCAAACAGGACATACAAATGGCCAAGAGACACGAAAAAATGCTCAACGTTACTACTAATCATCAGAGAGATGGAAATTAAAACAAAAATGAGGTATCACCTCACACCTGCCAGAATGGCTGCCATCAACAAATCATCAAACAGTAGGTGCTGGTGAGGGTGTGGAGAAAAGGGGACTCTAGTACACTGCTGGTGGGAATGCAGACTGGTGCAGCCACTACGGAAATCAATATGGTGTTTCCTCAAAAAATTAAAAATTGAACTGCCATTTGACCCAGTGATCCCACTTCTAGGAATATATCCCAAGAAGCTTGAAACACCAATCAGAAAGAATATATGTAGCCCTATGTTCATAGCAACACTATTTATAATTGCTAAGATCTGGAAACAGCCCAAGTGTCCATCAATAAATGAGTGGATAAAAAAGCCATGGTACATGTACACAATGGAATAACTGTGCAGCTGCAAGAAAGAAAGATCTCTTACCCTTTGAGAGGACGTGGAGAGTATGATGGTAAGTGAAATAAGCCAATCAGAGAAATACAAATACCACATGATCTCACTTATTTGTGGAATATAATAAACAGCAAAAGCTGATAAATAAATACAATAAAATAACCAAAAAATAAAACATCAAGTGTACTTTCCTGCCCAGCCGGTGTGCTCAGTAAATGGAGCATCGTCCAATGACTAAGAGGTCCTGGTTCCATTCCCCATCAGGGCACACGCCTGGGTTGGGGGCTCAATCCCTAGTGGGGGGCCATGCAGGAGGCAGCCGAAAGTTGTATCTTACATTGATGTTTCTATCACCCTCTCCCTTCCTCTCTCTCTAAAAAAATCAATCAATAAATAAAAAAATTTAAAGTTCACTTTCTCCACATTCTGCCATGGTGGCTCTGTCACAGACAACTGACCATCCATAAAACACGCAGAGACAGTCACTGCCACTGCTTGGCGGGGTGCCTCACAGGAAGACTGGATTTGACTTCACATTACCAATTACCAGGGTACCTACCCTGACTTCAAACAAGCCTGACACATCAAAACTTGGCATCAAACTCACACAAAAAAACATGGATGGAATTTCTCACTGACGGTTTTGTATACACTCAAAATGCATTCCGTGAGCAGGTCATGTCCTAAGTCTTTTATGGGCGCAGATGAGCAGAGCACGCCCCAGAGCGAGGGTTTCCTGAGCTGATGTGTTGTGACGATTGCGAGGAGAAGAGAGACTACCTAGTGTGTTGATACGGTAGATGAACTCTTTGAAGACTTCCTTTTCCTGGAGGAACTCCACAGGGATCTCGGGGAAGGTTGTGCCGAAATCCCCTCCAGGCTTGGGGGACCACCCGAGTTTCCAGACCTGAGAGGATGAAAAGAAACAAAGTCGCTGAGCTCCAGACGCCCAGCAGACCCCCCAAGCACGTCCTGTCACAGCCGCCCGAGCGCGCCTCCTTCTCCAGCACCTGGGCCCCGGGCCTGGAGCGCGAAAGCCCCATGCTTGAAGAGCTCATCTGTGCTGAGGGTCTGTGCTGGCCTGTTCCCTTCGTACCTGAGAGAAGCCAGCATTTCTGCTAACTCTAGCTGTATGTCAGGCCCAAGGTGTCAGATGACAGGCGGCACCCAGGCCACCCGTGGCAAGGTGACATCAGAGCAGGCCCAATCAGAGTCCCCTGGAATCCCAGCCCAGGGGCCTGTCTCTGCAGAGAAATGACCACTCACCAGGGGGGGGACACGCGTGTAGCTGTTGACAAGGGGTAAGCGGGCCAGACTGACCACGATGTTCCTGAGCACTGGCGTGAGAAATGCGGGGGTGTTGCTGTTCCTTTTATGCCCCAAGGCCAACACAGACGGCAAAGACTCCACCAGTTCTGCCACCATCCTGCAGGCTGTAGTAATATACTCAGGGCCTAAACAAACACCAAGGTTAAGAGAAGATGGACTGTTTGGTCAAAACACACCCCAAACCACCTGATCTTCCCGCCCTCCCAGTGTGGAAGGAACCGCACAACCAGAAAGGTGGCGCATCCTTGCAGAATGCTGGCTGGACACTGAGGGCCTACTGACTTTAGCTCATCTCACCTGCCTCACTGCATGTGGTCCTCACGTCAGCCAGGGCTGCTGTGATCACCTTGAACCTGATCTCCTCTGGCCCCACCCCATCCCCCCATCCCCCACACTGCAATAGCCGGGTGGGTTAGCATCCAGAAACCATGCCACCCAGCCCCGCGTGCTGGCTTTCTCTGGTTCACCCAGGACCCGCTGCTTGTCCTCACTGACACACAAGAAAATGTTCAATCGGCTCACTGTTTCCCGAATGGGAGTTCTCGAGGCAGTGGGCACCCCAGCCTGGCGCTCCCGAGGCAGGAAACGGAGGAAAACCCCACCCACAGGTAAGAATCCAGAACCTGGACAGCAGGGACTTCTGATTCACTTCAGTCTGGACTCAAGTACGTGTCAAAAATTACCTGTCAAGTTGAAAACTGTTTTGGACTGTGTGTGAGCCCTGGCCCATGACAGCCAGCAGGTATGGGACACCCTCACAGGGAGAAGGGATTCTCACTGGCCTGGAGCAGTCAAGCCCCAGCCCAGAGAGACAAGTGCCTTTGGTCAAAGGGACTGGGCCGTGGCTGGGAGGGGCCGCCCATGCGGGTGAGGAGGAACTGCTTCCTCTGGCCAGAAGGAGAGCAGCAGGCCTCAGTGGGCCGTGGAGGGTGAGCAGTACACTGACCCAGACCACACGCTCCCAGCCAGCGGCCCTCCCACCGCGGTGCAGACCCCTTGTCTGCCTGAACTGCTCTCAGAGCAGTGGAAACGCAGACGTGAACCGCCATCACAAGGATGCTCGCTGAGCACCTGTGACAGCTGCGCTCGTGCTGGTGCTCATGAGGGCTGCGTGACTGCGTCCTCACACCAGCTCGCATCTGCGCTGCAGCAGCTCAGGGTGAACGCCTGCCGAGGCCACTCAGCTGAAGGCGGCTGAGCAGAGGGGTGAGAGTGTCACTTCCCTCGGGCACTGACACAGGTCACAAAGGGCTGACAGGAGCTCCTGGAGAAGAGCTCGGCTGTGGCGACCCCACTGCTGGTGCGTGCTATGCAATGATGGAACCTGGAGCATGCAACCAAAGACGCTCCTGTGCTCGACGCTAGCGACAGGAAAGCACCTTCACTGCCTGGGGTTGCACAAAAGCTGGCCAAAAAAAAAGGGACAAAGCAGCCACATACTTGCTATGAAAAGCCCTGTTTCCTCCGCCAATGGAACACAGATAAGACTCCAGCATTCCAAGCAAATGTCACCATGAGACACAGCCCAAAGCTGCTGGGGGGTGTGGGAAGAAGGTCTAGTCCCATCTTTGTGGGATGAGCTGCAGGCTGGCATCCAGCCAGACCCTCCAGTGAAGGGCTGGAGTGTCCCTGGAGCTTGTAGGTCCTGGTGACAAGAAGTCATCAGTCGAAAAGTCTTCCTCCCACCCTACCTCACACTATCTTCAGAGTAAAATACCTGAATCAAGATAAGCATGTGAAGAACTAAGGTACATGTCTAAGTCTCTATGTCTAGAACATGGAGATAAATGGGATGTGGACTTTTTGTTTCTGTAGGAAGAACAAAATTTCATTTAAAAATCCACCAAAATATCCCTGGCCAGTTTGGCTCAGCACTTAGAGCATCGGCCTGCAGACCAATGAGACATGGGTTCAATTCCGGTCAAGGGCACGTACCTTGGTTGCAGTTTGTCCCTGGTCCTGGCTGGGTCGTGCAGGAGGCAATCAGTCGATGTGTCCCTATCTGTCTCTCTCTCCCTCCCTCCCTCCCACTCTGATGATAAATAGAAAAATATCCTTGGGTAAGAAATTAAAAAATAAAAAGAATCCACCAAAATTGCCCTGGCTGGTTTGACTCAGTGGTTAGAGTGTCGGCCTGTGGACCAATGAGTCGCGGGTTCTATTCCAGTCAAGGTCACGTACCTGGGTTTTGATTTGTCCCTGGCCCTGGTCGGGCCATACGGGAAGCAACCAATGTGTCTCTCTCTCGTTGATGTTTCTCTCTCTCCTTCCCTTCCACTCTAGATCTGAAGATAAACAGAAAAATATCCTTGGGTGAGGATTAAAAAAAAAAATCCACCAAAATACATGGCTGAAATATACATTCAGGTTACCTAACACTCAAGTGGGTATCTCCACTAACTGCAAATTCCTTAGCGTTTCTAATTATTCATTCATTACTCAACAAACATTTGATGGTCGATTACAAAAGTGAGAATACAGAGAAGAGAAACATATTCCTTGCCCCCAAGGGGCCAAAGTCTGAGGTGGGAGACATTCGAAGCCGTAAGTGCACAGAGAAATGTAGTGCCACGATGGAGGAGAGGGTAGAGACAAAGATGGAGAGCGGACAGGGGAACAAATGGAGGAGGTGATGGAGGAGGCAGGGAGAAGAGGGTGGATGACAGGATGGAGGAGCAGATGGAGGAGGAGTGGATGAAGGAGCGGACAGAGGGAGAAGAGATGGAGGAGCAGACAGAGGAGTAGAGAAAGGAGAGGATGGAGGAAGGGACAGAGGGAGGATGAAGAGAGGAGAGGATGGAGGAGCAGACAGAAGGAGGATGGAGGAGCGGACAGATGGAGGAGCAGATGGAAGGGAGATAGAGGAGAGGATGGAGGGAGGGACAGAGGGAGGATGGAGAGAGGAGAGGATGGAGGAGCAGATGGAAAGAGATAGAGGAGAGGATGGAGGGAGGGACAGAGGGAGGATGGAGAGAGGAGAGGATGGAGGAGCAGATGGAAAGAGATAGACAGAGGAGAGGATGGAGGGAGGGACAGAAGGAGGATGAAGAGAGGAGAGGATGGAGGAGCGGACAGATGGAGGAGAAGATGGAAGGGAGATAGACAGAGGAGAGGACAGATAAAGGAGATGAAGGGAGGACACATGGAGGAGAGGATGGGCTCCCTGGGAGTGTGATGCCCGCAGAATTTGGAGGGACAGTTGCAATGAGCCTGAGGCGGGGGGTGGGGGGGTGCAGGTGGAGGAAGGAGCAGTCAGGGCAACGTCTCCAAATTGCCCTTCAGCAGCAGGATGAGCAACAGGACACAGCTAAGTTTGCCTTCAAGGATCCACATTTACCACTTTAAATGTCTCTTCTATAAACGAATCTCAAGGCCCTCAAAACACAGGCCTTTACACTTACTCTGCGTGTATGAATCTACTCCGTCCTCCCTGGCAGCCTTTGGGGTGTCCGTCCTTCTTCCTGGACTGAGAAGCTGGTCCCCGGGCTGCACCACAACTAAAATCATAAAAGAACAGACAGAAGAATTTCTGAACACCTCTACCATTCTTTATTAAAATTTCACATTTATGTAGCCTCACAACATTTCAAAGTGACAGACTATGTCAAACGAGCTCTAGACATGCTAGAATCAATTTTAGACAATTTAGATCAATACTAGACTTAGGTATTAATGTCTTCGTCGACCTGAAATGCACAAGGGCTGGGCTCCTGGGTTCAGATTTCTAAGTCCCCCCACGGTCTGCCGCTGCCACCCCAACCCTGAAGGTTTTTTATCAGGCAACTCATGATTCATTGCTGAAAAAAAACACACGGCAGCCCTAACAAGTCTGCCTCTGAAAAATTACTCCCTGAGTCTTCATTCTCAAGTGGACTGTGGACTACACACACACACACACACAGATGAAAACAATTTAAACAAGGAAACTTCAAAACACCACTCTATAATGTTCAATTTAAAAACACAGAACTTCAAAACACCCTTCAACATGTAAGCTGTAATGTCCAATTTATTAAAAATTTTGGCTAATGACCCTTGTTGAGGACACTGTCCCTTGAAAAGAATAACTCATTCTTATTTTACAATACATTAATATTACAATGCAGTATAGAAACAAGCATTTAGACTATAACAGAAAACAAGTAATCTTTTGAATGTAATCTCATTAATCTATAATCATTTAGAACTAAAAGCATGAAACAGTCAACAAGGACCAGAGATCAGAGACACATAAAATTAAAAGTATTTTTTATGAAGGCTGGAGCTGCAAAATCTGAATGGAATGACCATAAAAGCCAATTCAGGTTAAATCCTAGCATAAACTTCAAGATCCTGAAGATCAAGGTAAGGCCCATATTTTATTCACCTCTACACCCCAATTCCTAACTCAACACCTGGCAAGCAGGTGAGTAGATCTGAGGAGCTGATTACTGGTTCAGTGACAAAGGACAGAAACACACGGAAATCCCAGACTCACTGGCTTCCAGGAGGAAGCGGACGCAGTGGATGAGGGAGCAGGCATGGGTCACCATGTCTGGGGAGGACAGCGCGCTCCAAGGACCAGGCAGCTGCAGGGCCAGGCAGCAGCAGTCCAGGCCGGCCTGCAGGTCCAGGCTCAGTGGGATCTGCACGTGGGTCAGATGCCATGCCAGTGCCTACAGGTGAAGATCTACGTTAGAGAGGCTCAGACCAGGTGTCCTTCCTGCTGCGGGTGCTGTCAGGAGAGCAGACAACTCCTGGCTCTGGAGGACAGCAGGTCCCGACAACCCTGCCCTTCCACAGGGACGGGCTGGCATTTCCACTCCCTCTGTTCAATCCTGACCACCTGCTTCCCAAAGTGCCCAGGTCTCCCCTCTCTGCCAGAACCTCCACCCTGACCTGGCTGCGCCTTTTTCCTTCAGCTCCGTGGGCTCCTCTGGAAATCCTTCCCTGGCCACTCGAGGCCAGCCTCTTCCTCGGGTCCCAGACCGCACTGGCCTTGCCTCTGTGGCAGTCAAGAAGACTGCATTTGAGAGTAGGGGCTCCCAAGACGGCCAACCTTGGCTTCAAATGCCAGAGTGGCTACGTCCTAGCTGTGTGAACCTGGGCAAGTCACAGGACCTCTCTGCTTCCCTTATCTGTAGAATGGGAATCAGAGCCCATCCTGCAGGGCTGCGTGAGCCCCGAGGAAGGTGGTGCAGGAAGTGTCTCATCCTGCACACAGAGAGCACACAAGAGTCAGCAGTGGTCACTCTACAGTGACCCTATGCTTGCCAGTCTTCCTGCTACAAGGAAACCCAGAGAACAGGGGTCCAGCCATCTGACTCGCCCTGGCTTCAAGTAAACACTTGCTCAGGCCTCATGAATGACTTCACACGGCTCAGGCCAGCCACGCAGCTCTGCTGTCCAGCTTCAAGGACGCAGACAGACTCTTTCCCAAAGTCGTAGGAAAGGCAATGCATTCACAACATGTACACATTTGGGGGTAATTTTGAACACTAACACATGGCTGAAAAGTCCAGGTTTACTGCTCATCTTAAAACATAATAAACTCCCACCCTGGCTGGTGTGGCTCAGTTGGCTGGAGCATGGTTCCATGCACTGAAGGGTCTGGGGTTCAGCTCCCGGTTAGGGTACATTCCCAGGTTGCGGGTTCAATCCCCAATCAGGGCATGCATGAGAGACAGCTGATTGATATTTCTCTCTTACACTAACATTTCTCTCTCTCTTCCCCTCAACCTTCCATTCTCTCTATAATCAGTAGAAACGTTTCCTCGGGTGACGATTAAAAAAAAAAGTAAATTTCCCAGATTATTTCTCAAGTACTGAAAATCAGGATCCACACTACATTTGTAATGAATGCTTCCTTTTCCCTGGAGAAAAATTTTAAATAGATGGCCTGTGCTAAAATCAAAGGCATCTTAGAGTTAAGGACGGATGTTCCCATGTGAGCGCATGCTGACCCCCGTCCTGCAGAAACCCCAGAAGGCCTGCATTCACCCGTCAATCATTCAGTGTCTCCCTGACCCTCCTTTCTCCTGTGCAGCCCTCCTCCCTGACCTGTCCTACTGCTATGACTGTCGCCCGCTCCCCTAAGCCTGATCCCTGGACACAGTGAAAACCAGCCACAGGTGGGGACTGGGGGGAGATGGGTGCAGGCGGGGTGCAGCCTCCCTTCCTCAGCTCCGAAGGAGGAGGGAGTGCTGTATCACCAATGTCAGAGGCAGCTGTCAATCGGGAGTGCGAGCACTCAGGAAGGTAAGGCGTGGCGCGCTGAGACTGCACAGCTGCCTGTGTCAGATGACAGTGCCCTCCTCCGCAGAAACTCCAAGTTCCCAAGCCACCTTACCTCCAGAGTTGTGACCACAAACTTCACAGTGTCCCTCTCTTTCTCCGGAGGAAGGTGCAGGCGGCCAGGCAGTTTGGGGAACACCAGCAGGTACTGGGCCAGGGCTCGGGCCAGGACGGTCAGGGAGCGATACCACATGGCATCCCCTGAAACAAAACATCTTCGTGGGTGGGCGGAGCTCTGCAGAGGCTCCTGACCTCTGAATGGCGGTCAGGCGATTTCCTGAGATGAGGTCCCTCAAGAGTACACCAGAACATCCTCTGACGTGTGGGCTTGGAGACCGCCTTCCCTGGGCTCCGTCCTAGCACACCTCCAGGGCTAAGCCCAGGCTGCGTCAACGAACGGCAAAGCAGCCAACACACCAAAAGGCATGCGGAGCTGGGGACCCCAGTGCCATGTCTCAGTTACTTCTGTAAAAGCTTTCAACTTATTTGAGCAACAGCATTTACTATGTTTACTAGGTGCAAAGCATGATACCAGCTCTGTAGCATTTTTTTTTTAAATATGTTTTTTATTTTTTTGAGAGGAAGGAAGGAAGAAATAGAAACATCAATGTGAGAGAGAAACATCGATCGGCTGTCTCCTGCCTGCTGTCTACTGGGAATCAAGCCTGAAACCCAGGCATGTGCCCTGGCTGGCAATCAAACTGGGACCTCTCAGTCCATGGGATGACGCTCAATCCACTAAGCCACACCGGCCGGGACTCTAGCATTTTTAAACATAAGAAACATTTTTTTTTCAATCCTCACCCGAGGACATTTATTCCATTTTTTGTTCAGATAGAGTGGGAGGGAGAGAGGAAGAGAGAGAAAGAGAGAAACATCGACGTGAAAGGGACACATCGAGTGGCTGCCACCTGCACGACCAACCAGGGCCGGGGACAAACTGCAACCGAGGTACATGCCCTTAGCGGGAACCGAACCCGGGTCTCTCTGGACCGCAGGCCTACGCTCTAACCGCTGAGCCAAACCGGCCAAGGCAAGAAACATTTTTAACCCTGGTCAGTGTGGCTTAGTTGGTTGAGCGTCATCCTATGCACCAAAAGGTTGCTGGTTTGATTCCTGGTCGGGGCACATGCCCAGGTTTTGGGCTTAATCCCCAGTATGGGGTGTTTAGGAGGTAGCCAACTGATGTTTTTCTCTCTCTCCTCCTTCCTCTCTCTCTAAAAATCAATCACAAAATCTTAAAATAAATAAATAAATAAAGATATTTTTACTTTAATTACCAAACAGATCGTTCAACTGGCTCCAGTAAGCGGTGGGCTCCGTAGGCAGGGAGGGCTGGAAAACTTGATGGACAGCAGGAAGCTGCTGAACCACGCTGGTCATACGGTCCAGAGTTGCCACACGAGCTGCTTCAAAGAGGGGACTCTTCTGGCCTCTGGACATTTCTCGCATGCCCAAGCCTAAGCATGGGGCTAACAGGCTCAAATTGAACTCCTGCATCAAGGCATTAAAGGTTCAATGATTACAAATTTTCAATAAGGCAAGAAAACCAGTAGAAGGAAGGATAGCGCAAACATGTCTAAGATAACAGATTAGTATACCATAAAAAAAATTATAAGGAGCCCTGGCTGGTTTTGCTCAGTGGTTAGAGCATTGGCCTGCGGTCCTGAGAGACCCGGGTTCAGTTCCCGCTAAGGGCACGTACCTCGGTTGCAGTTTGTCACTGGCCCTGGTTGATCGTGCGGGTGGCAGCCACTCGATGTGTCCCTTTCACATCGATGTTTCTCTCTCTCTCTCTCTCTCTCTTCCTCTCTCTCCCTCCCACTCTACCTGAACAAAAAATTTAAAAAAAAAAAATTATAAGGATATTCTACTTCTTTTTTTTTTTTTGTACGTGCCCCTAGCGGGAACTGAACCTGGGAATCTGGTCCACAGGCCAATGCTCCAACTGCTGAGCCAAATCGGCCAGGGCAGGATATTTTACTTTTTTTTATTAATAAATGAGTAACTCTTAAACATATGCTCAGTGAAATATATTCTGGTCTCTTTTGGGTGCTTTAATTTTAAAGAAGTATTTTCATTCTACTATGCCTTCAAACTGAGCATGACTAAACTTTAACTGATAAAAACACAAATCGAGTTGATGTGTCATGCAAGAAATCAGTGAGACACTTTGACATTCCCAAAATTTGAAAAAAGTAGGTTATGTTCAAAAATAGCTGAAATAAAAATCAAAGTACCGCCCAGCCAGTGTGGCTCAGTGGTTGAGCATCAACCCACACACCAAGAGGTCACTGTTTTGATTCCCGGTCAGGGCACATGCCCAAGTTGTGGGCCCGATCTCTAGTGAGGGGCATGCAGGAGGCAGCCAATCGATGTTCTCTCTCATCAGTTGGAAAAAATAGATTTTTTTTTTAAAATCCTCACCCGAAGACATTTTTCCATCTATCATCAGAGAGAATGGGAAGGAGGGAGAAAGAGAAACATCGACGTGAGAGAGACACATCGACTGGTTGCCTCCCGCACTACCTCAACCAAGGCCGGGACGAACTGCAACCGAGGTATGTGCCCTTGACCAGAATCGAACCTGGGACTCAGTGGTCCGCAGGCCGATGCTCTAACTGTTGGGCCAAACTGGCCAGGGCAGAAAAACAGCATTTTATATAACACTGCAATTTGTATTATTTTGCCAACTTTTTAAAACCATTTAAGGATTTTCTGGCCAACTTTCAGGTGGAATGTCAGTCTTCAGTTAGTATCAGAAAAGCACATGTCACCATCAGTGACCAAAACTGAACCTGTCTTTTAGAGCCAGAATCTTTAAAAGCTGTTACAAGCCCAATGATCTAATTCGGAATATTCAACAAATTGGTCATTAAACAAACAGAACACTTAGCAAATCAGCTTTCACTGAATGGATTTTAAAATTACATTAGCCAACTGTTTCTGAGCCAGTTCTCCTGTTATTTCTTCAGTGTAGCTCTTACTTAGGAATGGATGAGAATCAGCACCTGGGGACACACTCTTCGTGCACATCTGGCCCAGTCTTGGTTGCCCCACCCAGGTCCCTGCCGTTGTTTCATTCCCATCCCACTTGGTCCATCACAAGGCAGCACTAAAACACCTCAAGTTCAGCCCACTGCCCACCCTGCAGGTCTGAGGAGGTACCTGTTAGGGCTGTGGTTGAGAATACAGAAAAGGGGGTTCCCCCCATTCCTTATAGGACCTGCCCAAGAGCAGAGGACAAGGACATGAAAGCTTTGCAAGGGCATCCTGGACCAGCTGTGCACAGCATGGGGGCCTTTGTGACATCCAAGGGGGTGGAGGGGCCTCACTGCATTTGGGGGCGGGGCCTCACTGGCATGGGGAGGGAGACTTACCAGAGATCAGTCTCCAGAGCACTACGAGAGTGTTAAGTTACAACGAGTGACGCCAGTGACACCATTCGATGCCTTTCCTCACGCCCACGAGAACAAGCAAGTACAGTGGACCGTAGTTTATGAGAACCCATTTTCTTTAGACGTACGATAAGTTGAACCAAACACCAAATGCCTTCTTCTGCACTCTAATGGGACTGAAATGATGCCCTGTCCTGCCTGGACTAGAGTTCTTGCCACTGAGGCAGTCAGGCGAGTAGCATGCATTCTAGTGGTCTGCCTGACGGGAGAAACTGTGTGTGTCTGAGCCACAGCAGGCAGGTGGGGTTCCCAGCAGCCACTGCCCGTCGTACCGAGTTCAGCATGAGTGCACTCATGTCATCGGGAGGGACCCGATTCACCAGCTCAGCCCCCTCCAGCAGTGCAGAGTCGGACCTCGTCCAGCACTGGGATTTGACCAGGCGTACGTACCAATCCTGAGAAGAAGAGAAGGTCAGTAATGGCCTTAAGTGGGACAGGGTTTTCAGGGGCTTCAGCTCTACTGGAGGTGCTGTCTGCACTACTGCCGCGGACCAGAACACCAGTAGCTTCCCTGGACTGTGAACGCAGTTCTGTAAAAACGACCTCTGGCTGGCCATGCAGGCTGCCTCTCAAGCCACAGGACCTCCTCCAAAGGTTTGTCTTTGAACCTGCTTTACTATCTAGACAACCGCTCCTTCTCCTCTTCCCCTGGTACACAGACACCTGTCCTTCAAACTCACTGGCAGTACTGAGCGTCGCAGGCCCTGTGCCCTCACCCGCACCGTTTGACATCACTCCCACCACCCACCATTGCGGAGGCAGCTCTGCTCCTCTCCTCAGGGCAGCACGGCAGAAAAGCAGAGCTAGCTGAAGCTATACTATGCCTGGGCTGTACGTTTTTGAAACCCAATCCACATTTAATTGAATTCCCTCCAGGAAAGCAGAGTACCAACTATCTTCCAAGGGCCCAAGTGATCTCCAGGTTCGTACCAGAATCCTTGGGGTGGTAGGGTCACTATACAGGAGGTCAGCAGGTGCAAGGAGAGGGAGACAGGTCAAGTTGGGCCTGCACTTAAAGGCCTGTGCAGGTGTGTGTGCAGACTGTGGCCACCCCATTCCTGCTCCTCCCATCAATGACTCTGCCACCCCTGCCACAAGTGTCCCAAGTCAGCATTTCCTTCCTTAGCCCACACCCCGTTAACAACATGGGCTGGACTTCAGGTATCATGTGTGATGGGCCCTGTACATGGCTGGCAAGAACAGAGCAGGCCAGGAGCCCTCCAGATCCATGCCAGGTGCCATAATACCCTCCTACCTGAACCACCACTCCACACTCAGTGCCCTGACTGGGCCCATGCATCACACACAGACATTCTGGACACTTACTTTGTCTGGACTCACTGTCTCAAGAGCCAGGGGCCCATCCCCATCCAGCGGGTGGGACGTGACCAGAGGAGAGGGGCCACGTGACCCTGGTGCGGTGGCGAGACGAAGCCTGTCCAGCAGGGAGTAGAGCCTTTGGTGTCTGGAATCCAATCACACGTGGGTTAGAGCCCAGCCTCACAGGAAGACATGACAGTGTTTCTTCAAGTGAGATGCAATGTGACCGACACTCTCTTCAGAGCTACTTCTGATCAAAATTCAAATAAGTCACAATGCAAACTTGTTAATTTCAATAACCACAGTTTATGCCCCGTAAGTCTCTCTCAGAAGTTTCACTTATACTCAAACACGTAATGGGCAATCCATGGAATAACAGTAATAGAAGCACTCTTTACAAACGCAGAACACATTGTTTGCTCTGAGACCCATGTGCACAAAGTCCCCAGACAAGACGTCATTTACACCAACTTATGTTTATTCCACAGAAGAATCACCTCATCTGGTGCAAGACATTTATAATTTTCCTCAGCTGGGCTGAGTGGTAACTCTAGGGTCAAACAATAACAACAGTTTGACCTCCGACCGTCTGCTAGGAGAACACCATGCAAATTATGACATAACTCAGCCCACTGTCCTGAGAGGGCATTCCAAATGGGGCCCTGCCCACCCATCACACCCCTGCCTGATGACAGACACCTTCAATAAGCTACTCTTAAGACTGAGTCACGGCAAATAATGATATTCTCTTTCTCTCTCACATGTTCCCCCCTCACACCCACCTCCGAGGAGGAAAAATGGTAAAAGCTTCTCTTAATTGATTTTGCAGTCATGAAAATATACTCATAGACAGATGTCATAGTTTCTGATAAAGGCTCTGAAGACTTTGCAAGCAAATTAGATGATAAATAGCTATCAAGAAATAAAATTTAACAAGATGCACGCCAAGAATTGAGTAAGGTCTTTCAGAGTCGACCACTCGTGCTGAGCAGTTAGGTGACAGGCTTCGATCTTGCCGAGATAAAGCTGACGATCCGTGCTCCCGTCCGCGGCTAGGTGAACAGAGGCACGAGGAGCACCACCTCTCAGACAGCCCGCGAGCGCAGGCACGCCTCCACCAGTGCAGCAGAGGGGCCTGCCAGTCGCTCTTGACCTTTTACACAGTGACATCCAGTTGTGTGTAAGGCAGGAGGACTCTCTATCAAGGCCAAGGTCCTCTACAGTAAACCGGTCTAGGAAGCACATCAATTGCTCACCTTGTTACAACTCTAAGTCTTTATATCCAAAAGCAAGGAACACCTGGCTGTGGCATTACCTGTGAGCTAAGCCGCTGCTCTGAAGGTGCTCCTGGATTCTGCTCAGCTCCTCCACTGGCAACTGGGCCATGCTGCTCTAAAGTAGACAGGAACACATCAGGGATTGCAACACACCATGAATCAACAACCTCGCTCTGACTCACAGAGGATACAGACGTGTACGTCTATCGTAGAAAGGTAGACTAGAAGAAGGTACAAGAAGCACCCATGTCAGACACATGAGGACAACCACTCACACACATTACATGTGTTTCTCTCGGGCCGCGCAGAGAGCATGCCTGAGGAGGAAAACACCAGCCAACTGTCTGACTTGCCCTGCTAGGTTTTCAGTAAACACCAGTTTCAGTGTTGGGTTCAGTACCTGTAGATCTGCAGCCAAAAGCATTTCTACTCGGCGACAAGCAAGGGTGTCAACCATGCGAGCCAGCACACGGAACGGAGTACACAAAAGCTTGTCCACATACAGTGTTAGCACGGCGCCTGACTGGCTCAGGTGGATCCCTTCCAAGCACTGAAGGGTCTTCCTCAGGGTGGTGGGCTGGCATGGGAGAGAAGGAAAGAGGGGTCAGCCAGTCGGAAGTCAGCAGTTAAAACTCCAACAGCTGTCAGAAACAGAAAGCCGGGGCTGACTAGAGTGGCTCCCAGGAGACTTACAGCTGAGAGATTTTCACAACGAGACTGAATTGCCTGGATGAAAAGGCCACTGGCGGCGGGATTCCGATGAACGGCACTAATGAAATCCTGCACAGGAGGCTCATGGGACAGACTGATCAGATCTTGGATGTGGTTCACAATGAGCCACGTCAAGTGCTCGGAATCATGTAGGTTCTGACACTGTGGAAAAAGATAATCACAGACTCGCTCTCAAGCAGACCAGGAGAGAACAGATAGCAAAGCCACTGAAAAGCCCAGAGGGGTGATGGGGAAGCAAAGCCCAACTACAGTCCTCACTGAAATAGCTAGCACCTGCCCACCACCAACTGAGGAGGCAGAAACTCCCTCCACAGAGCCTGTCTCCTCCCTCCACACAGTGTGCTAAGACCATGCCAAGTGAGACCCCACCGGGGAATGGGACCCAGCAGTCCAGCTCCAAGGGACACCAGACAGTGGCTGGAGAAAGAGAGAGCATGGCCCAGGGCAGTGGGGAAGCCACGGGCACCAGCCACAGCCAATGCCACCCCAGGGCAGCAGGAACGGTGAGTGCTGCCCTTACAGGTGACTGGCCCCGAGTTGGGACTCTCGTCCACGGCCACCCCTGCCCTCTCCCAGGCTTCAGTCTCGCCTGCTGAGGGACTCCTCCAGTTACTCGTTCTCCAGTTTTGTAACAGGTCAGTGGAAATAGAGAATTCCCGATAACTGCCATAGTTTTGATAGAATTTCTGAATCCAAAATATGAGTGGATTCCACATATCAACTAGAAAGGGAGGCAATTTCATTTAAAACTTATCAGAAAATGAGAAATACCCATTCTGGAATACATATATGTTATATAATTATATTACTTCTCAGAAGTGTAACAAGATAGAAAAACTATTTCAACAGCAAAAATGTAAAGCAAAAAAGGAATATTAATAAACTGCTATCACAACAACAAAAACTATACTGAGGAGGACTAGTTCAGTTGAAGAAGAAAGTGCATACTTCCTTTTCCGATTCAGAATGTCTAATAGTGTTTGGTGACTCAACGGCATTATGTATACGGTACTGCGTTTGTACCAAAAAGATGCATATGTGTATTTTTTTAATCCTCACCCGAGGATATTTTTCCATTGATTTTCAGATAGAGTGGGAGGGAGGGAGGGAGGGAGAGAGAGAAAAGTAGATGTGAGAGAGATACATCGACTGGTTGCCTCCCACAGGGCCCCAACCAGGGCCAGGGATGAACCGCAACCAAGGTATGTGCGCTTGACTGGAATCGAACCTGCGACTCTTGATGGGTCGATGCTCTAACCCCTGAGCAAAACCGCCCAGGGCAGAAACGTGTATTTTTTATACTGGTGGAAAAAGTACTAAACCCCAACCAAAGTGTAACAAATATAAGAACTTCTTTTTTTTTTTTATCCTCACCCGAGGACATTTTTTGATATTTTGTTCAGATAGAGTGGGAGGGAGGGAGAGACAGAAACATCGATGTGAAAGGGACACATCGAGTGGTTGCCACCCATATGACCAACCAGGGTCGGGGACAAAGGGCAACCGAGGTACGTGCCCTTAATGGGAACCGAACCCGGGTCTCTCCAGACCGCAGGCCGACGCTCCAACCGCTGAGCCAAACCAGCCAGGGCAGAACTTCCTTTGAGTGATGCAATTACAAAAGATTTTTTTCTTTCTATTTACTTATTTGGTTTTTGGAAATTTTCTACGTTAAACATGTGATGCCAGTTTTCTGGTCAAAAATTCAAGTTATATTTTTAAGAAAAAATGGTGCACAGCAGTGTGGCTCAGTGGTGGAGCGTCAACCCACACACTAAGAGGTCGCCTACTGGATCCGGTCAGGGCACATGCCAGGTTGTGGGCCCGGTCCCCAATGGGGGTATGCAGGAGGGGCCAGTCGATGTTCCTATCTCTCCTTTTCTTGCTCTGAAATCCATAAACAAAACAATGGTAAGAAGAGAAGGCACTCAGACAGGAGTCTATTTAAATGCAGCAGAGAACGTCTGACCCTTCTCCACAGACTGAAAGCTGTTACTCAGAACCCACTCCAGTCCCTGCTCCCAGCTCGTCTTCCTGTTGTCACTCCACTGCTTCTCCAACACGGAGAGACTGCTCAGCACTCCGACTCACCCGGAGCGGTCACTCCGTGGGTGCTCAACAAGCGACAGCTGAACGAAACCTTTCACAGACAAACTTAAAATCTCGCCACCAACGGTCACATCTGGTTCCTCACTTTATGTCAGAGCAAGACTAAACATCAACTTTGGACTTTCCGTGGAAGTGGGAGGTCAGTCCTAAGACAGTGTGCAGAGTGGCGTGTGCACGGGGTTCCCCAGGCCCACTCCCACCCCCATGTTTCCACACTCACGACATAATCGCAGAAGAGAATAAGAGCGCCTTGCCGGACTACTTCTCTGTTGCACATGCCAAGTCTGGGTGCCAAATCGGAATCCTCCTCCTCTCCAGACATCTGAGGACTCAGGGACTTCGTGCTGGACAGACTGCGTCTCCTGGAAGGAAAAACAGATGCACTGCCATGGGTTCCGGGAGGCAGCAAGCCTACTTTCAAAATGCTGCAGGTGATCAGGTTAGTTCCAGTTCTGAAGCAGGGACTTCCAAAGCAGCCACGCAGTTTGCGTAGCATATGCTCTGTCACCCCCTCTGGCCTTGGTGAAGCGCACACAGGAACTGAAGGAAACAGAGGCCTTCACAGACAGGGCACACCACACGAGCTGCACGTCTGCCACACACTCACTTCGAGCTCACTGGCTGCCGGACCCAGCTGTGGTCTGCATGGAGCTGTCAAGGCCAGAAGGCCTTCAGGTTCCTGTTTCAATTCGATTGCCAGTGAAATGCTTCAACTCTAGACGTGCCCGCAGTACACATGCTGTTATAGAAACCCTGTGTAGAAGTATTTCTGCAAAAGTCATTCCCCACTATGAAGGAACTGCATTCCTATTCCTCCTTCTCGCTCAGTCTTCTTTCAAAGAAGATGGAAAGTATAAATCTCAAGATTCTCCGTTCCGCCCCACCACTTAAAGCACAGTGGTTGCCACACTCACAAACAGCCCCTCCGGCTGCTACGTCTGCCTAGGTCAGTTCCATCCCTGGGTGGCAGGGACCTGTGCATCTCTGCTAAGGATTAGCGAGACAGAGGTCACATCAGGGCAAGAATATTCGGAAATGTGTCAGCTTTTTCCCGTTATGCCTCAGGATTTAGAAGAGAACTGGTATAAAGCAAATCTACCATTTCTCTGCTTTCACCTGGCGAATGGATGAGCAGAACAGTCCTCAGCCATCGCAGGAACGAACGCCGTGTGCAGCACCACAACTGACACGCCCTGTGCAAACCAAGACCACAACCTGTGTGTTCCCACTTCTGTCCTTCTGCAACAGGCCACATGCAGGGTCAGACATGGATTAAGGCTCCCAATTTGCAGCAGGGAAATCTCCAGAGACCTCGGACAGATGTGTCTGTGAAGGAGCATCCCACATCCAGAACTGCACGTGCAGGCCTCAGAACGGATGGCTAGGAAGACCACACCACTCCCAGTGCCATGGCACATGTGGGCAGACCCTAACAGTCCACCGAAGGCGGGAGAGATCAAAAGCAAATCACAAGTCTCTGCAGTCCTGAAAATAAGATGACAAGAGCAGACCCTGTGTGGTGTGCCTGTGCCCAGGGGAGCGGGGCCAGGAACTGGGTGTGGGTGCTCCATAACAATGTGATAGACGATATCTGGTGAGTCTATATAAAACGGCTGCGTGTCCTTTGTATTTACTACTTCCAGAGTCCATTTTTATTATCTTCTGGAAATACAGAGACACTCATCTTTCACAGCACGCAGCGAGGGGACAATGGAGGGTGTAACCAGTAGCTCTGCCGCCAGCACTTCCTTCCAACATGGGGCGTGAAGCACTCCAGTATAAACACTAATTACACTGTGTTCCCTTAATTCCACCTCTGTAGTGCCATGAAGACATTCTATTGTTATGAAATCTAAGTACAGAACAGTTATAGAATCCACTAGTTTTATTTCAGGATAATAGAGAGGGACAATACAAAATGTTCTAGAAAAAGAAACTGGCCCTGGCCAGAGCGGCTCAGTTGGTTGGAGCATCGTCCTATATACGGAAAGGTTGCAGGTTTGATTCCCAGTTAGGACACATACCTAGGTTGAAAGTTCAGTTACTGGTTGGGGCACGCACGTACAGGAGGCAACTGATGTTTCTCTCTCACATTAATGTCTCTCTCTCTCTCCTCATACCCCTCTCTCTAAAGTCAATAAGCATACCCTTGGGCAAAGATTAAGAAATAAAAATTAAAAAAGAAAGCAAGGGCCCTGGCTGGTTTGGCTCAGCGACAGAGCGTCAGCCTGTGGACCAATGAGTCACGTGTTCAATTCTGGCTAAGGGCACGTAGTTTGGTTGCGGTTCATCCCTGGCCCTGGTTGGGGTCCTGCAGAAGGCAGCAAGTTGACGTGCTCCTCTCACATTGATGTTTCTCTCTCTCTCCCTCCCTCCCACTCTATCTGAAGATAAACAGAAAAATATCCTCAGGTGAAGATTATAAAAAAAGAAAGCAAGAAGAACTAAGTCAGATAGGATTAAGAAAAACTGTCACAGTGTAAACCTCCTAAATGTATACCAAACTGGAGACTGCCTTCAAACAGCTGAATGGGGACACCTGCTGTTTCCTGGACCACATTCACTTTCGGTTCATTTCTCTAATCACGGACCATCTGGTGAAGCATTTCTGTTATTCCACTTCAGAGAACACAATTCCCAGAGCCAGAGGTTTCTGACATAACATCAGAGTAAACCACGAAGGTCATGCAGTGTGAATGGGGAAGTCGCCAAGGTGAGGGAGAACACACACCGGGGAAAGTTAAACTCCTACCAATGCAAGAGAACGAGACGTGTGAGGACAGGCATGGGGAGCATGGGGGCCAGAAGAACAGGGCCCCTTGCACTCAGCAGCTGGCAGCCACCCTGGCACAGGAGACGCACCACATACAACACAGCTAGGGTGGGAGAGGCACCTGTGGCTTCTGACACTAGTCAGCCTTCAGGGCTGTTTGGATGTGTCAACCATCAGAGTCCAATGATGAAATCAGCCTACACCTCTATGTTTAAGTTCAATGAACTGTTTGCAATTCCTCACACCTCTGCAGTTTCTGTGTCTCACATGATATCCAGGGGTGAAGTCCATCTTCTCTGCCCTACCAAACACCAAATAGTTTCCCAAATAAGACATTCCAAGGGCCAATGGAAACAGACAGCACCAGCCATACTGGAGGGCCAGCAGTGTGCTGGGGCAGAGAAGAGAAGGGAAGAGTCTCTGTCCACGGGTGCTGTGCTCATGTCTACTGGAAACCCTACGGAACCCCAGAAAGGCCACTGGAGCTACTGAGTGGGCTTAGCAAGGTCTCAGGATATGAGGTCAACACACAAAAGCCACCTGCGTTTCCATGGACTATAACACACTATAGGAAAATGAAATATTTTTTAAATTATCATTTAAAATTGCATTCCAAAACACTCAGGAACAAATTTATAAGATATGTGTAATGCTTATTTACTAAAAAAAAAAAATACAAGATGTTGTGGCAAATTAAAGAAGATCTAAATAAATGGATAGACCCCGTTCAAAGACCCAACGACTCAATATCAGTAAGACGACACTTCTCTCCAAATTAACCTACAGACTCACCACAATCCCAATCAAGATCCCAGCAGGCTTTTCTGTACACATGTTAGAACCTGACTCTAAAATACAGGTATGGAAATGCAAAGAAATAAAAGAACTGAGACTATTTTGGAAATGAAGAACAAGGCCTTCATGTTTCCTGAGGTTTGCTAGGTGACTAAAATGATCCACAGTAATGGCCCTGACGTGACGATACAGAGGGCGGTGGATGCAGGGTCCAGAGAAGGTCCCCACACTCGATTGGGTTTTGAGAAAAGTGCCAAGGTAACTCAACAGAGAAAGAACAGTCTTTTTAACAAATAATGCTGAAAGAACAATACATAAGGAGAAAAATAACTCTTTAGCCTTACATTAGGTCATTTGCAAAAATTAACTTGAAATAGTAAAAAAAAAACTCAAGATATGAAAGTTCCAGAAGAAACCATGAGAAAATTTTCATGATTCAGGGTTGGCAGCTATTACCTGTCCTCTGCTCCCACACAGAGCAAAGATCGAGTTTGATACCTGCTAACACAGGACATTGCAGGGGACAGGACGGTCCAAGCAGGACCCCGAGGCCCCCACGGCTCGGTCTCCCCACAAGCACGGAAAAGCTGCCTCGGCCTGAAGCCCTGGCCGCCTCTCCCTGCGGAGTGCTCCCTCCTGCCGCCCGCGGCCCCGAAGCACTGCTCAAGGACACCGTGGGCGCCTAAGCTCTCACTGCCACAGCGCAGATGTCTGCGCGACAGAGCACCTGGAGACTGAGGCTCAGACCTGAATGCTTTCTGCAGGGTACTTAATAAGTCTTTTTAAATAATGAAAAATAAGGTATTTCCAAACAGTTTTGAAATGTTGCTAAATAATTACTTCATTATCTAAGAATAACTAGAACCATATTTAACTTACAAGAAGTTAAGACATTGCAACACGTCTGGCTCTGGAACCAATTTAAGGACAAGAACCTAGCAGGAGGGATGCGGCATGACAAGAATGCCCACAAGCTGGAACAGTGTCAAAGAACTTGTCAAACCAATCACATTGAAAAAGCAGCGGGGATTCTGAGTGCCTTGAGTCAGACCACATTTTTTTCTCTACAATAGTGTCTGTGAAGGAAAGATGAACAAGTAGCAGAACCTTACAAAGCCCAATGGGAAAGGGGCCAGACCGTCTGCGAGAGGCCCAGCACAGGGCCGGCAGGCAGACCTACCTGGGGGTCTGCTGCACCTCGGCCCACCAGCGGTAGTCGGTGTGGCTGACGAGCAGCAGGATCTGACACCAGAGCAGCACGAGGGCCGGGTGTGTGGGGACCATGGAGCGCACCCGGGCGTTCAAGCTCTCCAGGCTGTAGAAACTGCCTTCGATGCTGTCTGCTGTGAAGAGTCTAGAGGCAGCTGCTGTGATTCTCCGGAACATCCCTAGAAACAAACACAAAGTAACACAGATTAAGGGAGAATCTGCTGTCATCACGGACCAACACACTGTAGGCTAAGAGATTTTACGTAAAAGGACCCACACATGGCTCGTCCCTGCACGTAGTCCTCAGACCAGCAGGCCCTCCCTGCACTACTCCTGCTGACCGCATGGCTCCTTGGCTTGCTGAGAACTGAGAGGCAGCAACTACAGAGGTCATGTGGCAGGAAAAGAAGACAGATGGCGCTCCACGCTCAGCGCTCTGTAGGCTGAGCGCCAAGGGCCAGGTAGGCTCCAGGGCCACCATGAGGCGTCCTGCGGCTGGGTGGCAACATCCTTAGTGGCAGACCCAGTGGACTTGGCCCACAAGTTTCTCCACAGCAGCCTCAATGCCTAGAAAAATCCCCTCGGGCAATTAAGGATTCCACTCCAGCCCCTCTTCTAGACAGACACAAGTCAGCTGAACACACCTCTCCAGCGCCCTGCATGGCTGCACCTGGCACAGTAGGGAAGTGACTCACTGTCCCTCAACCTTGGGTTGCCTGGCATCATGCTACAGTCAAAAGTTGCACTTTTGGTTTAACTGCACAAGCAAAAGAGTTCTACAGGGGATATAGGGTGGACTCCTTCCCTACCAGTTCACAACTGGTGACACCTATGCCCTGAGGAGGGGAAAGACGCGCGCTCTAGCAGGCGGGGGGAAGGGCAGCACGGCCCAGGCTCCGCTGTGGTCGGACGGGGCAGCGCTCACAGCGGGCGGGCCGCACCCACCCGACTTGAAGATGTGGATCAGACACATGAGGAGCGTGCCCAGCTCCTGGCAGTAGAAAGCGTGCTGCTGCTCGCTCACTTCAACGCCCAGCTGCTTCGTCACGATGTCCTCTGAAAGGATGCCGACCAGCTGCAGGAGAAACCTGCGGAGAAAGGGGCAGGGTGGCAGTGACTGAGGTGAGCAGACGTAAAAATGCATACAGGACACGGTCTGTAAAGTAAAAATGTGAGGAAAGCAAATTAAGCTGAGAACCATGGAAGACCATGGCTGAGGGCCTGTGCCTTTCTGCCCACCTCTCCTTGCTCACAAGGGGGCAGCAAGCACTCCACCTCAGAGGCCCGTCGGGAGGACACTGTGGCATGTGAATAGCAAAGATGATGACAACACAGCACAGGAATCTCATCTCACCCACGGTGGCCACCTGCTTAATATAAGAGAGAGCGCCACAGGCTCCCATATGCCCTGCAAACAGAAGGCGCCATGCGGGCCTCCTGGGTTCATCTCCACACACTCGGCACATCCTCTCAGCCGCTCTGCCTAGGTGAGTACCCCAAGTCAGGCCAAAGTAGGTACATGCTTGTCCAGCACAGCCTGAGATGCTGGAATCGGAACCACTGCCCTCAGGAGCCTCTGAATGATGGGGAGCAGACGTGATTTGATAGGACAGTGTCCCACCGGGAGCTCACGGGAGCGGCCACGCTGCAGGGAGGGATCTTACTTGGAATGGCTAGCACCTAGTAGGAAGGGAAGTAAGACCGACGTCTGTGGGTCCTCTTAGATTCTGAATTCTCTGCAGATAGCACATGCCCACCCTGCCTGCGCCCAGGGCAGGCTGCCCACCCCACCGCTGCAGGGAGCACCCCCGTGGTCTATCAGGAGGACATCAGGTAGGATGTGACGGAGCCAGAAGAGAGGCATGAACCAAGGGCCACCATCAGGGTAGCTGTCTTCACCCAGTTCAGAGCTGAAGACAAGGAGTTAGTCCTGACTTTCTGGTCAGTGAACACCACGGGACTTCCAGAAGGATGGGAATGAAAAGCAGGGTCAGATATACAGCATACCTTGAGAATGTTTCTTCTGGCAAATTCTTCATCTGTCTCCCTTCACTGTTTTGTTCTGGTGCTGAATTACAGTCCCCATTTCTTAACCTATTAATTATCGGACATGAGATTAAATATGGAGAGAAGGACAGCTCTTGAATACGAGAAAGAACAATATCTTCAGTTGACTGGGAGATCAGAACCCTCAAAATGGCCAGGATTCCTGAGATCCAGAGCTGGACAGTGCTCACAGATGCCTAAAAGGAAAAAAACAAGCTACAGTTAAAAAAGAATTACATTTTTCTTGATGGTCAATTTCATGAATAAAAATCACTCTGCTTTTCTGTCCTACCAACCAACCCATATCATGTATTCTGAAGTGTGGCCCCACACAGGCGGCATCTCCACTGGCTGAGAACAGTTTAAGTGCAGCCCTCAAGCCCCACCCAGGCCTGGCGGAGCCCTGGGGACTGGGAAGAACTGCTCTGCAGGGTGGAATGTAACACGCCCCAGGACACGGGGACTCACCATTGTGTCTGGAGTGACAAACATGCTCCGCAAAAGCATGTCCACAGGCCGGAGAGAGGAAGGGGCCAGAGTCTCAAACACAGTGTTCAACACGCCGAGGGCTTCATGAGAACCAATATGCATCTGTTGCGATGAGACAAGAGCCAACACTTACACCTCCGGGCCGGCCAGCGGCTCCAGGCCAGACAATGCCGACCATCCAGCACTGGCACTTAGGTGTAACACTGTAGCATTAGTAGTCAACCAGGCAAACACTTTCAGAACACCACCGTATCAGCTACATTTTTTCCACAAAGCAAATCTTTTCATATAGATTTTTATTACATAAACAATACATGTTTTCTGTAAAAGACTCAAATACATTAAAGAACAAAAGAAATCGGCCAGCACCCTGACACAATCATCACCCACTTTGGGAAAGCCAGCCCTCACGCACCCTCTAGACACAATTTCCCTAAGTGGGTGCAATACACACATCTTCTCTTTTGTTTTTCTCTGCTGTACCTGCACACCATCCCTACAGTGCCAGTTAGTAATAAATATTAATAAACTAATGTATTTCTCTCCCTTACCTTTCTCCACTGTTCCACATAGAAAGGTTTTTGATTAACGTGTTTTGATAAATCATATAAATGTCCCTGCTATTTTCCCTTAAAAATACAATGGGGAACTTCTAAGGCACCAGGCTTTGAAAGCTAACATTCCAAACAAGTCTCTACCATAGTGTATCTAGCCACTCCCCAGTGACGACGGGCAGTGACTGTTCCCAATTTCTGTCACTACTAAGCAACACTTATATAAAGTCAGTATCTCTGAAGAGAAGGGATTTTTCCCAGGTGCAGATCTGAGACCATACAGTGCTGTGCCATACCTTAACAGAAAGGGCACATTGACAGACCTGCCAGCTCCCAACTCCTGGATCTGTGCCCACACCCGACACTACCTCTTCCTGGGTGCCCACTGCCTGTTATGCACCGTCCCTAACCCTCTGTGTCTGATGTCTGCTTGGGGACACTACAGTAGCAATTCATGGGTCCCGCATTGCCAATCTCCCTCTGCTTTTGCCCTCAATGCACACGCAGGCCTTCCTTCCTCCCAACTTAACCATTCCACCGAGCCGTCCCCTCCTCGGGCAGCACCCAAGTGTACTCCTTCCTAGAGCAACTCTCACCAACACACAGCGGGGCTCCTATTCCCCACTCCACATGCTCTGCTCCCTCGGGTCTGCCAAGCACAGGCTCCAGTCCCCAGAGCTACCGGACTTGGCCTCTCAGCAGCCCAGGGCTGTTCCCCTCTCTTCTTTCTTGGATTTAAGAACGCCAAGCCTGTCTGCTCTTCCTTTTCCCCCACTGGCTGTCCCTTCCCCATGTCCTCAAGGGCTCCCTCCACCTCTTTGGCCTCTACGCTGGCGCCGCCCAGTGCAGAGGTCAGCCCTTTTCCCTCTAGCTACCCAGGGTCCCATGGAGGTCTCCGTGACCTCGAACAGTCTCAGATGTTTACCCCCTGCCCAGCTCTCTCCCTATGCCTTTCGCAACTTCTCCGCATACCTACCAGGTGCCCTAACTGAACGCCCCCAGCTCTGGCTCTGCCTCCTCTGAAACCCAATCCTCCATCACCTCTCATAGCAGAGAGCAGACCTCATGTCCTGCAGTGTTCCTTCTCTTACACCCCACACCTAAGGCAAAAGCAGAGCCGACTGGTTCCGTCTACTCTGGACTACCCTGCAGAGGACTACTCCTGGCCATGTCACTCCTACCTCCTGGTCCACACCACCCCCTGCCTCAGGGAGCCTCTCTGCTCTGCCATGCCCACCCCCCGAGTCTTTTCTCAACTCTCAAATCCCACCAAGCCCCTCTCTGTAACAAATGCTCTGTAGCTTCCCAAAGTGCTGGGCACAAGCTGGGAGGCCCCATGTGATCCAGCCCTCGTGCCCTCCCCCATCACTGCCCCCTCCCTCACACCATCATCTTGCTGCTCTTCAATCCCAACAGGATGTTCCCACCTCAGGGCTGGCACTGCAGCTCTCTGCATGGATGTTCTGTGCCCAGGGATCTGCGGGGCTCAGCGTGACTTCAAGTTCGCCCCAACTTCACTGAGGGAACAACACAGCCCCACCTGGCCCTGCCCTCTCTCCTCCACTCTCTGCACAGCACTTCCTACCACCTAACATTTTTTTAAAAATATGTTTTGATTTTCCTTTTTAGAGAGAGAGGAAAAGAGAAATAGAGGCATCGATGTGACAGCGAAACATTGATCAGCTGCCTCCTGCACACCCCCTACTGGGGATCGGGTCCACAACTCAGGCATGTGCTGTGACCGGGAATTGAACCAGGACCTCCCAGTCTATGGGGCGATGCTCAGTGTACTGAGCCACATCAGCCGGGCCCACCTGACATTTTATACAATAACTGACTTCCTGTCCATCTCATCCACCCCATTCCAATCCCGTCCCTCCAAGAAGGCAGGTTTTCTTCGTCAGCTCCGCTCACTGGGGGTCCATGCTAGTACCTGCAGCAGTGCCAGCAGTTCGTGAACATAACATGCCCCGTGCTTGGCTACCTGGCGGGCACTGCAACATGCTCCACACGTGCTTTCGAAGGTCCAGAGTGGCAGACAAGAAGCTGGGCACTGACTACGCATTCCAGCCCTCACCCTCTATCTTCCTCAAACTGTGTCCGTCATGGGTAAGAAAATGGAACCAAGCATCTGGGATATTACTCTAAAAACATAATCTACAGGCATGGAATCCTGACCACATTAAAACACCAAATTCGACCATTTATTAAAACTGCCCTCTGTCAATCTCACCAGAAGCCAAGACACCTCCCTCTACATAGCCTCAGATGACAAGTCATGTGAAGCTAGAATCAGGATGAAGTGTTGCAGACAGTATGACTACAGTGTGCCCACATGCTCCCACTGAATGCCAAGAGCCCAAGCACTGGACTACCCAGAGCGCTGGCTTCCTGAGCCGGGACAGCCGGGACAGTGTCTCTGATAGCTTCCAGAATGCTGGAGACCCAGAGCTTTGCCGGCAGCTGTCGAGCTGTCCTGGGGGGACCCATGTTGGTGACAAAGGTTTCCTGTCCTCTCACACCTGGTGGCAGATGTGGTCCTGAGACCAAGCGATTATTGGGCTCCATTCTTTTTTTTTTTTAATCCTCACCCAAGGACACTTTTTTTGCATCTATCTTCAGACAGAGCAGGAGGGAGAAAGGGAAGAAGAGAGACAGAGAGACATATCGACTGGCTGCCACCCATACAACCCCAACTGGGGCGGGGACAAACTGCAACCAAGGCACGTGCCCTTAGCAGGAACCGAATCCAGGAGTCTCCGGTCCGCGGGCCGACGCTCTAACCGCTGAGCCAAACCGGCCAGGTCTAGGCTCTATTCCTTATGGCAGAGCCAGACCATTTCCTTCACTGTATTGTGGAAATGACCAATCGTACCCTATGCTAACAAATTCAGCTTAAATGATGGGTAACTGCTAAATTACTTCCTAAGAGAGAAGGAAAACCACACACCTAAGTGAGATCTGATGAGAACCCCGGCGCAACAGGACCAAGAGAGGCCAGGCAGTACTATAGGAAGAACACAGGCTCTGGAGTCAGACTGGCTTGCCCTGGGTCCGGAACTTCCCCACCCACTGGAAGCCTTTGGGAAATCTATGGAACACCTCTGAGCCTCGGGATTCACACTGCAGAGCAGGAGACAACAGCAACCTGTGGGTCACTGAGAGAGGAATGAAAACTCCCTTGTCCCGTGACACGAAATGACAACTACTATGGGATGTGAATCTACCATGATTTAGTGAAAGGCCGGTCATAAGCACCCACCCTTTACCGGCTCCTCCCCCCTTACAACAGTGGCAGGGACACACCTGCTGTTTGGCTAGCATTGGGAGGATGACGTCAGCGACCTGTCGGGACAGCCGCTTCCACTTGTCTTCGCTCTCCTTGTGGCACTGCTGCAGGACGAGGATGAACATCTCCAGCACCTGCAGGGTGTGAGCGGGCACTGTCACCTCCTCCTCAGCACACGCTGCACCCGCCCCATCCCGGTCAGCTAGAAGATGCTAGGCCCTGTAACCCCCAGCAGGGCCTGAAAAATCAAACTTACATCAACTTTTGGCAAAACCCAAACACAGCCTGACTAAGCCACTGGCGGTGCCTCGCCCTTGGGGGCACTGCCCTCAGCGGAACCCTTTGTGAGGCATCTCCTGCTGGGTAGCACTGACTTTCAGGAGTTACCACGCTTGAGCATCATTTCTAAACAGAGTTTGCTAAAGGCGTGTAGTTGTAAATGAAATTTTATGGGCACACAGCCTGACCCCTGGTGAACGCTCTGAACAGGACTCTTGTCCACAACAGCAGCCTAGAGTTAAAACAGATCTGCTTGTTTATGGAAAACAAAAGAATGGAGTAAATAAAGAACAAGTGTGCCGACCTGGTCTCTAAAATGTAACTGCTTTACAAAAGGAGAGGTACTCATGTAAGCCCACCCCGTACAAAGCGCTGACCACCACTTCCACACTGTCTCCCTTCTGCACATAATCTGCTCCCCTAACCAAGACCAGCCAACCCTCTCTGCTCTCCCGTGAACCAGGCCGAGAACGAACCGGTCACTCTCCAGGCCTGCCACCAACCCAGCGCGCTCGCCAACAGTCAGCCTGGCTCTCAAACCTCCCTCGATGGCAGCTGTACTTATTATTGTATTTTATGGGATTTAATAAACACTAAGCATTTAACTAAATACTACCTAGATCAGCCAATGTGAGAACGCACAGAGCAAGTGTTTCTGAGAAAAGCTTATGACTTTATAAAGGCTCAAAGACAAAGAGCTGAAAAGAATGACGAAGTAAGTGAGAGCTAGGCCATTGCACAAGCTGAAAGAGAGGAGTCACTAAAACAGCCAGATTTCTGCACGTAAACTGCCTCGGACTACCTAAAATTCTTGCTCCACCTTAAGGAAAACAAAACCAGAATCAGCTCAAAGAAACAGATCAACATAGTCAGTCCTCTTTGGTCCTCATTTTGGAAAAGGGGGCCTCACTGTAAGTCCTCCCTTGACTATGTGCCATCGGCCAGGCGTCGGGCGGCCTCCCCTGTGGCAGAGCTGCTTTACAGACAGTGCTCTCTGGGCGACTCCCCAACCTAGCGCCCAGCTGGCACAGAGCAACACCCATTGATGAACAGACAGCGACCCGAGGCATCTCCCGCCCCTGCAGGGACGATGGAGGACATGACCACACACCTGGCCGCCCCTTACCTGATGGTACTGGATGAGTCTCAGCAGCATGGACACCACCACCTCTTTTTGAGTTTCCAGCTCCTTTCCCGCGTCAGCTTTATTGGCTCCTCGTAATACGAAGAGGTCGTGAACTATGGGTTGCAGAGCTGGAATGGCTGGGGGACAGAAGTCTGTGCTAAAAAGCCATGGAGTGACACGTTTGGAAGATGGCGCTTAATGCCTCCAGATGTTTTTCCAGAAATAAAAGAAACCCTGATCCATACTTGGTTTATGTTAAGGGACAAATCAGGATTACTGAGTACTGTGACTTTATCAGAACACTACCAGGAAGGCCACCAGTCTTCCTGTGACACTTATATTGTTAATTCTGCAAAATCCTTTAAAAAAACAAAAAACAAAACCACCCTAGCCAGTTGGCTCAGCAGTTGGAGCGTCAGCCCGAGGACCAGAGAGTCCCAGGTTCAGTTCCCGCTAAGGGCATGTACCTCGGTTGCAGTTCGTCCCCAACCCCGGCTGGGGTTGTGTGGGTGGCAGCCAGTTGATGTGTCACTCTCTCTTCCTCCCTCTCTCACTCCCACTCTATCTGAAGATAGATGCAAAAATGTCCTCAGGTGAGGATAAGAAATAATAATAATAATAAAATAAAATAAAATAAAAACCACTACAGTTTCTGCGATATAACATCACTCCTGATGAAAAAGAAACACACATTCAAAATAATAAAACCTGCTCAGACAGTGTGGTTCACTGGACAGAACATCATCCCATGGACTGAGATGTCCCAGTTCGATTCCCGGTCAGGGCACATGCCTGAGTTTCAGGTTCAGTCCCCAGTAGGGGACGTGCAGGAGGCAGGCGATGGATGTTTCAATCTCACATGGATGTTTCTATCTCTCTCTCCCTTTCTCTCTCAAAAACAAAACAAAACAATAAAAACATTTAAAAAAATAATAAAACCTCCCACTAACTGAATTAACAACAATCTATATTTACACATAACCTAAAGACTTTCCTGAAAAGAAATAAATGCTTCTTCAACAGAAAATATTCAGTCCGAGTATGAGACCACTATGCTGCCGTCAGTAAGTAATTCATTATCTCATGAGAGAGAGGTTCCCCCCAAGTGTCGTGTTCATCCAGGTAGCAGTCACAGCAAGTCCTTCACTTTAAGCACCACCTGAACAAACTCCAATACAGCAGGCAACGCAGCCAATTGTCCCGCAGGAGTTGGACTTTCATATTTTTGCGTCACACGACAGACAAAGAGTATTTATCCGAGACACTATCTGTACCTCATACCATCTTACTGTTCCTATATTTTTATCTAAGTGGATCTAAACTCAGAGGAAAGAGTGTGCCCTCTGCACGCACAAGTGCACACACCCACGCACACAGAGCCGATGAAGCAACGAGCAGTGTGGCACTCTGGAGGGTGGGGCCACAAGGAGCAGCACTGCTGAGCACACCATGAGGACGAAGACCAAATGGAAAGGTTTGTCTCCTTACCATGTGTCACAGCCTTCCTCCCACTGGCCATAATGCCATCACAGAGCTGAATGATTTTAGGAATTCCAATGATCTGTTTTGAATGATAGCGTTCATAGGACAGAAGTACCAGGAAGAAAAAAATGTTTGGAATAATTGCCTCTGATTCCCTAGAAATAAAAACATCCATTTAGACACATCCTTTTAAAATTAAGACATATGATCAATAAAAACAGTATGAAATTATGCAAAGAGCTCGAACATAATGGAGCCCCAATTTGGTACATCTAGGTCATGACACCTTCTCGTCCATGGACAGCCAGTGGTCAGCAAGGATAAGTGAAAGCAGAAAGCACCCCACACACCGGGCGCCCAGAGGAACAGGCTCCTTAGATCTCCTTCTGCTCCTCCACTCTTCAGTTAAGGAAACTGAGACCCAAGGAGAAAAAGTAACCTGATTTGCCCAGCTGGTGTGGCTCAGAGGTTGAGCATCTACCCATGCACCAAGAGGTCACTGGTTCAATTCCTGGTCAGGGCACATGCCCAGGTTGTGGGCTTGATTCTCAGTAGGGAGCGTGCAGAACTCAACCAATGTTTCTCTCTTATCGATGTTTCTTTCCCTTCCTCCCTCTCTAAAAAAAATCAATAAACACTAGCCTGGCCGTTGTGGCTCAGTGGTTGAGCATCAACCCATGCACCAAGAGGTCACCAGTTTGATTCCCAGTCAGGGCACATGCCCAGGTTGTGGGCCAAATCCCCAGTGGGGGGCATGCAGGAGGCGGCCAGTCGATAGTCTCTTGCATCGATGTTTCTATTTCTCTCCCTCTCCCTTCCTTTCTCTCTAAAAATCAATTTAAAAAAATCAGTAAACTATATATTTTTTTAAAAGTAATCCGTCAACCCTGGCCGGTTTGGCTCAGGGGTTAGAGCGTTGGCCTGTGGTCCGGAGAGACCCGGGTTCGGTTCCCGCTAAGGGCACATACTTCGGCTGCAGTTTGGCCCCGGCCCTGGTTGGTCGTGCGGGTGGCAGCCACTCGATGTGTCCCTTTCACGTCGATGTTTCTCTCTCTCTCCCTCTCTCTCCCTCCCACTCTATCTGTACAAAGACTGGGAAAATGTCCTCAGGTGTGGATAAAAAAAAAAAAAAAAAAAAAAAGTAATCCGTCAGTCAAGGAGTTGTGATTAGAATAAAAAGCGGGGTCTCTAGAACCCAGGGACTCTCAGAACACTTTCCTCTGCACTAAATGCTTAGACAGTTCAGACCTGGTCCGGTGGCTCAGTTGATGGATCATTGTCCTAGACACCAAAAGGTTTTGGATTCAATTCCCAGTCTGGGCACATACCTAGGTTTTGGGTTGTATTCCTCCTTGGGGTGCATACGGGAGGCAAGACTGATCGACGTTTCAGTATTTCTCTCTCTCAAATCAATAAAAACATCCTCAGGAGAGAATTAAAAAAAAGGACAACAATTTTAATTTCCCATAGTTATACACTTGCAGCTGCACAACCTTCTCGTCGGGCGAGGAGTTGTGAGGGACACAGTGCAGCATAGCTAGCTGCATAGCTCAAGCTAGCTGCATCCGGCACTGTCTCTCAGAAGGCTGCAAACAGGGCCCCCCAATGACACCCCTCAGCAGCCGAGCATCAGATTCAATGCTGTGAAGCGTGAGGTGGAAACAGCAGCCCCTGTGATTGCCAGATGCAGAACAGCTTCCGAACAAGTCTTCAGATTCTTATTAAGTTTTAAAAAAAACAAAAATGCACAGCATATTAGTCAGTTTTCCATTTTAAAAATATATAGCAAAAATGCCTAACAAATCTGTTCTGGCCAATGTGGCTCAGTGGGCTGAGCACTGTCCTATACACCAATAGGTCAGTCAACAGTTTGGTGCCTGGTCAGGGCACATGCCTGGGTTTTGGGCTCGATTCCAGGACAGGGCGTTCAGGAGGCAGTCAATCAGTGTTTCTTTCTCATATCGATGTTTCTATCTCTCTCTCCCTCTCTCTTCTTCTCTAAAAAAAAAAAAAAAATCAAGAAAAACTATTTTTTTCCTGGTTAATCCTCACCCAAGAATATTGTTCCATTAGTTTTTAGGTAAGAGTGGAAGGGAGGGAGAGAAGGAGAAAGAGGGAGAAACATCTATGTGAGACACATCAACTGCTGCCTCCCACATGATCCAGACCGGGTCTGGGGATCAAACCTACAACCCAAGTATATGCCCTTGACTGGAATCAAACCCAAGACTGAGACTCTTTGGTACATGAGAGCCTTTGGTACACAGACCCTTTGGTAAACGTTGAGCCAAACCGGCCAGGGCAAAACATATTTTTTAAATGTCTAAGAATCCTTTAAAGTACATTTGTGTTAATCATCTAAAACTACACGTACTCACTTAACAAGGACAAGAAATGTAAAATAACAATGCCATTACCTGAACTGGCCCACTTCAATGTATTCAAATTGCTTCAGCACAAACCCAATAAACACCTGCAGCAGGAAAGAAACTTCACATCAACAATGAAAATGTGCAAACGAGGCTACCTTTCTCCCTGCCTATTTTTGTACATTTTTAAGTTTCCTGACAGCAGATAAATGTGTTATATAAGGGCTCAAATGTATTCAACTGTCAGACTGCACAATTTCAGGACACTTCCAGAAATCCCATTACCAAACACTGAAGTGAGACTTCTTTGGAAAAACAAATCAACTCCAGGAGATGTTGGGCAGTACCCAAGACACATCTAGAGACTCATGTGTTTGCTCGAGGAGCCCGACGCCGGGGTGCTAAGGTGCAGGATGACCTCGGAGCAGGGGCAGTGCTCCGGGCCTGCGTCAGGGCCGGTGGTATGTCCAGTTCTATGCCACGTGTCATCAGCTCTCCCCAACCTGAACACAGAGATACCATGTCTGCTGCTTCCTCCTCAGCCCTGGCAGGACACCCACTCAGCAGGTGCTCAATAAATCATCTGGATTGAGCTCAATGGCCCGCCCACTCTAATTTTCCATCCTGCTCCAAAAAATTGTCATTGTACTGAGTCCTGAGAAGTGGGGAGCCAGGGCACTGAGTGACAATGTGAGGAGGAGTGCTCACGGCAGAAGCCCTTATGTTACCGAGTCAGGGTGCTGGGGACTCAGCTATACTGGCTGAAGTAGAAAGTGCTGGAGCCTGAAGAAAGCCCAGGCTGGAAGAGTCTCAGCCTGTCCTCACTCAACATGTAAGCATCAGATGGAGGTTAGAAAGACAGAGAAAAGCAACACAAGTCGTCCCATCCTCAAGCAGGGCCTGCAGGACAACTAAAGAAAGGTTTGAGGAGGCCGTCTACAGGACAGGTCTACGCTAGCACGGGCAGTTGTTCACACTCCCTGTCTACTCCAGAGCCCGAGACCAGAACACAAGGGTTCTAGCTAAGAAAAGCGGAGCTGCCCTGGCCACTTTGGCTCAGCTGTTAGAGCGTCGGCCTGAGGACCACAAGGGCACGTACCTTGGTTGCGGTTTGGTCCCCAGCCCTGGTCAGGGTTGTGAGGGAGACAACCCATCAAGGTGTCTCTCTCACATCGATGTTTCTTTCTCTCCCTTTCTCTCTCTCTTTCTCCTTCTCACTCTGTCTGAAAATAAATGGACACATATCCTCGAGTGAGGATTTAAAAAAAGAAAAGTTGGAGCTGGAAGAGTGTGAGGCCAGGCAGACCTCAGCTCAGCCACGTCCTCACTGGAATGGAGCCGTCCAATGGCTCTGGCTTCCCCTCGAGTGGCAATGGCTGGAGACCCCAGGTTTCTTTCCAGTAAGCCCCAGAACCCTCCTCTGTCCTCAAGCTCCTGTCCTGGGTCCCCAAGCCTTGGCTGCCCAGCCTACCTCTTGACAAGGGTCTCGCCCAGGAGAGGAAAGAAAGTGACCGCCCCAACCAATCCCCCAAAAGCGTCTTCTACAAAGGAAAGGGTGCTTCCGAGTGACATCCTGCTGACAGGAGCAGGACAAGGGAGGGAACAAGCCAGCAGCGGGAGGCCCCTGCAGCCCCGCACCAGGTGACAGCGGCACCGGCTCTGGGGGAGGCAGCAGCGGGGCCATGCTTCCTCGTTTCTCCCGAAGACACAGGCCCTTCAAGGTGAGTGTCGGTGCTGATGCGCACCTGTGTCTAGGAGGAGAATTATAGTATTTCTAACTCAAATACTGTCCTACCTCATGTAGGAAAGTAGCCAAGACTGCAGCCTAGCACTGACAGCCATGTTTTCATGACCTGTAGTGAATTGCTGGCATGAGTCTTGGTTTATGAGAGTTCGCAGTGGGAAGGGACACACTGGCCTGAGACACGCCCCACAGCAACCTCGTGGAAGGCTGGCAGCTGAGTCCCCCCTGCTGAGGCAAGGGGCGGTGAGCCGCGGGGGACCAGGGGCATGGGGATCAGTGCCTGTCTCGTTGGAGCACATTCCTCGTTCAAGCAGTGCACTCAACTGCAGATGGCTTCATACTGAATTCCATCACTGATTATCTGTTTTAAATAAGTCTCTTGCCCTGGCTGGTTTGGTTCAGCGGTTAGAGCGTAGGCCCATGGACCAGAAAGGCCCGGGTTTGGTTCCCGCTAAGGGCAGGTACCTCGGTTGCAGTTTGTCTCCGGCCCCTGTTGGGGTCATGTGGGTGGCAGCCACTCGATGTGTCTCTCTCACATCGATGTTTCTCTCTCTCTTCCTCCCTTTCTCCCTCCCGCTCTATCTGAAGATAAATACAAAAATGTCCTCAGATGAGGATAAAAAATAAAATAAAAATAAGCCTCTGGATTTCATAAAAATATCCCCAAACAATAAATCTTAACTACATCTTACAATTTAAATCAAATTCATCTTGGAGTCGGGGAGAGTGCATGGACAGGAAGACCCTTTGGTAAACGTGAACAGGGATTGAGGGGAACCTGGGCAGCCCAGCCCAGACGGGAACCCTGGGGCGAGGGGGAGGCGGCCTATGCCAGACCCTCTGCATGACCAGTCAGTCATTCAACTGGAGACGCACGTGGGGAAAAACAAACAGCACATCCCTTTAAAGTAGGTAGTTTTGGTGTCTTTCTGAGATAATTTTCATTAGATCATGAACAGGCACAGTAGATGAAAGAAAAAGTGACAAACCTGATCTGAGTCCAGAAGACAGTAGTTGACCCGTAGCTGGACCAGCTGAGCCAACAAGTCCAAGACCTGCCTCTGCACCCACACAGATGTGGTCGCCGTGTACTGCTTCAGCGCCTTGATGACCAGAGGCTCGAACAGGCGGATGTGACTGTGGATGGCGTTCTACGAGCAAGACAGCAAGAATCCGTGAGAGTCTTCAGCTAAAACGCTTCAAGCAACGACCCGGAAAGCATCTTTTCCCTCCAGCATTCAGCAGCTGGCTCTCATTTACCTTGTCTGCACGGTTCTTGGTGACGCTCGTGAGATTTGTCTTCAGCTGGGTGGACACTTTCTGGAGCACATCAAACCACCTGCCCATGGGGAAAAGGCAGGAAGAATGCCCGTCACTACTCTGTTGCGTACTCAGCAAACCTCAGGGCTCTCACACCCCCTCACAAACCACAATACTGCAAAGTCAGAAAGAACTGTCCATGGTGCTCTTCCTTAATGACGACAACTACACTGAACTGAGTTCCAGGAGACTGACCGCTAGAGGCAGGCCACCTGCAGACAGAGCTTCCGCTGCACAAGGACACGGCCTGCTCAGCCCGGACAGGTATGGGGCTGGGAGGGTGACGGCCATTGAAAGATTCAGGGATTCAGAAGATACCACTTCATTTTCTTGGAAAACCTTTTAATATTTACATCAATTATACTCTACTCTTTTCTTTGTAAGAAATACAAATGAAAGGACAGTGAAACACACCCTCACATACACTTGCTTGTTTTTTAATTATACCCATGTTATTAAAGTGTCTGAAGAGCTTGTTCTGGAGACCTGAATAAATAGTCAGTTTGTGCCCAGTGTAAAGCCGGGACCATGGCACATCCCTTGGTTCCTAACTCTAGTATTCTAACTCTAGTTGTTTTCTCACTGTATCTATCTGTAAGAGGAAAAATGAGGCATTCTATCGTTACTACACAACGTAGTAATTCAAATATCTCACATAATTATGGTAATTTAAGAAACTACTGTATTTCAGATATCTAAAACACAACCATCAATTTACGTGAAAAGAGACTTTTAGCCATAAAGTTACAAAACACATATATTATCCAAAACTCTCCTATGATCTTCAAATGCCTATGCACACTATGCTATGGTGCCACGTGAGAGGTGTTCTTTCGCCTTAGTTGTAGACCCAAAAGTGCCACCAACACACAGCCCCTGCTGAGAAAATGCGAGGCGAGCACCGGGAACAACACAGCGCCTTCCCAGACAAGGACGTCCGTCACACATCATGGCTCTGCTTGCGGACAATTCGCAGTGATGCTGGCTACTGTCTTCCTCGTCCTCCGGTCCAGCCCCTCTGAGACGGGGTGACCCCCAATCCCACTTCATTCACTGGACCCCACACTTGAATCAGGGCACGGCCGAACCTTCAGCCCCTCTGGAGCCTTACTTCCTGGAGCTCACTGAACGGAGCAGGCTCTGAGATGCACCTCTGCAGCCATACTTCCGGGAGCTCACTGAACGCAGCAGGCTCTGAGATGTGGGCTGCTATCTCTTTGCTCTTCACAAATAGCCCCTGCTTGCTCTTTCGTGTCTCTACCACAAACCACTCCCGACACAAGTACCCAAGTGGACACGCCCAGTTACCCCGAGGTGTCGTGGTCCTGCTCCGCCTGCACCATATTCCGCAGGCTGGCATCCGCCAGGGCCTGGGTGAAGTGGGTGTACGGAGCCATGAAGCAGTAGTGGTACAGGCCTGGCCGCATGCTGGACGAGCCAAGGCGCTGAGCTCGGCCTTGAGACTTGCTGGGGTTGGACGATAAGCCATCAAACTGGGAGGCCAAGTTCGTCCCGAAGAGAGTCTTCAGCAGCTACAGTGAAAGAGCAAAGCCGTCAGCATGCCCTGTGAGAGCAGCTCGGAACCAGTTCCGCTGCCAGGGCCGGCGAGCAGAAGCGCAGCCAAGGCTCTCGGCACAGTCGATGCTCACCCGAGTGCTGCCTCCACCTTAAATAACTGCCCTGCTAATTTTGAGTTGCTCTGTGGTTCAAAGGAGACTGAGCAGTCTACCACCTGCAGAGACACTGAGGCACCAGTTCCGTAAAGAGGGCCAGCAGAGCTTCCAAGACCCTCTGCTCTCCCAGTGTCAGGTCTCCTCCTGCCCCAGGACACACACCAGCACCACCTTCTAAATGACAGGGAGCGTTGCATCCTCATGCCTGCAGTGAACAGCTGCAAAGAAAAGGGCAGAGACGACTTTCTTACCTGCTGGACACAAACAGTCGCCATCATTGGTTCCCGACTGAAGCAGGACTTCAGGTAGCCTAGGATCTCCTCAACACACTGTGGGAAGACGCAGTAGGCCGTCAGAGGAAGTGACTGGGGATGGCTTACTCTTGCTGTGATTCCTATACTACAAATCCTCACAAACTGACTTGCAACAAGAACATCTACTACTCACTGAACAAACGCTCCCTGAAAGCTCCTGCCTCCTAGGCATCACCGCAGGCACAGGAAAAAGAAACGAAAGGAATAAACAGTATGTCTGCAGAGGCTACAGGACAGGGACGGGTGAGCGGGAGGGAGGCAGTGTGGGAGAACTGCAATCAGATGGGCGGCCAGCCAGATCCCACCACGGGGGCGACACCACGACAGCCTCTGACAACTTCGCTCTGAGGGGCAGTAACTGAGCATCCGCGGACCAGAAAACCACCTATGCACTGGAAACAAGTGTGTGCACTGCAGAGATGTGTGGGGGAAAGGCACAGGAGTAACTGAGAAGAAACACATCATAAATGTGTGTAATTAAAACCAGCCCTGGCTGGTTTGGCTTAGCGGTTAGAGCGTCAGCCTGCAGACCAAAGATTCGTGGGTTCGATTCCGAACAAGGGCACAGCCCTGGTTGGCGTCGTGCGGGAGGCAACCAGTCGATGTGTCTCTCTCACATCACTGTTTCTCTCTCCCTCCCTCCCTCCCACTCTATCTAAAGATAAACAGAAAAATGTCCTTGGGTGAGGAGTAAAAATAATAATAATAAGAAGAAAATAATTAGCACCAGGTTAGCATTTAAGCACACCAAGAAAAAGATTTAGGTATGGCCCTGGCCGGTTTGGCTCAGCGGTTGGAGCGGCGGCCTGCGGTACAGAGAGGCCCGGGTTCGGTTCCCGCTAAGGGCATGTACCTCGGTTGCAGTTTGTCCCCGACCCTGGTTGGTCGTGCGGGTGGCAGCCACTCGATGTGTCCCTTCACATCGATGTTTCTCTCTCTCTCTCTTCCTCAAAAAAAAATGGAGAAATGTCCTCGGGTGAGGATAAAAAAAAAAAAAAGATTTAGGTATGTAAAACAAGTGAACTTCATTAGATATCCTGTATTTCACCTAAAGAGCTGCATTTTATTTTTTAGAGAGACAGAAAGGGAGTGATAGAAACATCGATGTGAGAGAGAAACATGATCAGCTGCCTTCTGCATGACCCCCTACTGGGGATTGAGCCCGAAACTTGGGCATGTGACCTGACCAGGAATCAAACTAGGACCACTCAGTCCATGGGACGACACTCAATCCACTGAGCTACACCGGTCAGGCAAGAGCTGCATGTTTCAAGGGGGCTATCAGTAACTGAATTTGAAATTCATTAAAAAATAAGATGTCAGGAGCCAGACAGGTGTATATATACAATAAACAAAGGTAGCAAAACGTCGTCTATAGCATGTGGGTCGTTGCACGTGTGGTGTGGGCAGGTGCCGCATGATTCTTTAAACTCTTCTATGTGTTTGAACACTTCCTTACAGAATGGGTGGCAGGGAGACTGCTGGACTTGAAACCCGAGTTTCTCCCGAAGCCCTGCTGCTTCCTGAGGCACCAGGGGCACCCTGTATGCCCTCGCTCCGTCCATTTCTGCCCTTTCTGCATGCAAAGGTCGAGTAAGAAAATAAAGGACTCTGTCGGCGCGGTTTTAATCGCATCAGTTTCTAGACTAAAGTGGATCTAAGCTAATATACAGTAAGTAAGTGAAAATAGGGTACAAACAGAAGCCCCCACTGAGGCAGACAAGATCAGAATGAGGCGCTATGACAAGCAGTGGGTGTGGAAGCATCCCTGTTCTGCATGTGCCTGGAGGACTGGAGCCCGCCCCAGAGGCACTCAGCCCAGGGTGTGTTTGAGGTGTGGCAGCTACAGCTCGGAGCAGATGTGAAACTCGAACCTTCCCGATGTCCTGCAGCGTTGCCAACTCTAGAATCTGAGAAAGCACGTCCAAGGCAGAGCGCAGAAACCCCCCAAACTTTTCTGTGCTGCTCTGAAGATCCAAGGTGACCTTGGGGAAGGGAGAGAACACAGGATTACTGTGCTATCCGTCTATCTGAAACGAAGACACACATCTGCGGGGTAGGGTGTGTTCCACTAACAACCCCACACACTTGCCACTTGGGGTGTCTCTGTCTGTCTGTTTTTAGCACTGGGAAAATGCGTTGGAAAAAAATTTCTCTTCCAGGTAACTATAGGAGAACTGTTTTCTTTCAAAGGCATCTTACAACTTATATTGACTCTACAGACAGAAACAATTCCCATCCTTCTACAATGGAAAGAATGTTAAATATCCATCATAACTAGTACCTGACAAGCAGCATATTAAAAATATAAAATACATGTCCTGCTCCATATACATTAGGATCCCTGGGGAAAATCATTATCAAATTCAGACCCAGCCTCCCAGTCTGGCCACAACAAAATATTAAATTAGTTTTAAGCAGTATTAAATTAGGATTCTAAAGGCCTTAGATTTATTAAATTATACAACAATTCCCCCATTTAAAAACTGAGAGAATGGGTCAGGTCCCAAGACATCACATGTAAGAACTAGGTCAAGGGGAAGAGACTGACCATGAATATAACAACTGGCAAAACCACTGCAAACGTGCCAGAGTGAACAGAAAGTTGCTCAGTGAAATAAACTGACCGCCCACATGAAAGAGGAAGCAGGTAAGAGACACCCAGGATGAAACGTGAATGGACCTAACACTGGGATCACTCTCGTGTCTCCCTGGAGGTGCCATCCACAGGCTGGAGGTGCCATCCACAGGCTGGAGGGAAACTCCAGCAGTGAGAGCACCGCAGACCCAGGGCGGAGGTTCCATGAAGCCTCCTCCAGGGAGACGGCAGGAGGGGCCACCTCCAGCCAGCACCTTTGGTGGGGCGGAGTCACGGGGAGCGAGAGTGTTAGCACCAAAGGGCTGAAAGCTACCATAAACAAGGCCGAAGGCAACCTTGAAAAAACTGTCACTCATCTCCCTGTGTATGTAGGACACAAGTTACAAATCTGAAGAAAAACAGCAAGAACCCATGAGATATTTGGTATGTGCACGTTCACAACAGCAGCAGTACCTTGTAGTTAGCGTGAGTAGCTTTCAGGACATCGTGCAATTTGAGGTATGAAGGAAGGTGGTAGAAACTCCCCAGTGATGAGGATTTATTCACTGCAACAGGTCCCGAGGCATCGGATTGTCGAGAGGCTTTAAAACACACACACACACACACACACACAAAGATGTTCAGATCCAATGTCAACAATTGCAGAGTTTACCAGATTACTGACAATAATGATTTTTTAAAAGTACTCTAGTAGAATAAAATTCAAAACTTTTCTCTGACTTTTGGTTAGTTAGAAGTAATGAGAAATTGACTAGGAAACTTAAGTAGCATCTGAGTACCTCCCAAAAAATAAAAAAATGGAAGAAGACAAACAAGAAAAGCAGGTGATGCTATTGCTCCATTGCTTCGGTCTGGCTGCCTGTTTGCAAATCAGAGGAGCAACTAATTCAGTGGCCTTCAGCCTATCACACAAGCTCTCAGAGCCCAATTCTGCCAGTGGCAAGGTGGGGTCATGGCCAAGTTAGGTCTCAGCCCTTTCAGCCATCAAACAGGGTGACATACAAGTATGCTCCGACAACTATAAAGGGGACACACGTCATCATTAAAATGGCATTAATATTTAAATGCTAAGCACTACATAAACTCTCAAGTTTTAAAAACTTCAAACGTCCTCAGTTCATTCACTCATCAGAAAGATGAGCAGTTAGTGACTCTGCTCTGAGACACTCCTTCCCGAGGAGCTGTAGTCAATCACCCCACAGAGAACAGAAGCTGCAAAAGCACCTACTTACAGGCTTGACCAGCAGAGTCAATGGGAGGGTCATGACTGGCCCTCACACTGTGCGGGAGCCAGCGGTCACCTGCTTTGTCTGGTGCCCCCTGGAGCACAGACTGCGTTACGGCAGTCGCACTGAATCTCTGGCCCTGCAGGTCACCGCTGGGGTGTAGCAACCCCTCCAAGTGGCTGTGAATTTTCCAGGTTCCTCTCACTCAGATGATTATGTCCCCCACTTTACCTACGATTGGGTGCCCCCCACTGTAAAGTTCCCATTTCCTACTTCAGAACTCTCCCCTATGGAAATCACTTCTTCCCCCCACAACCTCTGTTCCCACCATCTACACTGCCTCCCTCACTGAACATCAGGACCCCTGCGCCTGCTCTGCAGTGAGGACAAGGGGCAGCGCAGGGGGAGGCACCGGGGAGGCCCTCACGACGGGCCAGGCACTGCATGCTGTTGTGACCATATAAGGGACACTCTGATGCTTAAGACCAAATGTGGTCTGTACACTCAGTAATTCGTATTTCATATCTGAAACCACACCTGAGGAAAGCATTCCTCTGATTTCACAGCTGTGTGTTTCATTTTCCAAAAGTACCAAGCCATTACATTATCTTTGACACGAATGCAAGCTTAAATCCTACATTTCTATGATCAGATGGTGCCCCACACTCCCTGCTGCCCGGCACTGCTACATACCTGGACTGGCATCACTGCCTTTCCTGGGGCTCAGCGGCACAGACGCCTGCTCAGCAGGTTCCTTCTCCTTTCCCTTTCGTCGGATGGGACTTAGAGAAGGGGGATTTGTGAGGGATGGCAAGGCTGCCTAGAACAGAGAACAAGAATCCAGGAATATAACCAATACAGAAACTGAAATCTACAGTATATGGTTTTATCATTTATTGAAAAGAACTAACCCATATAATTCCTTTTCTCTTCAAATTCCTTTTCTCTTCAAATCCACACTTACAGAGCTCAGGAACTACATATACACCATGTACTTCATTCAACCACACAACTAACACACGCAGTGGGTGCTGACCAGAACTTCCCGGCAGGTGCGCTGGGAATGTTCGTATTGGAAGGGGCCTCGAGAGCGCAGGCACGTCACCTCCACGAGCAGCAACCAGAGTGTCCTCTGGGAGCCACAACACCAAAGTTTTAAATTCCACCTTCCAGGAGATAAAACAGGCTCAGAGAAGAAGTAATTTCGAGGTCACAGCTGACAGGCTGCAGAGCTAGTAGTTAGCCGACTACAGAGCACCTGTGCTTCCATGCTAGGGAGGCAGACAGCAGGGGGCAGAGTGAAGAGGATGGCAGAGACCTGACTTTAGGCCCAGCTCTGCGGGCCCAGACAGCCCACCTCACGTCGGAGCGTGTCTGCACAGTGGATGGGACAGATGCACGGCTGTAGTCAGGGCAGGACTGAGGGCAGCAGGAGGACGGGCAGCAGGAGGACGGGCAGCAGCACAGAGACTGGTGCCCCTGGGAGCATGCTCAGGGGAGGGCCAGGCGCAAGACACTGCATGGATGACTCCATTTACGTGAATGTGGGAACAGGCACATCCACAGAAATGGAAAGGCCAGTGGTTACCTGGAACCAAGGGTCATGGGAGGGCTGAGGGTGATGGCAAAGGGCACAGTGTTCCTCTCTGGGTTCTAAAACTGGTTGTGGCAATGGCCAACAATCCCATGGGCACCCCAGAACCAGTGCACCACACACTTGAAGTGGGGAGCAGTATCATGTGTGAATGTGCTCTAGCTGCATCGTATGTCAATGATGCTACTTCAGAAAAAACAGAGTCTACCACAGTCGTCCAGGTGAGATCCTCTATCCGTGTGGACCACACCAGTAGCAGTGAACAGAGAGAAAACTGTGTCTGAGTATCCGTGTACATATGTATGTATATAGGTATATATGTATGTATTGGTACGTGTACACGTGTATGTACATATATGTAAATCGTTTCTTTCAAGAGTACTTAGTAGGAAAAACAAAAGACTTGGGGGACGAGAATGATGAGTTGCAATGACTCCCACGTTCTAACTTTGTGAAATACTGAGTGAGAGAGACAGGCATGTGCAGACTGGGCAGGAAGTTGAGAAGTTCAGGGTCAGACCTTGTCTGAGCTGTCAAGAACAGGCCAAGGCAGAACTGTCACGTGGCAGCTGACCACACAGGACCAGCGCTCCAAAGACAGGTCTGGGCCTCTGATGTTCAGATGCTGAAGACGTGAGAGCACATCTGACCACCTGGCGCTGCCCAGCCCCGCACTAGAGTCACTATCCACGTGTGCCTATGGATATTTAAACGTAATGACAAACAAAATGAGAGTTCAGCACCCTGGTGCACTGTTGATGGAGACGTCAACTGGTGCAGGCACTGTGGAAAGCAGTATGGAGATGCCTCAAATAAATTAAAAATGAAACTAACATATTTATGATCCAACAATTTCACTTCTGGGAATATATTGGAGGAAACCCAAAACACTAATTTGAAAGGATGTATGCACCCCTAAGTCCACTGCAGCGTTATTTACAATAGCTAAGATCTGGAAACAGCCCAAGTGCCCATCAGTAGATGAGTGGATAAAAAAGCTGTGGTGTGTATATACAATGGAATATGATTCAGCCATTAAAAAGAATGAAACCTTACCATTTGCAACAACATGGATGGACTTAGAGGGTATTAATTACACTAAGTGAAATAAGCCAGAGAGAGAGAGAAAGACAAATACCATATGATTTCACTTACATGTGGAATCTAAAAACAGAATAAAAAAACAAAATGTAGCTGACTCATAGATACAGAGGACAGACTATAGTTGCCAAAGGGGAAGGGGTTCGGGTGGCAGGTGATCAAGGGGAAAGAATTAAGAAGGCCATATTGGTAGGTACAGAAGAGTACCAGGGATGTCAAGTTCAGCATAGGGAATACAGTCAATAATACTGCAGTAACTATGTTTGGTGCTAGGTGGGCGCCAGACTTATCAGGGGGATCACTTCATAAATTATATAAATGTCTAACCAATGTGCTGTACACCTGAAACTCATATAGTACTGAATGTCACTTGTACTTGAAAAATAATAATAATTAAGAAAAAGTTCAGTTCCCTAGTCACGGTGGCTAAGTGTCAAGTGTGCAGCAGCCACAGGTGGTGAGTGCTACTCTCCCAGGTGGCACATATGTGGCATGTTTCTATGGTGACAGAGTTGTGCTGGACGGCACTGGCCCAGCGTATGAAGCAGGACAGAGCCTGGAAAGCATTCATGGTGGGCTAAAGACCAAACCCAGAAAACACCCAGGAACAGAAGTGGTCAGGGAAAAACAAGAGACGATCGGAAGCCCACAGGAGCGAATGACCCAGGACAGGAGGTGATACCAAGTGAAGCAGAGGGAAGTGAGACAGAACCCAAGAAGCACCCACGAGGTTCAAAGACTGATCTGGGTAGGAGCTGCTGGGGAGGGTGGTGGCAGAAATCAGACCTGCAGAGGCCAGAGAATGGGTAGCAGAGCAATGGACGAGGACAAGCAAAGAGCCTCCCACGAGGGCCAGGAGCAGGGGAGTGGGCAGCCCTCGGGGGAAGCAGCAGACAGGACTGCTGAGGGAGGTTTGCAGGGAGGGAGAACCTGACGTCAGACGAGTCTGTTCAAGACGGCAGAAAGTGAGATGGAAGACAGGCGAGAGAGGAAGTCATCAGCTGTAACGATGAGTGTACTGATCTAGCTTAACTCCACTGTGCGAAGAGTTTGTCAATTACCTCGAAGTCAATTTTATCGACCTGCACTTCACAGAAAAGCAAAACTGTTCACTACCATTTCAGGAGACAGCAGACAAGTGAATAAGCCAGCACTTCAAACGTGGCTTTCTTGCTAATGCTTCAAGCCTAAGAAAAAAGCTAGCTTTCCCCTCAGAGGTAACAGCAATTGATTATGATACAAAAGGGCTATGAGCCCTGGCCGGTTTGGCTCAGCAGTTGGAGCATCAGCCTGCAGACCATAGGTCGGGCGTTCGATTCCGGTCAAGGGCATGTACCTCAGTTGCGGTTCGGTCCCCACCCCCAGGAGGCAACCAGTCGATGTGTTTCTCAGCCCCCTCCCCCCAAATCTGTCTGAAAATAAATGGAAAAATATCCTTGGCTGAGGATTAAAAAAACAAACAAAACAAAAGGGCTATGGATTGGAGGATGGCACAGTGTGTGAAAGTCAGTGTCACATGAGCGACTTCGTTCACTTATAGCAGAACAGAGAAGGGAGGGACAAATGGCCTATTGAACACGGCATGCTCAGAAGCCTGCCATTCGACTGCAAGGAGCAAGGCCCAGCACGAGGTTACCTTCACTGTGGGTCCAGGCGCCACCTCATCCAACACGTGGGCACAGATATTGATCACCTTCAGCAGGTGGGAGAAGAGCTGCTCCACCATAGGCACCAGGGTCCGGTCCCCCAGAGCTGGCCACACCTCTTCCTGCTTGGTGGCTGCGGGGCTGGCCTCTTCCTCAGCAGTCCATGAACTCCTCAGAGACTTGGGGGCACTGGCTGCAATACAGGCACACGCATTACCTCCCACCTCCGCAGCATGTGGGAAAGAAATCGCTCAGGAAACATGTCATTCAGACCCATCCACGTCAGACATCTCCACCTGATAATCAACTGATACCTCAGATTCAACAGGAAATTGACATTTCCCCCCCAATACACTATGTTCCCGATTTCCATGACCTTCACTATCATACATATACCCAGGATGTGACAGTCACCTGGGCCCTTTCTTGATCTTTACAACTGCAGTTTGAGTGGCGGCCCAGGCCTGCTGTTCTGCCTCCTTCCTCCCTTCTATGGGTCTCTTCCTGCACATCTACACCGCCATCACCTTGTCCTGCTCTCTTCCCCTGACCATAACGCAAACCTCCTGAGTTTCCCCACCCTCTCCTCCAACCTACTCAGAGCAGCTAGTGATCTTTCTAAACACAGGGGTGTGCAAAAGTAGATTACTACTAATTGTAATAATACAATAAATACTAATACAAGAATAAACTCTGTCATTTGTGTACTCACAACTGTAAACCTACTTCTGAACAGTTTACTCTTACATTACTTATGTATTAATGAATTTGTTTAGTAGTAGTAGCACTAACCTACTCTGTCCATCCTGCACTAATCCGACGGTAGTCCTTCATGAAGCTCTGCAATCGCCACACAGCCAGCAGGACAAGTCCTCCGAATGGAGATGGGCAATGCCCACACCACTGACTTCAGAGGGCCCTCTTGCTTCACCAGTCACATACTCTGTCCCAGTCCTCATCCTTAAGTGACATCCAAAATGACCTCCAGTTCTTAGATGTCCACTGTTCGTGTCTCCATGCCTTGCACAAGCTGCGCCCTGCAGGTGCCCTTCCTGCCAGCCCACAGTCTTGTTTCCTGTCCTAAGCCTCAAAGGACAGCACTACGGCTACTCTGTGCTTTATCCATTTTTTTCTTTATTGATTTTAGAGAGAGAGAGAGGTAGAAACATCGATAAGAGAGAAAATCAACTGGCTGCCTCCTGCATGCCCCACACTGGGAATTGGGCCCACAACCTGGGCATGTGCCTGGACTGGGAATCGAACCAGTGACCTCCACCATGCCACACCAGCCGGGCTGTTCTGTGCTTTAGTTTCACGTGTCCCTCCGTCTATATCCGAGTTGAGAATGGAGGCCACACATGGCACGTTCTTACCACCCTGCTGCTGAGACAGGGCCTGGCCCATGGGGCCCCTGAAGTGAGATCAGAAGTAAGCCTGCCTGCGCCTATCAGGGGGCTAAACTGGGAAAGGGCTCCACAGAAAATTGGACACAAACTAGCTGCTCACAGTACACTTTCACGTTATGTGGCAGCGTCAGGAACCTCACAGTGCTTTTCCCTCGTATGCTCCCTACCCCACCTCTCAAAACAAAACCACAAAAGTGCCCTGGTCAGTGCTTCCCAGTGGTTAGAGCACTGGCCCTCTCACTGAAGGGTCACAGGTTCGACTTCTGGTAAAGGGCACATACCTGGGTAGCAGTTTTGACCCCCAGCCTCAGTCAGAGCACACCAACCAATTGATGTCTCTCTCTCTCACATCAATGTTTCTCTATCTACCCCTTCCTCCCTCCCTTCACTCTCTCTAAAAGTCAATGAAAAAACATCCTATGGTGAGGATTAACAAAAAATAAGAGGAAATCAGAAGCTAAAGACCCGAGGTCTCTGTTCCAACTCAGTAGCAATACCTGCAAGCAAGTTTCCAGCCAAAATCAAAGCATCCTGATGGGCTGAGAGATCCAACGGGAACCAAGCTGAGGAGAGCAGAGTGAGGACCATCGTGGCCATCCCGACAGTGCAGCTCTTCCTGGACTCGTCCAAGACGCTCAGCGGGGGCACTCTGAAAGCAGATGTTTTTGAGATCAAGTTACAGAAAAATTTCAAGGCGAACAGTCTCGCTTTCCCTTCTGGACCAAGAGGAAGGCCCGTCACTGTGCTTCTCACGCCAGTGCACATGCAATTCTACGATTATCTTCCCTGTAAACCACAGCTCCGGGAAAGTCATTCGAGAAATAAAATCAGGTGGCCAATCTGATTAAGATATTTGTGAATATTTGTGAATTATTTGTGATTAAGAGTATTACAACTGCTTATTTTGATAACTTTTTAACTTCTGAGTTAGCAGATTTCCCTCAATGCTAAGCTGCTCAGAAGTCAAGAGCTGGTCTGTGTGAGGGGCAGCAGTTCGGCAGGTGTTGCTGAGAGGAAACCATCGCTGGACGGAAGGAAGAGTGCCACCCACATCAGCATGTCCCCTAGCAGTGCGCTGACACCCCGAAATCAGCAGACTGACTTCCAAACGCGATGGTGGTCAGCGTCAGTACACAGAACAACAGCTTCCTTAGCCCTTAATGCATTGGAAGACTCAAAATGACTGCACAGGTGCTACCGGGCCACCCACTGGCAGAACACCACTTCATTTATTTTTAAACTTTTTTTTCTTTATTGGTTTTAGAGAGACAGGAAGGGAGAGGGAGACAGAGAGAAAAACATCAATGAGAGAGAACATCAACTGGTCGCCTCCTGCATGCCCCCCACTAGGGACTGGGCCCACAACTGGGCATGTGCCTAACCAGGAATCCATCGAACCGGCAACTTCTTGGTGCATGAGTCCACGCTCAAACACTGAGCCACATCCGCCAGGCCAGAACACCACTATAAATGAAAACTGCTGACACAGTACGATAGTTCTTAAATTACACTCCTTTGCTTCATCACAATTGTGTCTGGTAGGTCACATTCGATTTTAAACAAAAAAAATGTTCCTAGATTTTTAACACATAGTGAATAATTCTGAAAAGAAGCCAATTTGTTTTTCCGTAGCTGGGTGGCTCAGTTGGTTGGGGCATCATCCCATACACCAAGGGGTTGCAGGTTCGATTCCTGGTCAGGGCACATAGCTAGGTTTTGGGGTCAATCACCGGTCAGGGTGAGTACATAAGGCAACAAATCACTGTTTCTCTCTAAAAATCAATGTTTCTCTCTCTCTAATCAATAAAAACATATCCTCGGGTGAGGATTTAAAAAAAAAAAGCCCTTTGCCAGCATATGTGAATTTTTGTAAATGATTCCTCCACAGTGCTGAAGAGTGAGCATCTGATGCCATTATTACAGCAGTTCACTGTTTCTCACACATCTAAGAGCACAGAAACAAGCACCTGATGGGTATGTTCCAACAGGTCAAACAGATAAAGCACTTAACATGAAAGAAAAACACGGGATCCCAATAAGCACATTTGCATCATGTAACCGTAGACACCACATGCCGAGAAAAATACTTACCCACAGTGCCAACCTAAACTCCAAGTGCAAACTGGAAAGGCAGTTGAAAGAAGACACAAAGCTTCACAGCACCCAAACTAAGGAGGAAAGAAATAATAAAATCATGCCCAAACACCTAAAAGTGTTCATTCAGTTGCACCTCCTTTCACACGTTATAAAAAGTACAAATAATGGAGATGTGTGTCGAACACTGGGATGCCTGGCCAGCACTGTGCGGATCCTTCTCCCTAGAGCTGTGATCTCCCTGTGCCTCCTTCTGCCTGAAATGCCCCATCGCTCCCACTCTGCCCAGTTGGTGAATGTCCATCCCCCCACCAGACCACAAGAACCACAGGGCGGAGAACTCCCTGTCTTCACAGCCCAAGCCTAGAAAAGTGCTTGACACATGGAGGCCTTAACAAATACAAATAAATAACGTCTATGATATTTTGAAGAAATCAAACGAAAATCAAACTACAGACAGCCTCAACCCTTAGATTTGAAAGGCACACACAGACTAATCATGCCTGTCCGAGCTTCCACAACATGGAAGCGTGTCTTCTGTCATGTAACGTAAATGACAAGGTCTGACCTGGTAATCAGCAAATCAACATTATTTTTGTATAGTACTTTTTTTCTGGTTATAAAAGTTACACTTGTTCATTTTAGAATATTTGTGAATATCTAAAAAATAATGAAAACAAAAATCATTCATCCTAAAATCAATTTTGGCGATTTTCTGATCGTCATTCCCAAATAATGTGAGAAATGTATGTATGTGAGCATTATTTTTCTTAACTGAGATCTGACTACACACGAGTATGCAGATTGTGCCTTTTTTCATTCAATATTGTAATTCAGATTATATCTCTTTATATTGTTAAAAATTCTCTAAGCATCATATTAATAGGTGCATAATAAATAAACTAGCATATACACTGAATATAGTCATAATCAGAACTTAATCATTCTTGGACTCTTAGATATTATGGTTCATTTCCAATTTCAGCATTATAAATAATGATAAAAATAATGACATTATACAAAAACTTGCTGGCATTTCTGGTTTTTATCCCTTAGTATATATTACAAAGTCACTGAGTTAACTATATTAGAGATAGTTTAAAGTTCTGATAATACTAATTCAAATTATGGTTGTTTTTATTTAGACTTTTATGTCTTCCTACATATATTTTTTATGCCTACATTTTTTTTTACAATGAGCATTTGTTACTTAAATAAAGCTGTCTACATTCCTATTGGTATAAATCAAGATTTTGTCCATAGAAGCACAATGTCTTAGTAAGTCCCACATGTGTCTCACAAATCATCTTACCATTAAGAACTGACCTCAGAAACTACTGAAGATTAATTTCATTCAGACGACCAACCAAAGGAGACTCACCGTGAGTGCTCGCGTGGCTGATGTGACCAGCTGGTGAGACACGGCCGCAATAACCCTGGAGAGGTTATTTTCCATGGTGACATCTGTTATGCTTGGTAGTAAGTTATAGCCTCTATATATTCTGACAAGAAAAATGTGGAGACTTAAAATGTACTGTTAAAGCTTATGACCTTTTCAAATTCAAATGGCATTTAAAAGTTTAAAATTAAGGACTACAAGAAGTTAAAGCAGTCTTGACTTTTAAGTTAAAGAAATACTGGAAATAAATGGCTATTATTCTATAAAAATGGCTGAGCCCTGGCCAATGTGGCTCAGTTGGCTGTAGCACTGTGCCATGCACCAAAAGGTGGTGTATTCAATTCCCGGTCATGGCACATACACCCAGGTTTCAGGTTCGGTCCCCAGTTGGGGCACATACAGGAGGCAACCAATCAGTGTTTCATTTTCACATCAATGTTTCTGTTTCTCTCTCTCTTTCAATCTCTCCCCTACACCTTCCTATATCTAAAAATCAATACAATAAAAAGAAAATCCTTCCCCCAGGGATTGTCAGCCCTACCCCACACGCCATCCATGGCCTGTAGCAATTTCAATTCCTGCTTGTAATTACATACGAATTCTAACGCCCCACCTCTGTGAATGAGCCTCAAACAGGCTGGTGTCTGATGCCCTTTTACTGACCAGTGACCTGTCCAGAGGCCCTGGACAACAGACCGAGGAGAAGATGCATCTTCTCACATAATTCTGCAACAGCAGGCAGCAAGGCCACGGCAGCTGCACCATGCGCACCTGTTCTAAGGAACATGGCCAAATGTCAAGAGCCCACCAGGTTCCAAACTGAGAAAACTTGCAGTTAATAATAATTTTTAATGAAACACGGCACTCATCTCTGTCGGCACCTAATGATCATTTCCTGAAATGCCCTCTGGAAACAGTGACTCCTGAGCTTGTCCATGTCTGACAAGGGAGTGCTCTTGCACTGCTTCTCTTAAAGGGGTCTTTATCCTGGATCTTTTCTTTTTCCTTTTTTTTAAAGTTCTTTTTTTTCTTTATTGATGTTTAGAGGGAGAGAGAGAGAAACACTGACGAGAGAAAACATTGATTGGCCACCTCCTGCACGCCCCTCACTGGGGATCAGGCCCACAGCCTGGGCGTGTGCCCTGACCAGGAATCAAACCGGCAAACCCTTGGTGCATGGGTTGACACTAAGCCACTGAGCCACACCAGCTGGGCTTTTTATATTTATTTTTAAATCCTCACCTGAAGATATTTTTCCATTTATTTTCAGACAGGGGGGCAGGGAGGAGAGAGAGAGAGAGAGAAACACCAATGTGAGAAAGACACATCAATTGGTTGCTTCCCGCACTACACCGACCAGTGCAGAGGTAAATGCCCTTGACTGGAACTGAACCCGCGACTCTTTGGTCCACGGGCTGACGCTGCAACCACTGAGCCAAATCGGCCAGGGCAATCCTGAATCTTTTCAAAGCGAGAAAATGCCAGTTCTGAGATTAAAAAAGGAAATTCTCCGAGGAGAACATTATTTGATGTATTTAGTTAAGCAGTCTTTACATAAGAGAGATGATTCTTTATTTAGGAATAATGACTTCAAAATTTGACAAGCTGAGTTCCAAGCTCAGAACAAAAGCATAAAGTGAATATTTCAGCTTAGAAGTCATTTAGCCCAAGTTTTTTTTTTAAATTGCCTCTCAGCAGAAAGAAGAGTTATCATATAAAACTAATTTTAAAAACAGTGAAAACACGGAGGGTAGCCCTGGCTGGTTTGGCTCAGCGTTTAGAGTGTTGGCCCATGGACCAGAGAGTCCTGGGTTCAGTTTCCGCTAAGGGCACGTACCTCGGTTGCAGTTACTCCCCGGCCCCGGTTGGGGTCGTGTGGGTGGTGACCAGCTGATGTGTCTCTCTCACGTCGATGTTTCTCTCTCTCTCTTCCCCACGTCTCTCCCTCCCGCTCTATCTGAAAATAAATGCAAAAATGTCCTCGGGTAAGAATTAAAAAAAAACAAAAAACACAGAGGATTAAAAAAGCATAATAATCTTACCACTTATACAGTCTTCTTTGCAAATTAAAATTCTAAAGAAAAATTCTAACTTCACTAAAATATTTCTGCTCTAATTACTTTTATAGTCTATTGCTCATCTGAGAATAAGACGAGAATGTATAGCCATTTGAAAGTGCACTTAAAAGTTTTTCACAATAAATGTGAACAACTGCAAATCACTGAACCAGTGAATAACCCTAAATAATACTGACACGGTATTAAATAGCCCACTCACTAAAAATTAACAAATACAGGTAACACAAATAAGTGAACAATTTAATGGACAAGTTCTTTTTTTTAATCCTCACCCGAGGACACCCTTCCATTTCTTGTTCAGACAGAGGAAGGGAGAGATAGAGAGAAACATCGACGTGAAAGGGACATATGGAGTGGCTGCCACCTGCACGACCAACCAGGGCCGGGACAAACTGCAACCGAGGAACGCACCCCTAGCAGGAAATAAACCCAGGACTCTCTGGACCACAGGATGACACTCTAACCACTGAGCAAAACCGGCCGGGGCTTAATGGACAAGTTCTCCAATTAAGACAGCGTGAGTCATGCAGAAAAATACACTGGTCAGTACTTGTAATGAACTAATTAAAGTTTAGGGTACCACTTCTGCATGACTCAGCAGAGCTTAAAGAGCTGGGCTATGAAATCCTGAAGAAGAGAAATACCCTATCAAAGATGTTCCACTGAAACGCCCTCATCTAAGGTTTTGTTGTTTTCTAGAGTACCGTTCTCAAGCAAGGCATCAGGGTCAGGAAAGGGCACGTTTTTCCTGCCGTGGCTCGGTCTGTGTACCTGGTGATGGTGCTGACGGAGAAGTGAGAAGCCGGCTGTGTCTCGTGCATCAGAAGTTTCAGGTAAACACTGCTTTGGTCTCTTGCCACAGCCACTACTGGATCAGCCTGTCCTTGGTCACATTTATAAAACAGCTTTGGGACAAGCCTAACATAAAAGTAAGGTTTAGTTACTTAAGAAAGCATGGAAACTCACCTGTGGTTCCCACCCTTCTGTAAGGTGGTTAAGCCTCCAAACTGCCACCCACAGAAGACCACTTCCGTTTTCCAGGGGTGCCAATCTTCAAGCACGTCAGGGAGGGGTCTCCAGTCACAGGGCCACTCACCCACACACCAGACCTGAAGTAACCGGGTGCTGTACTTTCTTTTTGCCTGTCATAGAATTAAGTGCTTTTCTCTACACATATTAAATGCTTGGATTAAAAAAAAACCTTGGAAGTTTTCTTCTAGTCATCTTGACCAACGCCAATAAGAGCATTCGGCCACTGTCCACAGCAAGGACTGAGCAAGCAGCAGACCCGAACGCCAGGGGCTGCCCTTACACAGTCCTTGCAGTTTTATCTCCAGAACCGCCCACGCATTCCCAGACGGCAGAGCCCAGCTGAGCTCCCTCGCCAATCTGAACTGAACTCACAGGCAGGACACGCGGGCTTTCCCAGAGGAGCAGGAGGGCCACCTCTGCCACCCACTCTCGGAGCTGTTTTATTATGAGTGGACTCGTACATGTATGGGAGGAGCACAGAACCTTTAGAGACAATCCACTATTTCATCACACTGATTAGCAAACCCCAATATCTTTAATTAAAAATCTTTTTCCTCCATGGAGACTTGGTCATTAAGCACAAATTACATCATTTTCGGAAAACGGTAGATTTAAAATCTTTGAGCAAGCCATGTAAACCCATTAAGTCAGTGAAAAGCCACACCTCACCAGCAAGCAAGACATGTAAATGACAACAACAGAGATGAAAGGACATCACCGAGTGTAACTTTGCTTTTCTCTGAGTAGTTTGATTACAAAAATTTTTATTTACTTCTTGTATATTTTCCTTACATTTTTCTCAGTAAACATGTACTACTTTTAAAAAACAGAAGTTATTTAAAACAATAAAACAAATTCCCACCTAAACAACTGACGCATATTGAACTGTTCTGAAGCCCAGGCCTGGTGAGCGGATCAGGCGCAGCCACAGCCTGGCAGAGGCAAGCGCCAGGCCAGCCACTGCACAGTGCATGCCAGACCCCTAGGGGCCTGCCGTTTTATTTTTTTAAATATGTTTTTATTGACATTTTAGAGAGAGAGGAAGAAAGAGAGAAACACTGATGTGAGAGTCATCACTTGGCTGCCTCCTGTACACCCCCTCCTACTGGGGATCAAGCCCATGACCTGGGCATGTGCCCTGACTGGGAATCAAACTGGGACCTCTCAGTCCATTGGAGGACGCTCAGACCACTGAGCAACACCGGCCGGGCAAAAAGTCCCACTTCTAAGGATCTACCCAAGAGAATGAAAACAAGTTCACGCAAAGTCTCATAGGCTAATGCTCACAGAAACATGACTCACAGTCACCAAAAAGCAGAAGTAATAATGACCATCATCTGTTGGATGAAGGAATAAAATGATTCATAGATGGAAGACCCTTCAGTAATAAAGGGAACAACCTACTAGTACCGGGTACAGCATGTGGACCCTCAAAAACTAAGTGAAAGAAGCCAGGGCAAAAGTCCATCCACTGTATGATCATACTTATAGAAAATGTCCAGAAAAGGCGAATCTCTGGAGTCAGGAAGCAGGTTCATGACTACCTGGGCTATGGTTAGGAACTGGGAGTTTGCAACGAGCACAAAGGGATGTTTTTGGGGTGATGGAAATATCCTACAATGGGATTGTGGTGATGGTTACATGTCTTTAAATGTACTAAAAATCACTCAACTATACACTTAAGATGCGTGCATTTTAAGGCATGCAAATACCTCAAAAAGCTACTAGAAAATAATTTTTAAAACATCAAAAAGCGCCCTGGCCAGTTTGGCACGGGTTAGAGTGTCAGCCTGTGGTCCAGAGAGACCCAGGTTCGATTCCCGCTAAGGGCGTGTACCTTGGTTGCAGTTTGTCCCCGGCCCTGGCTAGTCGTGCTGGTGGCAACCACACTCTATCTGAACAAAAAGTAGAAAAATGTCCATGGGTGAAGATAAAAAAAAAAACACATCAGCCCTGGCCAGTTTGGCTCAGCGGTTAGAGCGTCGGCCTGCGGTACAGAGAGACCCAGGTTTGTTTCCCGCTAAGGGCACGTACCTCGGTTGCAGTTTGTCCCCGGCCCTGGTTGGTCGTGCGGGTGGCAGCCACTCGATGTGTCCCTTCACGTCAATGTTTCTCTCTCTCTCTCTTCCTCTCTCTCCCTCCCACTCTATCTGTACAAAAATGGAAAAATATCCTCGGGTGAGGATAAAAAAAAACACATCAAAAAGCTTGGTCTTAGTAACTCAACTTTCAAAATTTAATTTAAAGGAAAAAAATTACTTAAAAATTTATATGTAACAATGTTAACTACAGTACTGTTCATTGTTTAAATAAAAAATAGCTTTAGCCCTGGCTGGTGTGGCTCAGTTGGTTCAGCATCATCCTGTACGCTGAAAGGTCACAGGTTCGATTCCCAGCCAGGGCACATAATACCGAGGTTGTGGGTTCAATCCCTGGTCAAAGCACATACCAGAGGCAACCAATCTGCGTTTCTCTTTTCATATTGATGTTTTTCTCTCTCTCCCTCTCCATTCCTCTCTCTCTTAAGAAAAAAAAAAATCAATTAAAAAAATGATAACTTGCCCTGGCCAGTTTGGCTTAGCAGTTAGAGCATTGGCCTGCGGTCTGGAGAGACCCGGGTTCGGTTCCCGCTAAGGGCGTGTACCTCGGTTGCAGTTTGTCCCCGGCCCTGGTCAGTCGTGCGGGTGGCAGCCACTCGATGTGTTCCTTTCACGTCGATGTTTCTCTCTCTCTCTTCCTCTTTCTCCCTCCCACTTTATCTGTACAAAGAATGGAAAAATGTCCTCGGGAGAGGATAAAAAAATAAAAATAAAAAATAAAAAAAATTGATAACTTTAATATCCAACCAAATAATATTTATATAAAAGCTTATCACAATCACATAGTAAAAAATGGCACTAATTAAAATTTCTCTTTGAGGAGAGTATTTGATAACAAGATGCTAATAATGTATGAAGTGGGAATTACTAGATCATGAAACTGTGCACATTTTGTCCCAGTTCTGAAGAATGAAGTTGTGCACAGGACACACAGCGAATGTCGGCAGGGCCCCTCTCCAAGCAGTAGGACTGAGGATGTTTGTACTTTCTTCTCAGAGCCACCTCTGTATTCCAGAACGCTGACAACAAAGTACACACTTTTACAGCAGAGATCAGTATTTCGTTGTCTCAATTGTCATTTTAGCCTCTTGTGGTGAATAACTTGCCTTTTGATAGTTTAGGAAAAGTTGGACGTGACCTCAAAAGAGTCAGGAATACTGCCCCACAGCTTCTGAATGTTTCCCTCTTTCCCACTCTCATGGCTAGTGCTTTAAAAATAACTAAAGGAAAAGATATTTGGTAAAATACCTCATTAATGAAGCAGCAGCAACATGTCGCACCCGAGGGTCTTCATCCCCAAGCAAGTAGATGACCACATTATTGAGCACCCGTTCTTGCAGTTTCAAAAGCTTTGTAGACAAGAAAACAAAGAGACAGCCTCTGAATTCAGGTAACTTTTTGGTAAGCTGTTTGGAAAGCCAGTAAGAAAGAACTCAAGCTCACCAGCCTCAAGCTCGCAGCACACAATCACAACCTGCATGATCACACTGAGAACAATCTAAGCAGCATGCATTCAGCGAGATCCCACACAGCCTCACGGAAATAAACTGCTCACCCCTGTGTAATGGTGAGCCCCTCTGGGAAGGTGTTCTGCTTTTGCTTCCAAAAAGCTCACCAACCTAACAAAAGAACACATTTCACAATTAAATAATCATTACTCCACAAACACCTCCTACGGCTGGCAGGACGCTGGCAGGTAAACTGCGAGGGCAGGCCGGTCCCAGAGCGGCCCAGGAATGAGTTAGTCCAGGTGCCAGGGGAGCCCGGAGGCAGCACTTACTCAAAATGAAGGAAAGACTACCGTGTTACAGCACGCATTTACATCCTCTCACGATTCCAGACTGTCAGTCAGATGAACTGAGAAAACGGCTCTGCTTTAAAATCAATAAAAACGTGTATTTTCTTGAAAGACTCCTGGCCAGTTTGGCTCAGCAGTTAGAGTGTCAGCCCACAGACTGAAGGGTCTCGGGTTCGATTCCTGGTCAAGGACACATGCCTGAGTTACAGGTTCAATCCCTGGCCTTGTGCGGAAGACAACCAATTGATGTGTATCTCTCACATTGATGTTTCTTTCTCTCTCCCCCCTCCCTGTTCCCCTCTACCTAAAAAAATTAATGGAAAAATATCCTCAGGTGAGGATTAACAAAGAAATAAATAAATAAAATAAAATAAGATAAAAAATGTTAAAAAAAAAAAAAAAGATAACAGGTGTCCTGCAGAATTAGCTCAAACACATGGGCAGAAGGCAGGGCAGCTATGGGAAGGCGGGGCACCTTCCCGCCCACTGACTGTGGCCCAGGAGGTGCTCAACCAAGGGCTCAGTTTCCCATCTATGGGGTGCAGGTAGGACAATCCCTCATTCTCATAGATGTTCTGAGGAAGCGAGCAAATACCCCCAGAGGGTGGCCAGCACATGTCTGGCACATGATCAGCTGTTAAAAAACACCTGGGTAGCCCTGGCCGGTTTGGCTCAGCGGTAGAGCATCAGCCCACCGACCACTGAGTTGTGGGTTCAATTGTGGTCAAGGGCACGTACCTCAGTTGTGGTTCAGAAGTTAATTTTTATTGTGACAGAACACAAATCAGCTATCAGACCTAAGCTCAGTGTGGTGATGAGCACACGCCTTTTAAAGAAGCAGAACTAGCCCTGGCCGGTTTGGCTCAGCGGTTAGAGCGTCGACCTGCGGTCCGGAGAGACCCAGGTTCGGTTCCCGCTAAGGGCACGTACTTCGTTGCAGTTTGTCCCTGGCCCTGGTTGGTAATGCGGGTGGCAGCCACTCGATGTGTCCCTTCACGTCGATGTTTCTCTCTCTCTCTCCCTTCCTCTCTCTCCCTCCCACTCTATCTGTACAAAAAATGGAAAAATATCAGGTGAGGATAAAAAAAAAAAGAAGCAGAACTAAAAAAAAAAAAAAAAAGAGCCCTGGCTGGTTTGGCTCAGCAGTTAGAGCGCTGGCCAGCAGTCCAGAGACCCGGGTTCAGTTCCCACTAGGGGCACATACCTCAGTTGCAGTTAGTCCCCGGCCCTGGTTGGGTTGTGTGGGTGGCAGCCACTTGATGTGTCCCTTTCATGTCGATGTTTCTCTCTCTCTCTCCCTCCTACTCCATCTGAACAAAAAATGGAAAAATGTCCTCGGGTGAGGACAAAAAAAAAAAAAAGAAGCAGAACTAACAAGCTATGATTTTAAGTCTGAGTTGTTTTATTCCCACCATCTAGAACACTTAAGGGACGAAGATGACCAGACACATGCACTCCTATGCTGCACTAAAGATCTAACAGAGCAAAGTGGAGATGGAGAAAAGCACTGTCGGCTACAAACCCCTCAGGCTTCTGTCGTTCGGGTGACAGGGTGACTCACTACCTGGGGGTACCTGGTGACTCTCACTACCTGGGAGAACCTGGTGACTCTCACTACCTGGGGGGACCTGGTGACTCTCACTACCTGGGGGTACCTGGTGAAGCTCACTACCTGGGGGTACCTGGTGACTCTCACTACCTGGGGGTACCTGGTAAAGCTCAGTACCTGGGGGTACCTGGTGACTCTCACTACCTGGGGGTACCTGGTGAAGCTCACTACCTGGGGGTACCTGGTGACTCTCACTACCTGGGGGTACCTGGTGACGCTCACTACCTGGGAGAACCTGGTGACTCTCACTACCTGGGGGTACCTGGTGACTCTCACTACCTGGGGGTACCTGGTGAAGCTCACTACCTGGGGGTACCTGGTGACTCTCACTACCTGGGGGTACCTGGTAAAGCTCAGTACCTGGGGGTACCTGGTGACTCTCACTACCTGGGGGTACCTGGTGAAGCTCACTACCTGGGGGTACCTGGTGAAGCTCACTACCTGGGGGTACCTGGTGAAGCTCACTACCTGGGGGTACCTGGTGAAGCTCACTACCTGGGGGTACCTGGTGAAGCTCACTACCTGGGGGTACCTGGTGAAGCTCACTACCTGGGGGTACCTGGTGAAGCTCACTACCTGGGGGTACCTGGTGACTCTCACTACCTGGGAGAACCTGGTGACTCTCACTACCTGGGGGGTACCTGGTGACTCTCACTACCTGGGGGTACCTGGTGAAGCTCACTACCTGGGGGTACCTGGTGACTCTCACTACCTAGGGGTACCTGGTAAAGCTCAGTACCTGGGGGTACCTGGTGAAGCTCACTACCTGGGGGTACCTGGTGACTCTCACTACCTAGGGGTACCTGGTAAAGCTCACTACCTGGGGGTACCTGGTGACTCTCGCTACCTGGGAGAACCTGGTGACGCTCACTACCTAGGGGTACCTGGTAAAGCTCAGTACCTGGGCTATCTGGTAACCACCACTATCTAAATCAAGTGGCCTGGGCCTTTCAATGCTCAGATCAAAGCCCTGAGGGCCTCAGCTCCTGAGAGAGAGCCTGCAGGCCTGATGCACATACCTAAAGTCCATCTCTGCAAGAGTCTCCAGCAATTCAGTCCTCACCAGCCAGTAGGAGCTGCTCCTCAGGCTCAGCACGTCGGTGATCAGCTGCAACCCCAGGTAACTGTAGCTACTGCTACAGAGGCTCATGATGCAGTGCTGAAAAGCAAGGCCACCGTGATGTCATCCAGATGGTCAGTAGCCACACGCTCACACACCTGTCCCACATGTCTCAAGGACATTTACAACACATGCTTTACCTCAGGAAACTCGAGTTTCCCAATGTGTCCTTGTCATGTAATTTCCTTTTTTTTATTAATTGTTTTTTCCCTTTATTGATTTTTAGAGAGAGAGGAAGGGAGAGGGAGAGAGAGATAGAAACACTGATGTAAAAGAACATCGATTGGCTGCCTCCTGCATGGCCCCCACTGGTAATTTGGCCCACAACCTGGGCATATGCCCTGACCAGGAATTAAACTAGTGACTTCTTGGAGCATGGGTCGACGCTCAACCACTGAGCCACACCAGCTGGGCTTATTCTTTCTTTTCTTTATTGATTTTAGAGAGAGAGGAAAGGAGAGGGAAAGAATGACTATTGATGAGAGAGACCATCAACTGGCTGCCTCCTGCACGGCCCCCCACTGGAAATTGGTCCCACAACCTGGGCGTGTGCCCTGAGCGGGAACTAAACCAGTGACACCTTGGTGCATAGGTTTATGCTCAACCAGTGAGCCACAACAGCTGGGCAGGCCATGAAATTTGAAAAAGGGAAAACATCTTACAAATACACAATTGTAGGGTTTTGATTTTTTTCTTTTTTTTTTTTGGTTAATGCTCACCTAAGGCTATTTTTTCCATTGATGTTTTTTTAAGAGAGAGTGAAGACAAAAAGGGAGGGGGAGAGAAGAGAGAGAGCGAGCAAAACATCAATTGGTTGCCTCCCAGACATGCCTAGTCCGGGACTGGAGAAGTGAACCTGCAACCCAGGTATGAGCCCCCACCCCTTTTTTTTTATCCTCACTCAAGGACATTTTTTCCATTTTTTTGTTCAGATAGAGTGAGAGGGAGAGAGAGAGAGAGAGAAACATCGACGTGAAAGGGACACATCAAGTGGTTGCGACCTGCCTGACCCAACCAGGTCTGGGGGCAAACTGCAGCCGAGGTACGTGCCTTTAGTGGGAACCGAACCCCCGTCTCTCTGAACCGCAGGCCAAGGCTCTAACCGTTGAGCCAAACCGGCCAGGGCCCAGGTATGAGCCCTTGACCAGGAACTGACCAGAGAACCTTCGGTGTGCAGGATGATGCTCTAACCACTGAAGCACACGGAGCCGGGCTTGTTTTGGTTTTTACTGGTTAAGTTTTCCTGCAGATGACTGGCTAGTGTGACTTATGAACCAGGTGGTATATAAAGGCTGGACATGTACCATGCAAAGGACGGAAGCCATGCAACTGACACAGACGTGACTAATGACCTTTAGGCCTCACTCTAACTCTCAGCATTCTACGGCCTCATGAAGTTGTTTTTAATTCAACGGGTTTGACACTCAATGTTAGCAAGGTCTATATCTAAACACATTCCTTAGGCAAAGGTATATTTCAAACAAATATTTTGAGAATCAAAACTTAAACAAGCCTGGCTGGTATGGTTCAGTGGTTGAGCATCCACCCGTGCACCAAGCGGTCACCGGTTCCATTCCTGGTCAGGACACATGCCCAGGTTGTAGGCCTCATCCCCAGTGGGGGGCATGCAAGAGGCAGCCAATCGATGTTCTCTCTCATTGATGTTTCTATCTCTCTCTCCCTCTCCCTTCCTCTTTCTATACAAAGAACAATCAGTAAAGAAAAAAAATTATTAAAAAAAAACTAAACAAACGTCTATTAAACTTTATCAGCAATGGTTTCTTTCTAAAGCTAAGTGGTGGCTACATAGACATTTACTATTGTTTATAACTGTAGAATGTCTGGACATATTTAATATTTTAATTATGATAATGGTAAAGTCTCCACAAGGCTCACCCGCACAGCTGAACACGCCAATTTGCACGTAACAGACGATTCATCCTTCAACGTTTTTTGCAGCAAAGGAACGCAGTCCGCCAGAGAAAATGTGTTTCCTGACCAGAACAGCAAGCGACAAATGCCTTCATGTAAACTTGAACTTGGCAATGACACCCAGAAAGGGAAACCTCAGAAACCGGCCATTACCTGTCCGAGCTCGAACAGAGCCCATCCAGTGCCCCACCTGGAAGCGAGACCTGCTGAGGATGGAGCAGATGAGCGTCCCGCAGAGAATGGCTGTGGCTCCCCGCACCTGTGGGTCTCCGTGACGGATGTAGTTCAAGACGTCTGAGACATACTGCTCCTCTGCATGGAGAAATTGCCCAGCCATTATGAAAGCAAAATTCCAATTTTTTACTTCAAAAAAAGATTAGAAAAACTCAAACTAGTCTACAGTTACCTCACATAAATTCAAAAGCACAAGTATGCCCCTCACCCAGAGAGAGAGAGGGAAGGAGAGAGAACTTCAAAGTGCAGTTCTTGCCACCACTTACTCTGCAACGAGATCCGTCCCAGAAATGTGCTGTCGGGACCACTGTTGCCTCGGCTGCGCTCAGTGCCCATGTGCCTGCGTGTGAACGTCTGGCCTGACTCAGTGGAACTGTGGTATCAATTTTTTTTTATGTACAAATTTGAGCTTTTGGTAAAAATCCAATATGCGGTCAACTAAATATTATATTCCCAGAATTCTACTGTTTTGTTGTGTATATTCCAACTAAGCATTGAATGAACAGGAAGTCCAAAAGGTACAACACTGGTTATCTGTGTGTTTCATGGAGAGCTACCACACAGTTCAAATGCCCCATTAACTCAGGAAACTTACTATTCTGAAACTGAAACACCAAGAGGGTTTGAAATAGTTTTTTTTTTTAATTCTCACCCGAGGATATTTTTCTGTTTATCATCAGATGGAGGGAGAGGAAGGGAGAGGGAGGGACAAAGAGAGGGACAGAGAGAGAGAGAAACATCAATGTGGGAGAGACACATCAACTGGTTGCCTCCCACATGACCTGACCAGGACTGGGACAAATCGCAACCGAGGTACGTGCCCTTGACCAAAATTGAACCCAAGACTCTTTGGTCTGCGGGACGACGCTCTAACTGCTGAGCCAAACCAGCCGGGGCAAACTAGTTTTCAAAATAATGATAGCACACAGGAATGAGATGGGAACTCTGAACGTACCAGGGTATTCCGTGGGGTCGAGAGGAACTTTGTACAGCTTGCTGAAGAAAGACTCAGGATGAAGGGCCACAGCAGCTCCCACACAGCTGAGCGCCAGTGCCTTCACGCTGACCCGCACATCCCGGTCCAGAACCAGCGCTGTGAAGAAACCACCTGGGTCACCTTGGGCTTCCGAGCAGCAAACATATGTCTCCCAGAGACACAGAACCAGACTCACCAGAGAACTGCCCCATCCTCCCCTCTTCTCCCGCCAGGCAGTGAAATCCTACCCTCACACTCACCCAGACCCGCTCCCTCGGCTACAACAACTAGGCACAGGTGGCTCTGAAACCTAGTGATTCCCTTCAACTCTGCGCCTGCCCTTCCATACGTACCATTTTTCCCCCCCGTTAGCAAAAATGAAGCAGATAAAAGGCGGACACAATGGACAAGGGGAGCAGAATCATCGTCGTTAGACTGTCCGATGTCACCTTTGATCCGGCAAGGCTAGAACAGAGAAACTACACTTGTTTGTCTGATCATCAAAGAACTGACACATCCATCCATCAGTTCGCTCAACAAATAGTCCCCGAGCAACAATCAGGCCAGGTGCTGGGGATACAGAGATGCCTGCCTCTTTGCCCATGTACACACCTGACCTCACAGACGGTGGGGCAGAATCAGACTGGTGAGAGGCAGTTACGAAAGTCTCATGGGCTGCAGCAGGGATGGGCTCAGCACGCAGGGGAGGTGCTGGGAAGTGTATCAAAGCTGTCCTCTACAGGACGAGGAGCCAGGGCCTGGGGAAGCCCAGGGCCAAGAGGGAGGAGGCCTGGTGCTCAGGGCAGAAAGAAAGGACCAAAGTTGCAACAGGGACTGAGCACCTCTGCGCTAAGTACAAAATACTATTTCATGCCCTCGAGGAATTCAAAATTAACTGGAAGGACAAGCAGTTCCTCAAAAAATTAAATATAGAATGACCATATGACCCAGTCATTCCACAACAGGGTATTAAAATCAGAGTCTCGAAGAGATATTTGTAAACCCACATTCATAGCCGCATTATTCACAAAAGCCAAAAGGTGAAAGTAATCCAATTGTTCATTAGTGGATGGAGAGAAAAACAAAATGCAGTAACATATATAATGAAATATTATTCAGTTTTCACAAGGAAGGACATTCTGACACTTGCTACAACATGGATGAACCTTGAGAACACTGTGCTCAGTGAAATAAGTGAACCACACAAAAAGACAAATACTGCATGATTCAACCTATACGAGGCCCCTCGAGGAGTCAAATCCAGAGGCAGGAAGGAGAACGGAGGTGGCCAGGGGCTGAGGAGGGAGTGGGGAGCTGCTTTAAACGGGGACGTGGTTTCAGTTTGGGAAGATGGGGAAGCTCTAGAGATGGCTATGGTGATGGCAACAATGTGAATACACTTAATGCCACTGAACGGGCAATTGTTGTGTATTTTACCACAACAAACAAATAAATCCATTCAATGGGACAGAAATGAGACATGCTGTAAGGCCATGCAGACCATCAAATGGACAGTGAAAGAAACAGGTGGAGCAGCCGGGTGTTCTGAAGGGAGGCAGGGCCTCAGGCCGTTCTCGAGGACTGGGTGGCGCCTGGAGGCAGGAAAGAGCAGGCCTGGGGAAAGTCAGCACCCACAGGACACAGCTGAGCAAAGCCCTGCACAGGAACCCAGAAGCATGGGAGACAGACAGCCCCGGCGTGACTTCAAATACTCTTGAGCCCAGGAAGCCGCATATCTCCAGCCTACATCTCTCACCTTGTTTTCCTGATCTCCTGGGTCAGCAGCTTCTTCTCTTGACATAAACTTATCCACACTGCTGTCAGAGGGCTGCCTGCTGTGGCCCATGCTTTTCAATAATTGTACTTGCTGAAGGGCTTCCAGAACAGAGAAATCAGAATTAAGTGACAAATTTCCCATTAAAATGCAAATACACACATTTACACCAAGTCAACATGAAAGGAGGAGACAGATGGAGAAAAGGAGCAATCATTCCTCAATGGGTCCTCCTCACAGACAACTCAGAAAACAGGATACCAGGAGATTTCTTCCTGAAAGCTAAGATAAAACTGCGGTGTTGGGTTGAAGGAGCCATTCCAAAGCACATGGGCCAAAGCTGACATACCCACTGAAGCAGCTGTGAACTCATCGGTGTCCTCATCGGGCAGGAGGCCCGGGGGCTCTTCCTCCTCATCCTGCGGTGGGCTGAGCTGCATCCCAGAACACTGGCCTTCGGTGCCATCCAACACCTGAGCAAGTCAAAGGGGCTATGAGGGCTCTGGAGGGTAATCCTCGAAGGACAAGCCCTCAGGCAGAGGGCAAAGGGGAAACAATGAATGTGATGGGCCACGTCTTACATACCAACACAGAGACCATTCCCCAAATGCACATAGACACGTGCATGAATCATCAACAGCTGACTGATCATGTTACTACTGCATTATAAAAAGCTTTAACTGTAAAAATTCCAAAAATTTCCCAATCTGGAAATTTCTCTTTTGGATATATATTTTAAAAATCCAAACAAAATCTTTGTCTTCACAAGTGAGTTTTACAGTAAGTCAAAAATGAGGAATAACCTTTCAGACAGAAACCTAAGAGCACACAGGTCATCTCCTGAGGGCCAGGGCTACATCAGCCAAGGGCTAGGCACAGCACTTCATGTGTGTAGCCATGAACTGTATCTCAGCTCCATATTGCAAAAATTCTCACATCTACTTGAAATCCCATTTAACTGACCAAAAGAAGTGAATGGTGAGCCCTCAATATGTCAGTAAACTATTTCTGAAATAAAATAAACTCACTTTTTTTTTTTTTTTTTAAGATTTTTATCCTCACCCCAGGACATTTTTCCATTTGTTGTTCAGATAGAGTGGGAGGGAGGGAGAGAGAGAAATATTGATGTGAAAGGGGCACATCGAGTAGCTGCCACCCACACGACCCAACCAGGGCCGGAGATAAACTGCAACCAAGGTACATGCCCTTAGCAGGAACCAAACCCCCAAACCCGGGTCTCTCTGGACTGCAGGCAAATGCTCTAACCACTAAGCCAAACCAGCCAGGGCTAAACTCATTCTTAAAAAATCATTCAAAAATCCTTCAAATTAGATTTTTAAAAATCAAACTATATGATCACAAACAACCAGAAAAAAAATGATCTCCTCCATTCCCAATCTTCCAGATTAGTTTACACCCCCCTCAAAAAAAGAGAGAAAAGTTCCACCACAATAAAAAAAAACATGTTCTGAATGCGTTAGCGCACACCAAGCAGGGTGAACAGCACTTCCTGAGCATCACCTGCCCTAATCGTGGCAAGTCTCACAGCACAAGCACAATAACCACCCTCGTATGGTTAACAAAGCTGGGGCAAGAAGGACGAACATGGTCTAGTTCCAGGCTCCACAGCCAAATGGCAGAGCCCCATTCTCATCCTGGCGGGCTCCCTGGTGCCAAGACCCTGGGCCCCCACACTGAGCTTTTCATGAGGAAACTCCCTGCCCCCTTGAATTTGCTTATTTTTCATTATGGCACTTACAGTCATCTATGTATTTACGTACTTGTTGATTGTTTATTGGCTTACTTCCCACCCTACACACACGTGCACATTGTAGAATGGGTAGGCAAACCTGGACCATCACCTGTTTTTGTTATTTTATCCTCACCCAAAAACATTTTCCCATTTTTTGTTCAGATAGAGTGGGAGGGAGAGAAAGAGAGAAACATCGACGTGAAAGAGAAACATCGACGTGAAAGGGACACATCGAGTGGCTGCCACCCGCAAGACCCAACCAGGGCCGGGGACAAACTGCAACTGAGGTACGTGCCCTTACCGGCAACTGAACCCGGGTCTCTCTGGACCACAGGCCGACGTTCTAACCACTGAGCCAAACCGGCCAGGGCCCACCACCTGTTTTTATAAATAAAGTTTTACTGGAATATATTCATACTCATTTGTTTGCACAATGTCTTCAGCTGGTTTCACAAAACAACAGTGCAATGAGTTGCACGGTTCACAAAGCCAAAGACGGTCCCTCTCTGCCCACCACAGAAAGTATGATGACTTGTACTCGAGAATACCAGCTTCGTATAAGCAGTTTTGTATGCTGTGTTCTCTACTTCAGCCCCACCTTATAGGACACTTCCTGGAACATAACAGGTGGTCGATACATTTGTTCAGCAAATAATTAATGGTAAGATACAGGAGGAAGCACCACATCAATGGGAAGAACTACTGAATGTGAGAAATACCAAGGGAAGGTGTTTAGTTCCCCACGGGCCAGAGAGGTCAGCACAGGCCCACTCCCAGCACCGTTACACAGCCAGCATGTTAGCCACTACCAAGAGAGCGAATTTTCACATTTCCAATGTCTTTCTTCCTCCTTTTAACAGTTACGTCTGGAAACCACCTACTACAAAGAGAGATATCCCACAAAGCTGTGCAATAAACAACAAACCCCTGTGCACACTTCAAAGTCCTAAACCCAGCGCCCTCCCCCATTCCCACACAAGTGCTGGTAGAACTTGCTCACCCTTTCCTTGCGTAAAATCAATGTCCACTGCCCTGGCCGGTGTATCTCAGTGGTTAGAGCATCAGTCTGCACACCAAAAGGTCACAGGTTCGACTCCCAGTCAAGGACATGTACCTGGGTTGCAGGTTAGATCTCCAGCCTGGTCAGGGCATGTGCGGGAGGCACCAATCAATGTGTCTCTCTCACATCGATGTTTCTCTTTCTCTTTCTCCCCCACTTCCTCCCTCCCCTCTACTCTTTCTAAAAATCATTGAGAAAAAATATCCTTGAGTGAGGATTAACAAAAAAAAAAGAAAATCACTGCCCACTGTGCGCACAGATCTGTTAATAATAAATAGGTTCCTTAAAAATTTTTTTAAATAATGATTTTTACCTCTGCCCAACTCAATTTTAGCAGAGTCCATATCATCAACTAATTAATTTCTGACTTTGATGTTTGACACAAAAGATACTAGTGAAGGTCTCAGAAGGGGTCAAGCTCTCCATTCATGAACTGAGCTGGTGCCCTCTAACCTGCTGTCAGGGGATCACATGAGCAGAGGGTTCAGGTCTGGAACTTCAGGGAAGATCCCTCTGCAGAAACCAGGGCACCCCCTCACCCACTTACAATTTCAGAACTGTCTGAAGGGGTCACAGCTGAATCTGGCCCTTCGGTGGTGGTCTGAGAGCTGTCACTGATGGGTGAGGAGGCCTGGGTCCCATCATTCAGGTCCGTGGCAGGGTCAGAGGGGACAGCGCTGATCTGGCTGGAGCTGTGGCTTAAGATATCCTCCTCATCCCCATCGGTGGCAGTGCTCGTCAGGTCGCAACCGGTCAGATCCCCCGAGTCCGGCTGCAGGGTGTGCTGTGACCGGGGCTGCTCCGTGATGATGTCGTGACCCGTGGAGTCAGCAGCAGAGCTGGCAGAACCAGGAGTGGAGACCCCGGAAGAAGCAGCCAGCTCCCCACAGATCTCGCCCTTGACTGAGGCTGAAGACAAAGAAATATGCATTCCTCAAAGGGCCAGGAAAAACATTCAATAGGGTATTTGCAAAATACCCTAAGTTCACTGGTACTGTCTAAACTGCAAAAATCCTAAAATACAGTGAAAATATGAACTACTATATTTCAAAAGCAAGACAATAGTGCATCCTTGAAACATGAGCAAGACTGCCTGCCACTGTATTCCTCCCCTTTCACCGTACACTACACTGCATGCATGGCAGCAGCAGACGCCTGTAATGTGCTGTCAGTGCTCCTGAATGGTGTTCACTGCAACCCTGAGCATCAGCCAGTCCAAGGTCTTTTGCAGCTGCTGCAGCCTTTGATCGGAGCTGCACAGAAAGACCTCCGGCTCTCAGGAAGTTCAAGGCAGCTGGCACAGCCGGGGCACAAAGCCATGCTCACAAATGCCTGGTGCTCTGGGCAAGCAGTGCTAAGAGAAGTTAATGGTAAATTCACCATTGCTTTGAGGTAGCTTTCCTCTTCCCAGTCCCTGATCAAGATCCCTAAGGTGCTCATTATAAATGTGCACCACACTTTTGTTTCATCTGTCAATTCCCAAAGAAAACGACAGCCGTCCAAACAGACCACTACAGAAAGATCTATACCAAGCTGTTAGCACCGGTCACTCATGGAAGCCACGGAGTCAGACAACACTTGAGCGTTACTATTATGGCTATAATTTTGTTGTTTTAACTTTTATTTTTTTAACTAAAATATCAATTTCTATTTTGTAAAATAAGTGAATAAATAATCACCCCTGGGATTATTCAGATTTCCTTCCCAAATAACAGTTATCTAAAAATACTCTTTCAAATAGGACCAAACAAATCTCGTTTAATCCAATCATTGTCTTAGTCAATACCCAGTCTTTATAAGGTGAATAAAGAATCTTATTAGATAACTATCTGTAAACAAATGTAGAATTCTTCCAGGTTAAATTATCCACAGATAATTTTTTATCCCATTTTCCCTCACAACTCATACAATTCACTTTTACCCACCATTCCTTCCTCAAAAAGATGTATGCTCAAGTAGTATAAACCTAATTTTAAAACAGCCTAAACCAAGGAAAAGAGCAAACATCTGATGTAAGAACACACACATGTCACAGTCAACATTATAAAAGAAATCTCCACCACGAGTAAGCTGGCTTCGTGCTGCACAGGAGCAGGTGCAGGGAGGTGCAGGAGCTGGGCCAGCGGACAGGGGAAGGTGGACCCCAGCACCACTCCCTGACAGCTACCTGCAAAGGCTGGGCTGCTGCCCTCCGACCTTGACTCAGAGTCATCCTCCAAGGCTGATGCTTCTCCAAAGAGCACTTTCCCTAGGAAATGACGCAAGAGTTCTTTTAAGCTTGCTGAAAGGAAGGACTCTGAAGGTCAAATAAATGCACAGCCTGCGTGCACAATCATCAGCATATTCAACCTCTTACATCGTTTATAATTATATGTATTCTTATGCCGCTGGAGTGCTAAACACAAAGAACGCAGAGATGTTGTAGAGTATTATTAAAATCAATAAACCTATAAGGGAAAAAGTTAAAAGCAATGATTCTCAAATGGTACTGCAAAGTATTTTAATAAGTAATAAATATTTATTGCCTTAGATTACTATTAGTGTTAAATAATTTATATTACTATTTAATCTTAAATATGGTAAGTTATAGCTAGAACCAATTCTTTTAGCCCTTTGGACATTCATGTCATATCTTCAATAGTATATCAGAATTTATATATATAAAACTTTTATACCTAAAGGTCACTTTTATTTTATTACCTTTTAATTTACTAGGTTCTAATGTTAATCAGAACTCAAGCAGTGTACAATCCAGGAGGTCTAAATAATATTCATCTTTTGCAAAGTTTGAAAAATACATGTTACAATATATGGTTTCCAGACTATATTAATAAAAAAAAAAGAAAACAAAAGTCTTAACATGATTTAACTGGACTCATTAAATCTTACGGTTACATTACATAGAAATGTCATTAAATGATAGTAACAAAATAATTATTGGCAACTTCTAATTTCTAATTTCACTGATCTTCAAAGAACAGATCATAGCTGTGACAACTTCCAAAAATTTATACTGACGTGACATTAAACGCAAAGAAAAACAACAAAGGAAGCCCAAAATGTAGATGAAACTGACATAGCAACTAAACTTTATCTGCTAAATAACGGGGTCCTTAATTCCAGAACAAGCAATTTACCTCGAGAAAGCCAGTACAATTGTGCCCTCTGAGCTCAGGTGTTCACGAAAGCAGTCTGCCCTGCAGTCAGCAGTTTGTGAATGTTCCCAGGAGCCCTCCCCAGGGCAGCAACACCTGCTGCTGCCAGGCCACACACACCCAGCCTCACTTGATCCTACATCCAAAACAACTCTACTTTAATCTCTCTTATATATTAGCAGGTTTCACTTGAAAAAAAAAGAATTTTGAGGCTGTAACAAAAATGTTTGAAACTACAGCTCTGAATGAAAAAAAAAAACAAAGAACGCTAGAAAAATAAAAAAGAAATTGAGGGCATATCCCATGTCCTGGCCAGAAGAAAACAAAACAACTCATCTCAGTCATGGGACTCCGGCACCTTTCCATCATCACTGGGAAGTGCAGCGAAAAGACAGACAAGGTAGCAAGCATAAGAGTAACTTACTAAATCTCCAGATTCAAGACTAGAGAGACTTAACTTTTCCTAGAAAGCTGGATTTCAAGCAATCTCAGTGTTTCATCAATATCTTAAAGTTGATCAAATATCCCATGCTATCGTGGCCCAGTTATAGCTTCTAAGTTCTGGGAAATGTTTACTTAACTTAGTCAAGGCTACAGTATTATTCCTGCTAAGATCGCATTGAATACTGCCAATAATACTAGGCATCAGGCTCTCAAATAAACACTCAACTCATAACATAAAAAAAGATTAGTATGCCCTGGTCAGTTTGGCTCAGCAGTTAGAGCGTCGGCCCAAACCCGAAAGATCACAGTTTTAATTCCCAGTCAAGGGCATGTACCTCGGTTGCAGGTTTGATCCACGGCCCTGTCCAGGGTCATGCAGGAGGCAACCAATCGATGTGTCTCTTGGACATTGATGTTTCTATCTCCCCCTCCTTACCTCCCTCCCTCCCTTTCATGCTATCTAAGATCAATGGAAAAATATCCTTGGGTGAGGATTAACAAAATATATATATTAGTATGTTGTATGTTAACTACACCTCAATTTAAAAAAAGAATTAGTCTTTTAAGATTTCAAAATAAAAAATGACAGCAATTACTTCCTTTGGAAATCTAGACTGAACAAGAAAATAACTGGTGTTGCAAAGTGATTATATGTACCAAAACTAACAGATTTTATCAGAAACACTTTCATCTAATAAAAATAACCAATGTATCACAACACTTTGGCCTATACAAAGGCAAATATGGCTGAAAAACGATAACCAGGCCCAAATTAACTAAATTATTAACCAAACGTTATTCCTGACTAATATTAAACAAAATTGGGAAGATGATAAGTCACCTTTGTAAAACATAACACACTCCCTAAAGCAGGAGTAGGCAAAGTATGCCCCCCCTCTGTAATCAAGTCCGACTGGAACGCAGCCACACCTGTTAGCTTAGTACTGCCCAGGACAGAGGTAACAGTTGCAAAGGAGACAGCAAGGCCCACAGAGCTAAAGTATGTACCACCTGGATCTTTACAGAAAGTCTGCTGACCCCTGATCTAAAACATTACAAATTTATGGCAAAGCAATTCTGATACACAGGCAATTTGCAAAAGCTACCCTCCTAGGCCTATTGGAGTCCAGCAGCATGCATACATACAATCGCTCTGTGGGAAGAGGGACAGGCACAGTCGATGGCATTATGGAAAGACAGAGAAATCAGCAAGATTCAAGACTATGATTTCTGAAATAATCACCTTTTTGTTTTCTTGAAAGGACAGGGCTGCATGAAGAACCCCCTCCAGCTGTAAATCACAAAAAATGACAGATGAAAGTAAGGTAGCAAGCTGCTAAAATTCAGAAGGAATTAAAAAATCTTCAAAAAGCTGATTCAACTTTAAAACTAGAGAATACATGAGCATATTTACAAAAGGCAGTGCCACACTTTAATGTTGACAGGATGAAAGTTAAATTACCACTTGAATATACATATAGTTTTGACTTAAAATGTCAAAAGAGCTCATATAGAGCATATTTAAAAAGTCAAAAACATCAGAAATATCAGATTATTTGGTCAACTAATAATCAAATATAAATTTTCATTAGAAACAACCATGGGAAACAAGTACTTCAGCAATTACTTGTAAGGCACATATTCCACAGAGAAAAGGCTCTTCAGTGCACAGGACAGGGAACAGGCACATGCACACTTTTAGCTCCTGGTCCGGGCAGACACTCATGTTAAAAAAGGGAGCAGTTAGACAAGTTAACCAAAGTCTCTGTGGTCTGTGGATGCTGACTCAAGGCCCTGCCACACACACGCAGCACTAAGTGGACTGCACACTGCAAGGAGGGGGAGAGGCCAGGAATTATGCAAGCCTCCTCTGTGCCAGACTCGGCTCTAGAGACTGAGATTCAGGGCTCCCCAACTGTTTTGCTCCCTAGGGGCATCTCCATGTCAGACAGGGCCCACTGTCTGCAGAAAAGCCAGTGATCAGTGTAAAGCAGCATCAAGGGTGTGCTCAGGGCCCACTCCCCAGAGCACAGTGGGGGAAAAGGGACAGCAGTTGAGGAGGGACCAAAAAAGCAGGAACAGGAGGGCTTTTCTAAAGTCAGTGAGGACAGCAAATATAGACCCAGAAGGCAGACAGAAACGAAAATTCCTAGAAGTCTTGAAGATCCCATCTCTGGCAAAGATGATGACAGGTCCCTGGAAATACGCTCCCTAATATTTTCACTTCAAGACAGATGAAATGCCACATGGGGAGGTAGGTGAGCCAGAGAGAGTGACCCCATTTTGCACCTCACCTTTCCACACATTAGTTCTTCAGATTATAGAGTTGCGATGACACCTCACCGTAGATTTGGTGAGGATCTGAGATGTCACTGGCTCAGCCCAGAACTCACCAGCATGAGATGGCAGTACCACAGGCCTCGTGCTAAGAACTCACCTATCAGCTCCACAATGCTCCCGCTGCGACTTCGGCCATCCGGCTCCAGGCTGGGAGTGCTGAGCTGCGCCAGGCCACCCGGCGTGGTGAGGGCCCGCAGGAGCTCAGGGGGTGGGGTCCTGAGGAGCTGCTGCAGGAGCTCCAGGGCCCCGGTCACCACATTGTGGTCTGGGTGCTGCGCGTAGTGCAAGGTCAGTTCGTACACCTGGAGACAGAAAACAAGTGCTGCTCGTCATGGCTTTCAAATGAGTACGAGGTGTCACTTTTTGTTTCTGATCATCTTCTGTTGACGAACTCTGTGCCTTAATTTCTGCCCCTAAAAATTTCTGTCACTTCCACCAGTGTGATCATTGGCTTCCACATGGTTTTCTAAATTCCCATATTTGTAACTGTTATATCAATTCCTTAAAAGTAAGTAGTGCATGTCCTCAAAAGCAGAGGCTACAGAAAACCTCCACCCCGAGACTGCTGACTGACTAGCGAAGTAGAGGAGAGCTCAGCCGACACCAAGTGCAAGGACAGTGATGCACACTTGGTACGCAACAACCTCGGTCATGAGCCACCGAGAAAGAGCTCCCAAAACTTGTAAAGGCATTATGTCAACTTTGTTCAATGCTTTTAATACTAGATCATGTTATATTCACATAATGAATTTATTCTTTATTACAGTTGCCAGATAAAATACAGAACACCCAGTTAAATTCAAATTTCAGACAAGCAACCAATAATTTTCTAGTGTAATTATGTTATTTCAGGCACACTTACATCACAAAATTATTCACAATTTATCTGAAGTTTAAAATTAACTGGTACTCTATATTTTTATTTGTTGAACAGCCTTACCTTTAACATCATAAAAGTAGTACATATGTTTAAAAAAAGACAGACTGTTCCGGTCAAGATGTCAGCATAGGTAAACACGGTACTCGCCTGGTCCCAAAACCACATTAAAATTACAACTAAACTATAGAACAATGATCAATAAGAACCACCTAAAATTGAGCTGAATGGAAGTCCTACAACTACAAAATTAAAGAAGAAGCCACATCAAGACTGGCCACAACTGGAAACAGATTTGAAGACTGAGAATGAATGAAGACAGACTTAGCAGGAAGACCTTTGAAAGGAGAAAGATGCCTTATCTCATCTTAGAAATGAGACCCAACAAATCGTTAGTCTTAAAAAGAGTTCCTTAACCTCCAAGGTGAAAACCTGCAGTTGAAAACAACAGATCATGAAAAGGAGCAAGCTCTTTAAGAACTTGGCAACACACTTAGCCAATCAAACTTAAAGTAGAAGATATAAAGAAGCCCACATAACACTGCAGGAACTGGTTTGATTGAGACAAAGAAGTGACACATTGTAAGCTTTCTGAAAAGGCATTCTCACTCTCTAAGAGAAAGCACCACTGTAGAAACTGGGGGGAAATTTTCTGTAATGCTTGTTCTGACAATAAACTGCCTCTGCCTTCCTCACCAAAGCCAGTGTGGATTTGTGATTCCTGTCACACACTGCTGATTGGTCATGTGATTTGCCATAAGATTCCAGACCTAAATCCTCATTGTATGAAATTATATATCATGAATGTTATATATGAACAAGTGCACAACATATTCAGACAGTCCTCTGTAAGCAGCTTTCAAGCCCTATTGGTACCAGTTTTATCTTTCACATCTTCCATTCATGGGAATTAAAAAGTTGTATAATTTGCACCCTGGCCAGTTTGGCCCAGCAGTTAGAGCGTTGGCCCGCAGACCAAAGAGTCGCAGGTTCAACTCCGATCAAGGGCACATACCTTGGTTGTGGTTCATCCCCGGCCCTGGTCCAGGTTGTGCAGGAGGCAACCAGTCAATGTGTCCCTCTCACATCAATGTTTCCCTCTCTCTCTCCCCCCCTCTCCCTCCTTTCCTCCCACTCTATCTAAAGATATATAGAAAAATATTCTCAGGTAAGGATTTTTTTTTAAGTTGTATTATTTGGGGGGGGGGGGCGGAGTACAGAAGGGTATAAAATAAAAAACCTCAGAGACAGTGACTGTTAATCACTTATTTTTAGTTCTTCTAGTGGGAACCTCCATCACTCTAGGTCACAGGTCTGCAAACTGCAGTCCACAGGCAACTTGGGCCGCCACCTGCTCTGCACATAGTTTTAGTGGAACGCACCATGTCTGCAGCCTGCCTGCAGCTGCCTTCCTGCTCTGGCCGTCCAGGTGAACAGCTGGCCTGTTACAGAGAAAGCATGTGGGCCCTGTGCTAGGTAATCAGCATTTCTGAAGCCATCGACTGTGAACAAACTACTACATAAAATGACGACTCGGCAGCCCACACTGCTCCTACCTCATTTGCCCTCCTGAATGCTGTCAGCAACATCATTACTTCAGATTATTAGGATTCACAATATGTAACTATTTAAATCATATGTGCCTTGCCTAGAAGTTCAATCTAAAAAGCAAATTAATAACATAGCAGTATGTATCTTACTATGTATACAAACACAGGACTGAGAGGGAGCTCAATAGATGTTCACAGAACAGATAAACACGTTTCATGGACCTTGGCTATAGAAGCAGGGTAACGGGCTCAGTGCCAGTGAGAGGTCTGCAGGGCTTAGGTACTGCTCTGGTAACCTGATGAGAGATTCCCTACATCACCCTCTGGGTCACATGACTAGGGGTCGTGACCTAGGACCTGAACAGGTGGTCCAGCTCCAGAGCCCATGTATTTAACCCTCGGTTCTGCCATCCCCTTCCCAATGAGCTCTCTGGATGTCAGTCACATCTGTGTCTGCACTAGAGTGAACCAGAAGCTCCTACCTGCACCAGCTGCTCTGTCGAGGGGGAGATTTCCATTTCTTTCCGTGTCACCCCAAAGCTGCCTTTCAGGCTGGTGTCCTTGACCTGCTGCTGCAGCAATGGCACCAAGTACCGCAGTGCGAGCAGCACTCCAAGAATCAGGAGGGAGGGGTGCTCATCCTCGACAGGAACCAGCAAACCTGAAAAGGCAGCACAGGTGCTTTACATCTGGTTCGCTGCTGTGAGACTTAGGACTCGACATGTTAGAAAGACGTCCTTCCCCTGGCCAGTTTGCTCAGTGGCTAGAGCGTCAGCCCTCAGACCAAAGAGTCGCAGGTTCAATTCTCAGTCAAGGGCACGTACCTCAGTTTCAGGTTCATTCCGCGGTCCTGCTTGGGGTCGTGTGGGAGGCAACCAATCAATGTTGCTCTCACATCGATGTTTCTCTCCCTACCTCCCTCCCTCCCTCTCCCCCCAACCCTTACTAATCTCTCTAAAAATCAATGAAAAAATATCCTCAGGTGAGGATTAACAACAACAAAAAATATACAAATGTATCTCATCATGGGGCTGCGATCCAGGAGGAGATTTGAAGGATGACCTTACATCTTTAGCTTAGCAAAGCCTTTACATTGAGTTTGCTGCTTTGGCAGTCAGGTGTCCTGTCCTGACAGATGTCCTGTCCTGACAGATGTCCACATGCCACCTGCAGCATTGGCTAGTGTTGATTTCCACAGTTACCCCATGCACAGGAGTAAGTGTCAGCAGACCTACACCGAGCACAGAACTACAGGGCCCTGGGGCTCAGCTTCCAGCGTCAGGGACTCCCTACACTCGGAGCCACAGGGTAGGCTGAGAAGTTTGCCTGCATAAAGGACCAGGATCAGGAAGGAAGGTGGGTGGCACACCAGCCAGCAACCCCTGCCTTGCTGACTGTCCTTGGGCACAGCTGCGCCCACACTTCTGCACAGGAGAGCAGCCTTTCCCAACCCTCACATGGACCCAACACAGGCTCACAGCAGCCCCAATCTAACTTACACTTCCCGAGGGTCTGGTGCACAGGCCATGGGACAGCCTGATTTCAAAGGTCTGACTCCAGCAAAGGCGGGAGACTCTACCCCACTAGGGAAACCCCAGACGAACACGACTTACCTAAGAGCACATTCAGCAGCCAGCTGTAAAAGTGCTGTGTCCTCCGGGAGTGCTGACAGATGCTCACCGCAGAGCTGGCCGCCGTCCGCCGAGCCGTCGGGGAGCTTGACTTCAGGTTCGCTATGAAAGCCTTCAACAGAACCTGTGGAAACAAAACCCCACACAGAGAGAAGAGGAAGGTCCTGTGAGGCTTGCCATGTACTGCATAAAACTTCATTTGTTCCAAATCCTTGCAGAGTATAAATCATCAACAATTTGAGCCTTTCCCAAACTGAACAGAAGCACCCAAATCTGGGTTATTCCGGAGTAGTTGGCACATACGTAGTCCACGCCCTGCCTTATAAAGTACAAGCAGAGCCTTGCAAAGTAGAAGCCTTAGCTTTGGAGAAGCTGTATCCACAGTATTTGAGGACAGAGTCAGGAAATGACACCATGTAAAATAAATGCAGTAAAAAAATGGACAAATATTGAGGTCAAAAATAAAAGAGCGCTAGCCAGCTACAGTGACGTCTGGCCTAAGAGACGGTTTATACAAGTGCTGCCTGTGAAGGTCACTAAGAGGCGTCCTCTGGCCCTGGCTGGTTCGGCTCAGCGGTTAGAGCATCAGCCTGAGGTCCAGAGAGACCCGAGTTCAATTCCCACTAAGGGCGTGTACCTCGGTGGCAGTTTGGCCCCGGCCCTGGTTGGTCCTGCAGGTGGCAGCCACTCGGTATGTGCCTTTCACGTCAATGGTTCTCTCTCTCTGCCTCCCACTCTATCTGTACAAAAAATGGAAAAATGGCCCTGGCTGGTTTTGCTCAGCGGTTAGAGTGTCCGCCTGCGGTCCAGAGAGGCCCGGGTTCGGTTCCCGCTAAAGGCATGTACCTCGCCCTGGCCAGTTTGGCTCAGCAGTTGAGCGTTGGCCTGCGGACGAGAGTGTCCCGGGTTCGGTTCCTGCTAGGGGCACAAAAACAAAACAAAACAAAAAAACAAACATTTTGCCCTGGCCAGTTTGGCTCAGCGGTTAGAGCGTCTGCCTGAGGTCCGGAGAGACCCGGGTTCGGTTCCCGCTAAGGGCACATACTTCGGTTGCAGTTTGTCCCCGGCCCTGGTTGGTCGTGCGGGTGGCAGCCGCTCGATGTGTCCCTTCACATCGATGTTTCTCTCTCTCTCTCCCTTCCTCTCTCTCCCTCCCACTCTATCTGTACAAAAAATGGAAAAATATCCTCGGGTGAGGAAAAAAAAAAAATAGGCATGTACCTCGGTTGCAGTTTGTCCCCGGCTCTGGTTGGTCGTGCGGGTGGCAGCCACTCAATGTGTCCCTTTCACATCGATGTTTCCCTCTATCTCTCTCTTCCTCTCTCTCCCTCCCACTCTGTCTATACAAAAAATGGAAAAATGTCCTCAGATGAGGATCAAAAAATGGAAAAATGTCCTTGAGGATAAAAAACAAAAAAAGAGACATCCTCTGGAGACCATACAACCTAACTGAACTGTGACAGCATACTACTCACACCATTCTAAGAAATCAGGGACCAAGAGTGTCACTGGACTTCCAGAATGACCCAGACAAGATTCTACCCATGATTCTGACCACGGCCACTGAGGCCTGAAGGAACACACAAGAACGAAAGGGGTGACCACCTAGCTGCATGCATCTGCAGCTGATATCACCTAAGAATATCCATTTCTTATGATTCTAAACTATGCTCTGAAAAATGCACGGTCCCAGTTACTGTCAGTGTGACCGAGCAGTGCTGGCCAAGTCGGGGATGCCATCAGAGCCCCACCACTGGGGGTATGACCCTAGCAAACAAGCATCAAATGAAAAGACTGGTATGTGGCTTACAAATTGGTTTCTCCTGAAGGTGGAGTTACGATCCCCTGATTCTCAGAGGTATACCAACTCTTGGTGAACTTGCAGATTAGATTCCTAGAACCAGAAGGTGAAGGGCTACACCCCTGGCCACGGAATGGCCCCAGTGGTTGTGGCCTCCAGTTCCTCCCAGAGATACTACCCAGTCAACTTAACTGACAAATGTTCTGAGTTCCAAGAAAAGATACGGGTGCCCTGGCCAATCAAGGTTATGCATCTAGTTTGCAGGTTCAATTCCCCAGGCAGGTCAGGGTCATGTAGGAGGCCACCAACTGATGTGTCTCTCACATCAATGTTTCTCTCTCTCCCTCCCTCCCTCCCTTCCACTCTATCTAAAAATCAATGTAAAAATACCCTTGGATGAGGATTAACAAAAAAAAAAGAGAGAGAGAGAGAAAGAAAAGATATTGCCATCTTAGAGAACTCCTTTCAAAGAAAATATTCATGAATACATAACTAAAATAGGACATTAAGACATAAACATGGGGAAAGTGAAGCATTATTATGAAACATCAGCCCACAGTGAACCCAAATAGTTGGGAATGATAAATAATGAAGCTGAATCTGAGAGTTTGAGGGGGCCTTCTCAGGTCCAAATCCCCCAATGCCTAAAATACTTCACAGAGGCAACAGCAGGAGGTACAAAGACCAAACAAGGTTGTAAGCCTTGAAGGACAAACGTGTATATCCAGGCACTGGGCACCCAAAAGGAGAGCAGTAAAGAAAAGCCCTGAGGTACAACTGTGCAATAGACTGAAAGGACATTGTGACCAGACTGGAGCATGACACCAGGGAAGTCTGCATGGAAGACGCTAGTTGGAAACGATCCAATGAAGTATCTGCCTGTGGAAACCACTGAGACACATTCTAGAAAGCTGCTAGAAGGTGCGAGAAGAACAAAAGGCCAAAGAGTAATAAGCAAATAAAAAAAGAGGCGGTTATTAACTCCAGAAAAACAAAAAAGTTATACAAAGAAATATAATCATAGCACAGAACACAACTAGCTGTGACTATTTACTGAGGCATAACAACATACAAACTGATACAACTATATCAAAAAGATGGGAGAAGACTGGACTTAATTCACCTCTTCCATAATAAAGAAAAGAAACCTAAAACTAGGCATACAGCATGTTATTTAAAAATATGGAAGGAAATACTAACACAGGACTGACCCACAAAAGCAAGAGGTTAAGAATCTGTAATCCTGACTTCCGGGCAAGTTGGTGGCATAGGTAAAGGCGGTATCGCGTCCTCCCACAACCACATCAAAGTTACAACTAAACTACAGAACAACCATCATTCAGAACTGCCTGAAATCAAGCTGAGTGGAAGTCCTACAACTACAAAATTAAAGAAGCAGCCGCATCAAGACTGGTAGGAGGGGCAGAGGCAGACAGGCTGGTCCCACACCCACATGTGGTGAATACAAATCAGGAGGACACCTCAGCTGGGAAGGTCCTCTCTGAGGACTGAGGGGTTCCCATCCACACCAGGCACCCTGCTCAGGGTTCCAGTGCCAGGGAGAGAAGTCCCCATCACTTCTGGCTGGAAAACCAGTGGGAACTGAGGCTCAGGGAGGCTGAGGCCGCTGAAGTCCCAGGCAGCTCCTCTTGAAGGGCCCGTGCACAGGCTTATCGGACCCTCTCCCTCTCAGCTTGGAGGGGAGGCAGCTGGAGGGGCACCAGAGACATTCAGGGAAGAACTGAGCTATTTGGCACTCAACTGAGGACTGGAGAGAGGGCTTTCTGACAGATGTGCTGTCAGAAGCCTTTGTTCCTTTGGTGAGCCCTTCCCTGGGGAGGCAGACAGCCCCCATATCTGGGACTCCAGCAACCTGGTTCACACTGGTTGCCCCACCCTGGTGATTCCCAGAGGCGCCGCCACACCCAGCGTTCAGACCCACCCAAGTTGTTTCCAGTTGCTTTACCATAGGATTGGCCTGTCTTGGATCCTGCTTCAGGTTTTCCTAAATTCTTTCAAACAAGCAGCATCTGGTCGCAGCTAGCCCCATACCTCTCGTTAAGTAATACATAGAAACAAACACAGGGAGGCAGCCAAAATGAGGAGACAAAGAAACAGGTCTCAAATGAAAGAAAAGAACAAAACCCCAGGAAAGGAACTAAGTGAAATGGAGGTAAGCAACCTACCGAATGCTGAGTTCAAAACACTGCTTATCAGGATGCTCAATGGACTTAGTGAGAACCTCAGCGAACTTAGTGAGGACCTCGAGAGCATAAAATCAGACCAGTCAGAAATGAAGGAGGCACTAACTGAAACAAAGAATTTACACAGATTCAATAGTACAGTAGGTAAAGCCAAGAAGCAAACCATCGATTTAGAATATAAGGAAGCAAAAAACACCCAATCAGAACAGCAAAAAAAAAAAACATTCCAAAAAAAATGAGAATAGTGTAAGGAGCCTTTGGGACAACTTCAAGCGTGTCAACACTCACATCTTGGGTGTGCCAGAGGAGGAGAGAGAAAACAAAAAATCAAAAACCTATTTGAAACACTAATGGCAGAAAATTTCCCTAACTTGGTGAAGGAAACAGACATACAAGTCCAGGAAGCACAGAGAGTCCCAAACAAGATGAACCCCAAGAGGCCCATACCAAGACACGTCATCATCAAAATGCAAAAGGTTCAAGACAGAGAATCTTAAAAGCAGCAAGAGAAAAGCAGTTGGTTACCTATAAGGGAGTTCCCATAAGACCGTAAGCTGATTTCTCGAAAGAAACTTTGCAGGCCAGAAGGGAGTGGCAAGAAATATTCAGAGTGATGAAAAGCAAGAACCTACAACCAAGATTACTCTATCCTGAAAAGCTGTCATTTAGAATCGATGGCCATATAAAAAGTTTCCCAGACAAGGAAAAGCTAAAGAAGTTCATCACCACCAAGCCATTATTATATGAAATGTTGAAGGGTCTTCTTGTAGAAAAAGATAAAGCCCTGGCCGGTTTGGCTCAGCGGTTAGAGCGTCGGCCTGCGGTCCGGAGAGACCCGGGTTCGGTTCCCGCTAAGGGCACGTACTTCGGTTGCAGTTTGTCCCCGGCCCTGGTTGGTTGTGCGGGTGGCAGCCGCTCGTTGTGTCCCTTTCACATCGATGTTTCTCTCTCTCTCTCTCTCTTCCTCTCTCTCCCTCCCACTCTATCTGTACAAAAAATGGAGAAATGTCCTGGGGTTATTTTTAAAAAAAAAAAAAAAAAAAAAAAAAAAAAAGAAAAAGATAAAAAAATATGAACAAACAAAATAGCAATGAATACATATCTATCGACAATTGAATCTACAAACAAAATGAACAAGCAGAACAGAAACATTCTCATAGATACAGAGAACATTTTGTTGGTTGCCAGATGGGAGGGGGGTTGGGGGAATGGGTGAAAAAGGTGAAGGGATTAAGAAGTACAAATTGGTTGCTAGACTGACAAACCTCAAAGGGAAGGGGGGTTGGGGGTGGAAGGAAATAAACCAAAGAACTTATATGCATATATGGATAACCAATGGACACAGATAACAGTGTGGAGAAAAGGCACGAGGGGGACAGGATTGGGGAGGAGGGAGTCAATGGGGGAAAAATGAGGAACATCTGTAATACATTCAACAATAAAGATAAAAAAATTTTTTTTTAAAAAATCTGTAATCCCCACACCATGTGGCAGGGTCACGATTTCTGGACATTATAACAAAACACTAAAGCAGGTTAGAAGATTGCTTTCTAGGGCACTGAACAAACAGGAAGTCAGTGGTCCCTGACAGCTGCAGAACACCTGGACCCATGGAACACACAGTGCGCTGTCTCCGACCTGCAATCCCAGTTGCCTCTCCCCTTGGCAAGCAGCCAAGCCAGTACACCAGAAACCATTATACTTCGAATCAATGTCTTTTGAATTTGCGTGGCTACACCAGTCCCTATACAACACTCCACCCACAATAAGAGAGCAGAAGCAGAAAGAAGCTCTTCCTGCGCCTAAAAAATTCTAATCCAGCCTTGGCCAGTTTGGCTCTTGGTTAGAGCATCAGCCCTTGGATCGAAGGGTCATGGGTTCAATTCCCAGTCAAGGGCATGGACCTGGGTTGAAGGTTTGAGCTCCGGCCCTACTTGAGGCACATGCAGGAAGCAACCAATCAATATGTCTCTCTCACATAGATGTCTCTCTCTCTCCCCCCCACACCCCTTCTTCCCTCCCTTCCACTCTCTCTAAAAATATTAATGGAAAAAATATCCTCAGATGAGGATTAACAACAACTACAGAAAAAAAAATCAATAAATAAAAAATGTTTTAAATAAAAACAAACTATAAGCACAACAGAATTCAAGAAGTACTCTCAAATGACTCCCTATCCAAAGCCCTAACTCCACCATCAGACTCATTCACAGGTTTGTGACTTGAAGTAACAATCATACCTTAATTTCATTGTCGTTTGCAAAATTGCCAAATGAAGCCATAATTTTGGGTATAGCTGCAGCCAAGGTCTCCTGAACAGACTCTTCAGGTCTCTTGCTTGTCCGAGTCAGGCAAGGCAAAAGGTTTACGAAATATGGCCTGCATATGTGAGAGGAACATGGGTTATCCTACCAGGTCTACTTTACTGAGACATAAACAATCAGTTCAGTGCCTACTAGAGGAAAGACAGTATTTATAGCAAAACAGTCCTGAATGAAAAGGGGACAAACCTCAGCTAAAAGAGCAGGAGGACAAACTGCAAATGAAGTTCAAAGGTTAGGATATGCTCACCCTTCATTTCTCCTGTAACTACAGAGGACTCTCTAAAGCTCATCTTAAAAAGTATTTGCAGCCCTGGCCGGTTTGGCTCAGCGGTTAGAGCATCAGCCTGTGGTCCCGAGAGACCTGGGATCGGTTCCCGCTAAGGGCATGTACCTTGGTTGCAGTTTGTCCCCGGCCCTGGTTGAGTCGTGTGGGTGGCAGCCACTCGATGTGTCCTTTTCACGTCGATGTTTCTCTTTCTCTCTCTCTCCCCCTCTCTCCCCCTCCCACTCTATCTGATCAAAAAATGTCCTGCGGTGAGAATTAAAAAAATAAAAGAAAAAAAAAGTATTTGCAACCCTGGCCAGTTTGGCTCCACTGTTGGAACATCGGCCCACAAACCAGAGAGTCCGGGTTTGGTTCCCACTAAGGGCACATACCACTGCTGCAGTTTGTCCCCGGCCCGGTTGGGGTCATGTGGGTGGCAACCACTCCATGTATCTCTCTCACATCGATGTTTCTCTTTCTCTCTCTCTCTCTCTCTCTCTCTCTCTCTCTCCCTCCCACTCTATCTGAAGATAAATGCAAAAATGTCCTCAGGTGAGGATAAAAAAAAAATTTATTTGCAGTAAATTATAATAGTTATTAGAATGCTCATATTTTAAATTAGAAAATAGATAATATAAGAAAACACCCCTTTAGGAGGTGGAGGAGGGTATAGGAGGATAAATGGTGATGCAAGGAGACTTGACTTGGAGTGGTAAGCATACAAATACAGCGTACAGCTGTGGAACTGTGCACCTGAAATCTGTATAATTGTGTTAACCCAGGTAACCCCAATAAATTCAATAAAAAAGAAATGCAAGTGAAACAAAGTTTTCGGAACAAAACACAAAATCTATGAGACAGCTCTTTGCAATTTTACACTTTGCACCAAGCCTCTGCTCCGACTGGGAGAGGAGCGACACCTGGCCACTGTCCCCAGAACACGTCTTCCAGCCTCTGGGCTGTGGCTCTCCCCAGGCTTCACACTCCCATGACAATCGGCCCCTGGAAGCCATCCTGCTCTCCTTAGTCTATTGGACTCAAGTCACACTTCTTTAATAAAGGTTACCCCTTCTGCTGTTCAAAAAAAGAAAGAAAACACCACTTCAAAAATAAAAGTTAAGATAATGGTGATGGAAAAAATAAAATAAAGTAAATAGTAAAAAATAAAAATTAAAATGAAAGTTAAGAAATGAGAATAATGCTTTCTTGGAAAACAAGTACTATAAAAAAAATTTTTTTTTAATCCTTACTGGAGGATATTTTTCCATTTATCTTCAGATAGAGTGGGAAGGAGGGAGACAGAGGGGGAGAGAGAGAAACCTCAACTGGCTCTCCCACACGATGCCGACTAGGGCTAGGGACGAACTGCAACCGAGGCATGGGCCCTTGAGCAGAACTGAACCCATGACTCACTGGTCCGTGGGCTGACACTCTAACCACTGAACCTAACTGGCCTGAGCGACAAAAAAAAATTGTTTTAATGTTCAAGCTAAATATGGCCTTAGAGATAAGACTTGGCCCTCAAAGAAAGAAAGCCAACTGTGTAGGAGACAAGGGGAGTCACAAGCTAGACAAGCCAGGACCACATGAACCCCTGAACCAACCCTTGGAAAACACAGCAGCGCCCTCTAGTGCAGAGACAGGCAACAAGCTGGTCTATACCCAGGACTACTAAAGTAGGCAAGGCCCACAATTCTAAGGAGACATTTTTTGGAGACCCGAGAGGAAAAAAATACCATCAAGAAGAGAAATTTACTTTCTGCAGAAGTAAAATCAGGCCAATGAGTGAACAGAGATTGTCTGAGGTGATGGAGCCCTTGGGGGCAAGACCTCCCTGGGCCTTGGTTAAGAAGTCTGGATTTTATCTGAACAGCTAAAGAAAATGAGTCAAGCCCTGGCCAGTTTGGCTCAGCAGTTAGAGCGTCGGCCTGCGGTCCTGAGAGACCTCGGTTCGGTTCCCGCTAAGGGCGCGTACCTCGGTTGCAGTTTGTCCCCGGCCCTGGTCGGTCGTGTGGGTGGCAGCCACTCGATGTGTTCCTTTCACATCGATGTTTCTCTCTCTCTCTGTTCCTCTCTCTCCCTCCCACTCTATCTGAACAAAAAATGGAAAAATGTCCTCGGGTGAGGATTTAAAAAAAAAAAAAAGAAAATGAGTCAAGAGTTGGAGTAAGGAAACAACTTGACCCAATCTCATATATATTTTTTTTTTTTTTTTTTTTTTAGGTCACTCTGGTTGCTATGTAGAGAACTGGGAATGTGTTGCTTTAGAAATAGAACAAATTTTTCAAAATAAGGATAGTAAAAGCAAAAGGTTGAACAAAGAGGGATTCCCTCAGTGACTGTATCTCTGTAGCCATGTAGGATTCTTATCAAACTCAGATGCCCTGGGATGAATCACGTTTCATAGTCATTGTGGGGTCTGGGCCGTTCCACCACCTCCTCAGAGGTAGAGCCAGGGTCTATGGATGTTTTGCCAGTTAAAGAGACAAGGATGGTCCAGCTGGTGTGACTCAGTGCTTGAGGGTCGACCCATGCACCAAGAGGTTGCTGGTTCAATTCCCGGTCGGGGCACATGCCCAGGTTGTGGGCCCGATCCCCAGTGGGGGGCATGCAGGAGGCAGCCAATCGATGTTCTTTCTCATTGATGTTTCCACCTCTCTCTCCCTCTCCCTTCCTCTCTCTCTAAAATCAATTTAAAAAAAATATATATATTTTTTAGTTTTATTTATTTATTTATTTATTTTAAAGAGACAAAAGTGGAGTTAAAAACTGGGGTCTTTTTTTGTTTTTCAATCGATCAAGATAGAACTGTTTCAATTAGTCAAAACTTTATTCACAATTTAACACTCACATTTTCCACTTACATCTTAGACTAAGGCATCTATTTCCATAATCTCTACCATAAGTGATATGATGTTGGGACTTGACCTCAACCAACTGACAAGAATCTTTCCAGCAGCTACCCTGTGCAGACACTGTCAGCAAGGCTGGGCTGCAGCAGGGACAGACAGGAAAGACCCCTGCTGTTCCAAGAGTCCCTCTCCTACTTGTCTGGGGGAGGGTTGGGTGAAGATGAACAGCACACTGATAAAGTGTGCGAGAACATTTCTGAGAACAGTAAATGCTATAGAAGAAGAGTAAACAGGACATCAAATACAAGTAGAGGGCAGAGGTGGGAAACTCCAGACGGAGTGCACAGGACAGAACTCTGGAGAAATGGCATTTGAGCTGAGATGTCAACAAGCCATAGGAGCTGGCCCCCGTCGACATAATAATAATAACAACAACAACAACAACAACAATACAGTGGAACCTCGGTTCTCGAACTTAATACATTCCAGAAAGCTGTTCGAAAACAAAAGCATATTTTCCCATTATAAATAATGTGAAATGAATTAATCCGTTGCAGACCTACAAATGACTCTGTTTTAACCTTTCTTATATACAGTATATATCTAATGTACTATTTAATTTATAAATAAACACTTTAAAAACAGCTCTAGCTGGTTTGGCTAAGCAGTTGGAGCGTTGGCCTGTGGACCAATGAGTTATGGGTTCGATTCCAATTAAGGGCACGTACCTCGGTTGCAGTTCATCCCAGTCCTGGTCAGGTCATGCAGGAGGCAACCAGTCGATGTGTCTCTCTCACATCAATGTTTCTCTCTCTCTCCCTCCCCCTCCCTATCTGATGATAAATGGAAAAATATTCTCGGTTGAGGATTAAAAAAAAAAAACTCTTTAAAAACAAAAAGGACATAAAATGTACAAGAAAATTTAATAAAAAGGAAATTAAATGTAAAGTAAAAAATGAAAATTTAATAATAAGCAGGAACAAAAGCAGAAAGACACAAAAACATTCACAGCAGTTTTCCGAAGTGCTAACAGTGGTAAACTTACTCGTATTTGCACATTCTCTCCTTTGTTTGTTTCTGAGAGATTCATGACTGATCACATAGGATCAGCATGAAGGGCTGTTGGGCTAAGAAGCAAACTGTTCGAAATGAGAGACGTTTGAGAACCAAGGTTTGACTGTACTGATAATGCAGAGCGCACAACATACCTGCATTTCTGAGGCCGAACCAGGTGAGCCAGCTCGGCAAATCTCCACAGGGCAGCACGCAGGCTCCGAGGAGCACCATTCTGGAGGATTTAATGAGCGCTGTGTTACATTTAAAGGTCACCAAGAGGACTTCATATTAACAAAAATGTTTTTTCATTATTAACTCTAGTTTTAGAGAAAAGGCTATTTAAATGTTTAACTACTTTAGAAATTTTAAGGTCCAGTGAGCTTAATTATAAATATATTTTTAAAAGTTACCATTTTAAATATCTAACTCATCTGAAAACAATGAAAGGTAGAAGAAAAATAAAATAAACTCTACCAAACAGCTTTTCCTTAATCTAACGATTTCACTTCTTAAACATAAGGTAACATCTCACGTAAACTGCTCAGCACAGTGGCAGCACTACCCCACAACGAAGAATGAAGGCGCACCTTCTTGATCTCCTTGTAGAGCTCTAACTGCAGCCTCGGAAGGTTTGAGTCCATCAGCGCCTGCAACAAAACACACCCCTGTTCAGGAGACAGTCCACTAGCATCACTAAAGAAGCGCAAAGGCAGCGTAAATTTCAAGCATGGGGCAAAGTAAAATTTGACAGTAACTAAATGAAGAACATTTAATTAAGAAAAAAACATATATATGCAGGAAGTTATTGGATAAACCAGACACAGGTGATTCACTTGAATAAAAATGGGAGAGAAAGAATTTAACTTTTGTTATAATCAAATGCTACATAATATCAAAATTAAGTGGTAGATGGTTCAAATTCATTCTAGAGGTCTTAGCTGAAACCCTTAATAGTCGAGAGTAAAGAAAACCCTCAAAGTATCCTCTTGTCATTAAAGTCCATTCTGTTGTGTGATACAACATTAGCAAGACCCTGATGTCCGGGCCCAGCAGGCAGAGGTGTTCCACTCACAGCCACTCTCCTGGCCATGGGAACACACTCCTGATGCAGGCCCCATCTTTTCTGAAGGTCTGGTGCTCCCTTGATGCCCAGATGCTGCTAGTCATGGCCATGGCCGTGGCCCTCCGAGCCCACAGCCGGCTGGGAGCCTCAGGACCTCACACCACAGCTCCTACTTGCACTCCCAGAGCCGAGCCTACTTCCAGACCCCACGCTCTCTTCCCTGGACTACCTGCCTCCCGGGGATTCTCTGCACAAGACCTTTTCTCACTCAAAGGCAGGCTTCTGTCATCAAATGCTCCTCGTCCTAAATAAGCACTCCTGTGACCACATCAACAATCTTCGAGAGTACCTCATTCTCAACCTGATAAAACACAAACCCCTGAGCTGATCTGGGTGTCAGAAACTGAGGCCAACCTCCTCTAGGAGCCAGAAGAGGTTTTCTGGTACCCTCGGAGACCAGATGCCACAGTGGTTAAGAAGGCCCCGAATCTCCTAGCTTACCTACTGGCCACCACCTCCAGGAAGCCTTCTCTACCTCCCCAGAAAGAAAGCAGCTCAGCCTCCTGACTGCCACAGTGAGTTGCCGTCTCTTCCGGAACTTAGGTTTTACACAGAGGCATGCTGCCTCACACAGACTGTACATGACTTGAGGGCAGCGCACATCAGTGCACTCTGCTACGTAAATAAAGAGCAAACCATGCCCCTCTTTCCTGGGCTATGCAGAGTCTGAGCATATAATACTCATTAGAAGACAAAAGTCCACGACCTGACTCCTACAGATCTGTTCCTGTGTTCTTGTCTGTCCCTGACACTGGACTTAGGGCTGTCCACATTTTCCCAAGCCTGTCCATCCTTTGCCACAGTGAGAGCAGACCCTGATCCCAACTCCAACCTGCTGCACCCGAGACCCGAGCTCTCAGGAAGCAGAAACCTGAGCACAGCCCAACTCCATTATGCCCAACTTTAAGCAGAAAGGAGCACTTGAAAAAGACTGGCCTTGTCTCACATTCAGGGTCATAACATGAGACGCTGGAATCTGTGCATGGAGAGACCAAAAACAAAAAACAGGAAATGGGAAAGTAGGACGAGGACCAGGAAGAGAACCCAGGACCTAAAGCTACAACCTGGGGTCATGCTCATGAGTCCCAAACATACACCACGCTATTCTGTCCAGTAGTTGTTGGAAGAACAACTTCAAATGGAATGAGGCCAATGAGTAAAATGACCAACATCAGAGCATTTGGGGTCACATTGTTCTCTCTGCCTCCTTGCCATGAACCAAAGCAACATGTGGTGCCCTCTTTAGGTTTTTGATTCTAAGGATCGAATTTCAAGAACTATCAGAAAAAGCCCTGCCTGGTCCTGCCAGGGGGAATAATAAAAGCAACAAGGACAGTTAGGCTGGGAAGAAGTACATGTAACTGAGAAGGCCAATGGAACATGCTGTGGGACCCCATGCACATGCACGTGTCACTGACAGACTGTGGGCATGGAAAACAAGGCTTAATGGCCACTGGAAACTATATCACTGTGGGAGGCAGAATGCAAGCCAAAGCATGAAATCAGGAAGAGAGGGGCCAGGTGATGGCTTAGGGGTGAAGAGGGACTTCCCTAAGGGTGCCTGAAGCAAAGAGCTAGAATGCTGTGGCAATATAGAAGCCAGCGGCCTGAGTAAGAAAGGCATGGCCAGCCAAGAAAGAGTGCTGCCAGCTTGGCACAGAAAGCTGCGGAGTCCACATGGCAGGAAGTGAAGAGCAGCCGGTACGAGTGTAAGAACCTCAGTATTAATAAGAGTACTTCTTACCACTTGAGGACCAGTGTGCAGCCAGGATGATGATGCCCAGCACGTCAAGTACGTGGCTGTATCTCTCACTCACACATACATGTGCACACACGCACACAGCATACACACAACACAGCACAAAAAACCTGTCTGATTCCCTTTATAGGAAGGATACCGAGGCTCACAGAATAAATATATTTCCCAAAATTGCTCAGCTAGTAGGGGCAGAGGCAAGATTCACTCCAAAACCCACATGGACTCTGTCACGTAACAGTGCCTTGCCTCCCAAAACACAGGAGTCAGGGATGACCATCTGCCCAAGGAAGGGTGGACCCGTGAAGGAAAAAGGAAGGAGGATTTATTTGCCAGTGTAAAACATGACCACTCTCCAGAGAAAGCCCTCGGGAAGACTCCAAAGAACAATTTTGTTTCCAAGACCTTAACGAGAAGGAAAATAATCAACTACCCTACATTCATCTGGCCCAGTATGTATTACTAGGAATGGTACCTTCCAGGAAAATGAAGACATGCAGCCTCTTCTCAAAGTTTTCTCTAAATTTTAGGGTGAATTCAAGGCAGCAGGGAAAAGAATAAAAACTGGCAGGTCCAATAAACAAGGATCCCTGCAGAGAAGGGAGTAGACATTCTACCCCTTAACCAATATGAAGAAATGATCTTTGGAGAAAGTGTCAAGAACTATGTCAGGGAACCTTCCTCATGCTGGTTAGGCTATAGTGGGAAAAATGTCTAAGTTTGGACACAAAATTCAAAAGCCCTATTCAGCCCTGGCCGGTTTGGCTCAGCAGTTGGAGCATCGGACTGCGGTTCAGAGAGACCCGGGTTTGGTTCCCGCTAAGGGCACGTGACTCGGCTGCAGTTTGTCCCCGGCCCTGGTTGGGTCGTGCGGGTGGCAGCCACTCGATGTGTCCCTTTCGCTCGATGTTTCTCTCTCTCTCTTCCTCTCCCTCCCACTCTGTCTTAACAAAAAATGAAAAAATGTCCTTGAGTGAGGATAAAAAAATAAAATAAAATAAAACCAAAAGCCCCATTCACAAACTCAAAGGTGGCCTAGAGGACAGTGACCAGGCTGGGTTGGGGACACAAACAAGGAGCGGGGCAGAATGATAAACACAGGACAGCTTTCTAATACTTTAAGAATTATGGAAGGACTCTGCCATGGCAGCAGGAAACAGTAAAGGGGACAGCAGATTAAAGTTATGTGGTCTTGCCCTGGCCGGTCTTGCTCAGTGGTTAGAGCATCAGCCCACGGACCAGAGTCCCGGGTTCGGTTCCTGCTAAGAGCACGTACCTAGGTTGCAGTTTGTCCCCAGCCCCGGTTGGGGTCATGTGGGTGGCAACCACTCAATATATCTCTCTTACATTGATGTTTCTCTCTCTCTCTTTCTCCCGCTCTATCTGAAAATAAATGCAAAAATGTCCTTAGGTTAGGACAAAAAAAAAAGGCTATGTGGTCTTGCCCTGGCCAGTGTGACTCAGTGATTAGAGCGTTGGCAAGCACACCAAAGGGTCAAGGGTTCAATTCCCAGTCAAGGGCACATACCTGGGTTGCAGGCCAGGCCCCCCAGTTGGGGCCTGTGTGGGAGGCAACCAATCGATGTATTTCTCTCACATCAGTGGTTCTCTATCCCTCTCCCTCCCTTCCATTCTTTAAAAAAAAAAAAAAAAATTAATAGGAAAAATATCCTCAGGTGAGGATTAATGAAACGAAAAGCTCTGTGGTCCTGGGCACAAACCTCATACGAGGAAGGTAACAAAGGAAGACAGGTGTCCCCTTCCCTCTCCTTACTTACCACCCAGACGGCCCCAGCTTGCAGGCTAACATCCTTCCCTGGGAGCCCCTCTCTGCCCAGTTGGGTCATACTAGCTGCAGTTAACCTGCTGTCAAGTCACAGCTTTACCTGTAAATAGTACCGTCTCACCCAGATCCCAAAAGGCAGAGGAAGGAGCCAAATGAAGGGAGCTAGAGACACCAAAGATGGATTCCAGGGGCCTCATGGTTTCTCTCTGATACTCCCAAACAAAAGGTAGTGCCTTAGTGGCATTTTCCCCAAGAGCACCCAGGGGCCACCATCAGTACCCAGGCAAGAACCACACCTTGTGCAGGTGAGGGGCAGACAGTTCCTACAGGTGCGGCAAGCATGCTGTCAGACACCAACTGACGCTTCCAACCACACATCACAAATGCTACAAGCGCAGATACCCTGAGGGACTGTGCTATTCAAAATAAAAGGCCACTGGCCTACGTCAAAGCTCAGAGGCCCTGTCCCCAGGGTCTGTTTTAAAATGTATTTACTGAGCCCTGGCTGGTTTGGCTCAGCGGTTAGAGCGTCCGCCTGCGGTCCGGAGAGACCCGGGTTCGGTTCCCGCTAAGGGCATGAACCTCGGTTGCAGTTTGTCCCCGGCCCTGGTTGGTCGTGTGGGTGGCAGCCACTCGATGTGTCCCTTTCACATCGATGTTTCCCTCTCTCTCTCTTCCTCTCTCTCCCTCCCACTCTATCTGTACAAAAAATGGAAAAATGTCCTTGGGTGAGGATAAAAAATAAAATAAAATAAAATAAAAATAATACAGTGATACCTCGGTTCTCGAACGCCTCGGTTTTCGACCAAATGGAGATTTGAGAAACTTTTGTCTCGGAATCCGAACAAATATTTGGAACTCGAACTTCCGAGATGAGCCGAATGGCGTTCATTCGGCCCAGCGCGCCTTGCTTGCGTCAGCAGTGTGAGTGCAGAGAGAGAGTCACGCTTTGTGGAGTCACGCTTTCCTATTGGTTTCATTGCTTCGGTTCTCGAACAATTCGGTTCTCGACCGTCCTCCTGGAACGAATTATGTTCGAGAACCGAGGTATCACTGTAATAAAATGTATTTACTGAATTTATTGGCGTGATATTGGCTGATAAGTGATGTAGGCTCGGGTGTGCAGCTCTGTAACACACCACCGGCACACCGCTCTGTGTCCGCACCCAGCACAGCTTACTTTTATGACTTTGTTGAGGCACTCATCAGCCACCATCCTGACGTCTGACTCGGCATCGTCACTGCACAGCAGGAACAGTTCCATGGCGATGCCCAAGAGCTTCTGAAACTCTGGAGAATTTCTATGTGAAAAAAGGGAGACTGTCACAGCCAAGAATATTGTCAGAAGACACAAAAACAAAATATAACTTCTGTGTCCTGTATGGACACTGGAACAGGAAAAGGACATCACGTGAAAGTGAGGGTTAGCAGTCTGTCATACGGAGTCACTGATTAGGAAACATGCACCAGCGATGTTAGATGCTAATGATGGGGTAACCAGATGTGAGTACATGGAAACTCTGTACTTTTTCCTCTAACTTTAAAACTATTCTAAAATTTTTAAATTTATTTTTTTTTTAAAAGTTGTACTTGAAAGACAAATCTCATTTTTCAAAGTTTTAATTAAAAAGCTTTAAAAGGAACTGCTTTTTGTGTTTTTGAACTCAAATTTTTTTAAAAGACACTGCTCGGGCCCTGGTCGGTTTGGCTCAGTGGTTAGAGTGTCAGCCCGCGGACCAGAGAGCTCCAGGTTCAGTTCCCGCTAAGGGCACGCATGTTGGTTGCGGTTTGGCCCCGGCCCCGACCCCGGCTCAGATTGGGGTTGTATGGGTGGCAACCAGTTGATGCGTCTCTTTCACATCGATGTTTCTCTCTCTCTCTTCCTCCCTCTTTCCCTCCCACTCTATCTGAAGATAAATGTAAAAATGTCCTCAGGTGAGGATAAAAATTTTTTTAAAAGACACTGATTGGCCCAGCGGTGAGGTTCAGTGGATTGAGCATCCTCCCATGGACTGAGAGGTCCTGGTTCAATTCCTGGTCAAGACACATGCACAGGTTGTAGGGGTCAATCCCCAGTAGGGGCATGTAGGAGATAGCCGATCAATATATCTCTCACATTGATGTTTCTCTCTCTCTCTCCCTTCCTCTCTCAAAAAAAAAATAAATCAATCAATAAAAAATATATTTGAAAATAGACACTGCTTGATGCCCAGTCAGTGTGGCTCAGTGGTTGAGCATGGTCCCATGCACCACAAGGTCACTGGTTCGACTCCCAGTCAGGGCACATGCCCAGGTTTCGGGCTCAATCCGCAGTAGGGGGTGTGCAGAAGACAACTGATTGATGATTCTCTAATCAATGTTTCTCTCTCCCTCTCCCTCTGCCTTCTTCTCTCTCTTAAAAAAAAAAAAATCAATAAAAACATATATTAAAAGAGAATAAAAATATAAGTAAATAAAAAGACACTGCTTGAAACCCTTAAATCCCAGACAGCCATCTGCTCTATGCCATAGGTTACTCCCACAACCCAGGTATGTGCCCTGACCAGGAATGGAATCGGTGGCCTTTCAGTGGACAGGATGACCCTCAACCAACTGAGCCACTCTGGCTTTCACATTCTTGATACCTGAATCAGAGCACTAATACAATTCTTTCCGCCCTTTGAGTCTTGCTTGCAATATGTCCCAAAGTTTAACCACATTTCACCAGACACAACATGGCCAGCCAGGCTGTGTCCACTTGACCACACTCTCACAAGCACAGGAGTCTATACAATGTTTGCAGATGATTTTAAAATGTTGCACTGAGAGCCTGTTTAGGCTGTTGTGATCCAGCTGGCTAAACATAGCCGAGAGAGGCTGATGGGCCACAGACACCAGACCGAGGTCACGGCACTGGGAGTGGAGCAAACCAACAAGACAGCCCTAACTAATGCTGCTGTTCCTCAAACATCAAGATAAGGTGGCTGTTTCATGACCTCGATCCACTCTCTACATAACAATTCCTACCAACAGTCAGAGAGCCTAGCAGAAAGCAAAGAACAACATTAGCAAAGACCCACAAATATGCAAGAAACAAAGTGTGCCACTGGGCAGCATTCCAGTCCTCACCTATGTGCAGTACAGCTGTGATGGGAGAATTGGGGGCGGCCCCTGGGTGCGGGCACAGCACTCACGCTGCTCAGAGCAGTGCTGTCCAAAGAGACCATGGGAGCTGTACGTGCATTTTATACTTTCTAAAATACATGTCAGACATCAAAAGAAACAGGGAAAAGTTTTATTTTCTTTTTAATTTTTCTGTTTATTGATTTTAGAGAGAGGAAAGAGAGGGAGAGAGACAGAAATATTGATGAGAGAGAACATCAACTGGCTGCCTCCTGCATGCCCCTCACTGGGGATGGGGCTCATAACCTGGGCATGTGCCCTGATCGGGAATCGAACCAGCGAGCTCTTGGTGCATGGGTTGACGCTCAACCACTAAGCCACACCAGCCGGGCAGGAAAAAGTTATTTTAATACTACATTTCACATAACCCAATGAATTAAAAATATTATTTCAACATGTAATCACTATGAATAAATTATTGATATAACATGATCTTTTTCATACCTCAATTCAGACACAAAATATTCATCAGTAATACTTTATCTGTGTTTCAACTTCATAAAATGCACACCTGAACTATGTTCACTTACTCCTTGTAGGTAAATAAGTCCTGGAGACTTAATGCACATATGGTGATTACAGTCACCAACACTGTAGTATAAACCTCAAAGTGGCTGAGAGACTAGACCTTAACTATTCTCGATACAGTAAGGAAATGATCATTATGTGACCTGGTAAAGGGGTTCACTGACACTGTGATAATCACACTACAATAGATAAATATACCAGACCAATCCACTCTACACTTCTTTTTTTTTTGTTCAGATAGAGTGGGAGGGAGGGAGAGAGAGAGAAACATCGACATGAAAGGGACACATCGAGTGGCTGCCCCCCACACGACCCAACCAGGGCCAGGGACAAACCACAACCGAGGTACGTGCCCTTAGCGGGAACTGAACCCGGGTCTCTCCGGATCGCAGGCCGACGCTCTAACCGCTGAGCCAATCCGGCCAGGGCTTTTTTTGTTGTTGTTGTTCTACACTTCAAATATACATGTTATTTGTCAATTATATTCCAATTTTTCAAAAAAGATATCATTTCTGATCATGCTTAAAAGTTCTCCAGTGATTAAATCAAATAGTAATGTTTAACTTTTAATAAAATAGACATAAGGATAATCTGGTTATCTATTTCTCTTTAAAGAGCTTTAGAAGTACTTTCAAGAAAGTTATCTGCCTGGTCGGTGTGGCTCAGTGGACTGAGTGTCATACCATGAACTGAGAGGTGCTGGTTTGATTTCTGGTCAGGGCACATGTCCAGGTTCCAGGCTCGATTCCCAGAAAGGCGCATGCAGGAGGCAGCCAATTGATGTTTCTCTCTCACATCAATGTTTTTCTCTCTCCTGTGCTAACTTTTTAAAAACATATTAAAAATAAGTTATCCAATTCATCTAACTTGTCAAATTTATTGCCATAGGGTTGTTTGTAATATACCCTTATAATCCATTTAACATCTATACAACCTACACTGATATCTGCCTCATTCCAGACTTTGGTTATCTGAGGTATCCATTCTTCTGCTACATGGGATTTCATTTGCTCCTTTTTAAAGCGTCCTAAGGTGGGAGCTGAGGTTGCTGACTTGAACCCCTTCTTCTCTGAGATGGATGCAGAGTTTGCTTCCCTTCAATGTGCTAAGGAGCAGTAGCATACAAGTTCCAAAATCCTTTGTTTTTATTTTCAACCAATTAAAAATACTTTCAAATTTCCCTTTTACTTCTTGGGTCACATGGAAATGTGTTATTTTCCACATATTTGGGGCTTTTTCAGACATCTATCTGTGAGATTTCAACTTAATTCCACTGAGGTCAGGGAACACACTTCGTATACTTTGAGTCCTTTGACATGTAGACTTGTTTGATGGCCCAGCATATATTCTCTCTTGGTAAATGTCCTGTGAGGTCTGAGAAGAACATGTCTTGCGCTGTTCTGCAGGGAGTTTCCATAAACATCACTCAGGACCGGGAGTGAACAGTGTTTCTCAAGTCTTCTCTATCGATTTTACGGCCACGTGTTCTAAGAATGTCGGAGACAAGTGGCTGAAATCGGATGAGTGCAAACTTGTCTCTCTCCTGAAGTTTCACTGGTTTTGCTTCATGTATTTTCAAAGCTCTATATTGAGGTATCTAAACATTCCAAATTGTTATACCCACTTGAGGAACTGATGCCTTTATCATTATGAAATGACCATGTCATGCCCAGTAACAGCCTTTGATGAGAAACCCAGTTATGTAAAACAACCAACCAACTTTGCTCTCTTCTGACCAGTGTTGGCAGAGAAGCTCTTTCCATTCTTTTACTTTTTGACTTGGTTGTGTCTTTACAGTAAAATGATTTTCTCTTAGGCAGCTTACACTAGGTCTTGATTTTTCATCCAACCCAGAAAATCTTTTTTTTTTTTGCATTTATCCTCAGATAGAGCAGGAGGGAGAAAGGGAGGAAGGAAGAGAGAGAGAGAAAGAGAAACATTGACGTGAGAGAGACACATCAAGTGGTTGCCGCCCACACAACCCTAAATGGGGCTTAGGGTAGGGGACAAACTGAAACTGAGGTACATGCCCTTAGCGGGAACCGAACCACGGCCTCTCCGGTCTACAGGCCAATGCTCTAACCACAGAGCCAAACTGACCAGGGAGGAAATCTTTTGTGTTTAATATCATGATTGACATAACGAAGTTTACATCTACTATTTATTATTTCTTTCCTATTTTTCCTATATGGTATGTATTTGCTTTCCCCCCTATTTCTGCCTTCTTTTGGGTCGAGTAATTTTATGGTTCAATTTTACCTCCTTTTTTGTTTATTAGCAATAACTCTTTGTTGTGCTTTTTTTACTTTTAGAATTTTTAGTTAATTTATTTTTTAAATATTTATTTATTTTTATTACAGATATTTCTCCTTTTTCCCCCATGGACACCCTCCTCCCAACCCCCACACCCCGGCCCAGCACAGGCGGGACCTGTGTGACCCAGCAGCACCTACCATGACAGACCAATACCAGCCGCCAGTAGTCAGTCCTCCAAGACCCACAGCAGGCAAAAGGTGCCACACACCAGAACAGTCTGGGAGGCACAGCAGCTATATTTGATATACACCAACCTGCCTACACATTCCAACTACCAGACTGCTAATATGGTGAG